GGAGTATCACTGCTGTCGGAAGAAAACCTTGTATCTCCATTTTTGTTTTTTTTTGTGGTTTTTGACATAATTTGAAAATGAAATTCTTTACTGTTGTTCTGTGTGTAAATTTCATTGGTTCCATTGATTTACATTCAAAGCAGAGTATGTTTTTTCCTTCTCCTGTAAGGTTAACATTTTGGAGATACAAGGTTTTGTTCCGACAACAACGATATATATATATATATATATATATATATATAATATGAGCCATGAGGAAATTAGGGGCCACATCAAACATCCTTGTGGGCCAACTTTGTGCAGCCCTTTTCTATGTATTTTATTTCCCAGTGAACATAGTTAAATGGATAGAGATGAGATGAAGACTGGGGACTTGATTCAGTATCAATGCATGTTAGCTTATCTGAGAGGTAATGAGAGATATGAGTTCTACTCTCATTAATAACGTGGCATTCACTTTTACTAGATGCAAGATTTAACTTTCATCCAGTTTAATTTGAGAGAATAGGAAGTAAACAGCTCATATAATGGGTTCAAATGGCTGTGGAAAGTTCTAGGTTGGTGGCAGTAGTAATAGCACATCTCTCTCAGTGCCCTGTGTGCCTCAGCTGTGATGGGGAAGTGGCGAACCACTCCAGACATCTGGAGGCCTGAGAAATGGTATTGCAACCACAATGTGGCGGCAAGACTGTGGCGCGGTTATTGGGTAATTGGAAAATGGCAGCCTTGCCTGTGTTTTTTCATGCTAATCAGCAGCCTCAATCAGCTGTGCTAGCACTGGAGGGGAAAACAGCCAAGACTGAAGAAGCATAGTGCTTTAGTTTTGTTCTAATGGAGCCAAAGTCAAATATACGCACTACATATATAGTCATTTAGCTATGCCATCTTCACTGTTGGCTGATGTAGTTAACAAGTACTGGATGCTTATATACATGGATCTCAAATAGACTTTTTTTAGTGGTTTCTGATGCTGAATGGCATCTATAAACATGGACAGAAGCATGTTGCCTAGCTAGAAGCCTGAAGCCTGCTATTGTCCATAGATAAAGACTCTTTCTCTGTCCTGAAACATAAAGAGTTCTTGTAAGAAGTGTGTGGAGTGTCTCTCAGCACATGAGTGGGCCTGCAGCATCACTGGGGGCTTCTCAGATCCAGTGGAAATTATGGAACATCTTCAGTCTTCACCCACAGCTGCAGTGCTGAGATGAGTCATAACCCCACTCTGAAAACTCCCTTGGGTTAGAGGGGTGAGACACAGCGCTGCAATGCTTTTGTTCGCTGAAATCCTCCAGTGCGCTTAAAGTAGGGAATAGAGAGACAGTGTGTGTATGTGTGTGTTTGTTTACATACATGTTTAGGACAAAAATGTTCAGACTAGGTAGGACAACCTGAGAAAAACAGTGGTGGTGTTGGAGTGGTCCTGAACAGGTAGACTGCTTTTTTAAAACTGAAAGTTTTTTTTGTTCATGAGGTTAGGGTTAGGTTTAGGATTAGGCTTAGGAAATTCTTGTTCCATATAGGTGCTTACAAGTATGTATGAGACAAATGACATATAGGTAATATATAATTACGTATAGGTTTTTAAATATATATAATACATGTGGGACTGTGCAAAAGTGAGAGAGCACCCTTTTATTTAATTTCTAGTCAAAATGTCCATTAAGTACCTGTTATTGATTTTACAGTGACAGACAAAAGCAGAAAACCGACATTCAGCAGAAAATTACACAGAAGCCACAACAACTAAATATAATATCAGTGTTTCAGTATAATATAGTGTCCACTCTTTACTTTTATTACAGCTTCCATTCTTTTCAAGTGACTCACTTTCAAAGTTCAGTCTTAGAAGTTGGTTGCATTTTCTGCTTCTCACAATCAAAATAATCCCACTTACAACAATTTTGTCTGCGTTTTTTAATCAGTTTTGAGCTCCAGTTTCAGAAACTCCTACTTTGTCTGATACATCTTATATCTAATCCTAATTTATATCTGTAGTATCTAATCAGAAATATCTGCTTTAGCCAATTTAGTTGCACAAGACAGAAATTTGCAAGGAAGCTAAGGTGAGTTTGGGTATTTGTTTGTGTGAATGCTAGTGTCTGTTTGAATGGCGGCAGAATGTCAGTGAGTCCTGCGAGATTTGATATTGTATTTGGAGGCTTTGTGTAATTTTCAGTTAAATATGCTTTTTGTGACATTGAATAAAATGAATAACTTGACCATTTTAGCTGACAAACAGGTGGTCTCTGATTTTACATAGTACTGTAGGTACATACATATAGATATACATGTCTGATATATATATATTCCTCACCTCTCCCCACCTCCTGACAAGCTGTGTGCAGGGTGGTGAAAGCTGTAAATAATGGTTGTTAGACATTACAGAGTAAAGACGCATCAGGGAGGGGAACAGCTAACATCTGCTCCTAGAGCTGCTGACAGTTATCAGAGCTTGAAAACAAGCAGAACCACACAGGGTTGCGCCCATTCAGTTTTTGAGAATCTTAGTGGTCAGCAGAAACCTGTTTAGGCTCAAGTTGAAATGTAGGGTGTGATGTGGCAGCTTTGATTAGAATATATCAAATACAGGACACCATAATACCAGATTAGTGCAAATGGTGCAAAAATCATTGTGCAAGTTTTTCTTTCCTTTTCTTTTATGTGCCAGTTTTTAATGGAATCTTCGAGAGCTGCTTGTGTTTCTGAACCAGACCATCGTCCTGTTTTAGCTTGGCATTTTGAGAATGGGGAGGGTGAAAAAAGGCAAAGGTGACGTCTTTATTTAGCAGTTCGGAAATGGCAGACGCTGTCAAATCAGACACAGTAGCCATGCAAATTTGGACACAGTAGCTATGAAAAAAGCAGGGCTGCCACTCTTAACAGTGCTGCTGATCTGTATCGAGCTTACTAACGTATTATTCAGTTCACTCAGAATCAGTTACGTAATAATCCCAGGGGAAATTGGTTTACAAATGAAGAGTCAAGAATTCCACCACGTATCATTAACATTGTGTCACTGGTGCTTTCAGATGTAATTTCGTTTGGACCTGAGTGCTGGTGACGAAACCACCCAGCTGGTCAGTACTCAGATTTGATTACAGTACGAAGGAAAGTAAGCCTGTTCACTTCCACTGCTCCGGTCCTCTTGGCAAAGCCATAATGCGGCGATAGACATAACACTGTTCCTGAATGTTAGAGTGTGTGGTGGCTTCATCATTGGTTCTTCAGAGAGGAATCACTGAAGTGTTGTGGATGTGCAGTAGTGGGACGTTGAACATGTACCAGAATTAAAGGAGTAAACCGAATTGTCAATGGAGTCTCAAATAGACTTGCGTAGATAGTAGAAGACATATATACCATATAGTGTCTACATACTATTCATTATGCATGTAGACCTTATGACATGCTGTCATTGACAAGAGTAGCAGTAACAGCCATCAGGAAGCCTGAATTTTGTCTGTACTTTTTATTTTTACAGATGTCGTACAGTATCAGGAACCACATATACAAGTTTAGATTCTATTTAAACCTGTTTGATTTATATTGCATCTTTATAACCCAATGACGTTTTACACTGGGGGGAGAAAACACTCAGGAAACGAAGTAATATACATTAAAGAGGAAGATTGAAGTAAGATTTGAAGAATGAAAGAGTAAAGAGGTCACAAAGACATTGACGGTTCCCAAGTTTGGGGATGTATAGTATTTAGTGCTGTACAAAAGTCAGAGACCACCCTTCATTTATTTAATTTCCAGTCAGAATGGTCTTTATATTCAAGTTCTTAATTTTTCAGCATCAGAAAAGAAGCAGAAAATGTGTATTTTGTACATATAGTCACTCAAACTTTTGCATACAACTGTATAACATTTATATTTCCACGCTTTCAGTTTTTCAAAAAAATCTGCAGAGACATTTGAGACGGAGACATCCGAGTAATCCAAACACATTCAGTGATGTTGAGGTCTGGACTCTGGGGTGGTCAGTCCATTCTTTGTTTGATGTGTCCGTCTCCTTTTCTCAGTGAGGTACACATCCTTTCAGACCCACAGCGCTGAGTCGTCTTCTCACAGTGGAAGGATGGACAGAAACACCTGTGGATGTTTTCAGATCTGAAGGAAGAGTGGAGCTTGATTTTCTCCTCTCTCTCAAAGATGAAAGCTTTAAGTGCTGTTTATCTGATAGGGGCAGTGTTGGTGTCTACCAGGCCTTTCACAGTCGTTGAGTCCCAATTTGTCTGTTGATCTTAATCATTCTTTTAACTCCAGTTTTGGAGGTTTTCCTGTTATGCAAGTGGATTATCTTCTGTCTGATCTTCTCAGAAATATGTCCTGAAAAAACGAAGAACTTGTACCGTTTTGACTGTAAAACTATTGCTTTAGAAACGACAACTGTGCACCTCCACATATGAACTTTTCACGTTGTGGCAGTGGGGATTGAGGGACAGCTTCATTTTCTCACTGATCTCTACGCAGACACTCTATGTTGACAAATGAAGTGAGGATTGAGATGTTGTGGCTAAGGCTCCCATTTATTTAGACTGCATGCTCATGAATGAACTGAAGGATGGAATGTCTTCACCTGTCACACCTGCCAAAGCTCTGCCTTTCACAGCTGTTTGCACACTGGGACAGTCATGACAGCTCAAGTCATACATGATCAGCCAAACACACTAAAAGGTCTCTGAAGATGTTACAGATGAGATGCTTTCACAAACATGTCTTTTTTAGACTTTGTTTTGGTTTCATACAAGATTTTCTGAGTGCTTTTTGAGTGATTCCTACATCATTCCCATGTTCTTGGGCTTTGCCATGGCAGTAAGGTCAACATTGAGGTAAATTTAAGGTAATGGGCTATGAACGATCATGCTTGACCTCAGGTCCTGCCCATTCTCAGTTAGTATAAACAGAAATAGCTTCACCACCGTATTGTGGACTTTTATAGTTTGTTGAGTCGTATTATAATAGTACATTCTGACCCAGGTGATCTGTTGTTGCTCCAGGGTGCAAAGGGTGATCCCGGGCTGTCTCCAGGTCAGGCGCCAAAAGGAGAGCAGGTAACAGTGTTTCTAAATCCCAATTGCATTCTGCTTCTAAAACCTCTCACTTCCTGTTTCAGCTGCTTCCACAAACTCTGCTGTTGCTGTGACTCTTCTCCTTGTTTAATTCTCCTCCTAATACGCTGCTCTGGTGCTTTACTTGTCTCAGCGCCATCATTTCTCATATCTGCTTCATTGCCTGGTTCACACAGGCACTGACTTTGTATTTGGATTTCTGTAAAGTACAAGTGTTTGTGTGTTTCAGAAAGTAGGGTTGTGCTCTGCTGCTAGTCTGGGAGTATTTGCATGAGGGCATATTTACATGATTAACATTGTTCTCAAAATTAACCACACTAACCTGACCGCCCATTGCTGAGAGAATGCTGGATAAAACTCAAGCAGTGTGTAGAACCAGAGCTTTCTGTGTGCTGCCTTGTTTTCTATCTCTGTATAAAAGATGCATGGAGCTTCATTTCTTTTTTGGATGTACTGTTTTTTTACTGTATTCTAAATGAGCTCATGTAGAATACAGTAAGTATTGGAAAGCGCTTAGTATTGTAGTTATAAAGCACAACTGATCTCCTGTTTACACATTTTCTTGTTCAGAAAGGCTGTTTGTGAGTTTGGACCTTCAACATGTGGTAGTAGTATGAGGAAACACTGATTGAGGGAGGGAAGAGAACTCTGAGAACTTGGGCTAGAGTTCTTGGTGGCCTCTGCCTGGAGCTATAAGGCCGGACCACCCTTGTTATGACCGTGGTAGGACTGATATAAGACTGAGGAACAGGGAGGAGATGCGGTGGTGGGGATTGTGAAAAATTTGTCGCGTTAGAATAGAAGGAGGATTTTCAGCAAACTCCAAACTCCCAAACTTCAGTTATTTCATAACATGACAACAGCATTCAGACATAACAGTGTAGATAAAATGGCAGAAATAGACTTTTTTGCTTCAGCCTTAAAGGGTTATGAAATATCCAGTTATTTTTTTTAAATAAAAACCAAAATAATAGAATAATAAACATTGTTGGGCTGCATTAACATCTTTTACTTACAGTGTTTTTGACTGCCACGGGGCTGAAGCTTAAGCGTTAGCTAGAACACTGTGCTCAGTCAGCCTATTTAGTTATAGCAGCTTTAATAAAAAAGTTATTAAACCAAAGCAACATTCAGCCTCAGTTAAAAAGCTTCAGATATCAGATAACTATTAATCATACAGCATTAGCTATTAAAGACATAATCAGTTAATGATAAAAAGCCCTCTGCCCACCAAACGAGGACGAGGCTGAGGCAGTGAAAACATTGTGTAGGGATCTGGGCTAAACTAACAATGTTACACAGGATCACATAGAGCGTTCCTAATGTTGTTTTCTCCCTCTTGACTAGGGTGAGAGAGGACCCCCAGGTCTACCAGGCCCCAACGGTGTTGCAGGCCCGCTGGTAGGTTCATTCCCATCCATACACCATGCAAATTCCTCATTTATGTGGCGTTTTGAGACATGATAAATGTCACAGGTTCAGATGTGACCCACACATGAGGCGTGTATTGTAAGTATGATCTCGTACCTCCCACAGTGAACTGTAGCACTTACAGTATCCATTACTGCTGCTGCCACTGCCGCTCAGCAGGATAGAGTTACATGCTGGCATAAAGAGCCTGTCAACGTTCAGGGGTGCGCTTTCTTCCTCGCAGAGGGCCTGAGGGTCTGCCTGCAGCCCCCCACCACAACCTGAGAATCCCACAAGGTCAGAGGTCATCTTTTAGAGGAAAGGCACTCAGCAGGAGTTCAGTGACAGCAACCGTCCGACACAGCGGCTTCAAACGGCAGCTGGCACAAGTTCCAGCCCAGTCAGAGCTCACGAGCGTGTCAGGGTAGCGTGTTAAAGATAGCAGCACAAAAACCTATTCCTGTCTTTCAGCCACAGGAAACCTAAATCTGTGTTTTCCTTCTAAGTAGGTGAATCTTGCTCTTGTGGTTTTACAGTATACAGGTAGAAGTGTGTCCTGGGAATAGCTTTCCAAAGCCCAACAAATGGCCGATGTATTTTCCCAGCATTCTTCTGTTTTGATGTAAACTGGGCGGTCCTGATCTTCAGTACTGCATATGTAAGCAGTGTCCTCGACTGATTAAAGTTGGAGAAACTTACCACGAGAAAACTAGCATCCCAGTGAAAGCTAACTTACCAAGCATAGCTGAGCTAGCAAGAGCGTCCATTCATCTGTTCGTCCCTTCAGCCAGCCATGCCAGCATTCCCTGACTGCACATCCAGCAGTAAAATAAATGACACCTTACCTTCTTTAAGAAGTTAGATCACGTTTAGGAAAATGTTTTATGATGATAAACGCAAAAATTTTGTAAAACGCAACCTGCATGTTGTCGTTGTCCAAAGTACCTCCAGTTTTTCCATTTTTATTTATCTACGTCATTTGAGCACGACAGCTTCTCGTTACACTTGGTGAAAATTTCATGGTGATTGGTCCAATAGAAATGCTTCCTGTGCCATTTTAGAGATATGACGATGTGTAAAGCCCATTTCATTGATTTCTCCTCACTCTTGCTTAGTTCAGTGTTGTAGCAGGCTGGGAGTGCTGAACAGAGGGCTGTCAATCACAAAACTTTGGATATTAAAGACGTCTTGGCTGATTGACTGACTGTAAGAATGGCTGAGAACTGAGTGGTGCAATCAAAAGAAAAAATGAGCTGGGCTGCTATTTCAGGTCTGATCCTTGCACACACTGTGCCAGCAGCACTGGATCCCAAGAGTACAGTCCAGAGCATTTGAAGCAGCTTAGTTTAGACTCTGCCGATCTTCGTTTCATGACTTCTGGTTTTTTATTGAGTTCTTAGAAAGGTTAGTTGTTGCTGACTGGCAAGTGCTAAACCATCAGCTTTTCAGCCAGGGTTTGGTTGTTCTGCTGCAGCTGAAGGAAAGTGATAGACTCGCTGCAGAAGTGCCCTTTACCCCACTCTGCAGCCACCTCTTCACATCTGTACAGGATTTAGTGGAACAGACGGAAAAAGGACGGCCGTTTGCAAATGAGAAGGGATTTCTGCTTGAATGCAGCGCTTTGTAACATATTTCACCGATTTGGCTCCAAAGACAAGTGGATCCGCGTTTTGATAGTACGAGCTGAACGTGTGCCTGGCTTCAAAATAAGAACCGAGACTTTTCTAGGAAACCATATGTTGGTGTGATCTTATTTGCCTTGTATAGTGAAAGGCCACTGTAAAGGCAGACAGCCGTTTTCATAGATCTCACTTAACTCACCGTTTAGTAGATGTTAAAGGAAGTCCAATACTTTGATGTTCAGTGTGAGGTTAAACACCGTGGTTATGGCCCATTACGATCTTGGCTGTTGAGGTCTCGCTCATAAAGACCTCCTCACTCAGGGCTGACCTTGAACAGAAATAGTCCTGCCCGGGTCAGGCGTAAATCACTCTGTCCTTTGACCCGTGCTGCACCACGGTCTTGTTGGGGCTTGAAGGAAAGGCCAGAATTTTCCGACCACTCTGTGTGCATCCCTTATTACTTTTTCCCTCATAACCCTTAATTCCAAAGCACAGCGACACCTACTGGCAAGTACACGTCACTATAGTCATTACTATAGTTAGGTACATCACAGTGCTTTTAAAGACATACAGATACTTCTGAGGGCTGTATGCTAAAATTGGTGAATCATTAATATGACATGGTTAAAGTCTGGATTGGATTAGTTTTGTCTAATATTTATAATGTTATTTTTATTCCATCGTTCATCAAGACACCCAAGTGACTTCTCAGGATGCTCTGAGCACAGTAAAATCTTTGTGATTGGATAGCAGGGATACAGAATTTAGGGGGGCGTAGGGGGTTGTGGCACTCCCAGATTTCAGGATTGTTTATGTTTCAGCACTGCTGCTGCTAAGAGTAATAAAAGAATGGAACTTTAAAATGTTAGCATAGCAAAACTCTGTGTGGCATTGTTGGGTGTAGTCTGTGTTTTTGTTTTATTATATTTTTATATTTGTATTTATGGATCTTAAAAGTCTGCAATAGCCATGCACTTTTCAAGTTAATGCTGCATTTTAGAGCAAAGTGAAGCGCTTCCCTTGCCTGCTGGTGGTCGCTGTGCAGGCATGTCACTAAAAACCAGGCACAGGAGGAAGCGTCCCAAAATATTCTTTTTTAAAGATTAAAATTTCAGCCAAAATAATCACCTGCTTTTCCAACCATTGTAATAACCTCTCGCTCAGTATACATTGATTATGCTTGACTATGAGCATGACGCAGGCAGTTTCTGTGCCGTAAATCAACAATCTGATTGGTCACTGCTCAACTCATTGACATAAAGGGTGTGAATTGACTGTTGCTGGGTAAGTTGTGCTCAGTACTCGGTACACAGCGTGTTGTTTTTAATAAAACAGCTTTATTTGAAATTGTTAATGGAAGAACGTTTCGTAGCGTACACCAAGCATTTTCATACAGTCAAACATACAATGTGGGTCACCAAAGATTTCTAAAATAGTAAGATATATGTTTGGATTTAGAGGACATTCAACTACAGCTCAACCAGGCATTTAAAAAACCTGAGATGCGTCAGCTTCAGACAGGATTCCTGCTGTCACTGTGCTGCAGAGACTGTGGTTGAAAAAGAGAGATCGAGGTTCAAATCAATGAAATGTACTTTATTTAGAGCTGTACAGAAGCTCTTTTCTGATGAGGAACCAAACCTGCTCTTCTCCACTGCAGCGTTACTCGATCAAAGGTAAATAATGTAGCATAGCTAATGCACAGCATTTTAAATCAGCTAGATTTTAATGATTTAACTGTTAAAGTATATTTACAATAACAGCTACTTAATTCTAAGTAGGTTACTCAGCATGGTATCAGTCTCGATATCAGCGAGTACTAAAAAATGTGTACTCGTACTCTGTCGAAAACATGGTACCGATACGTCCCTGTCCTGCGTCTCTGTTGGTTAGATTTGTATATTGCCAGCGCTGAATGTAAACTGTTTGAGCATGCAGCACTGATGCTATAAAAGCTGCGGTTGTCATAGCACAATTAACATTTTTGGCACTGAGGAAAAAAGTGATGAAATGCTTTTAAAATAAAAAAGTACAACAAATTGTCATTTTAACTGTGAAAAACCAAACATCATGTAAAAGGTGTGTATTTTAATTTTCATGACTTGAAATATACAGAGAAACAATTTCTTCCACGATAATTCTGATTTTCCCATAAGGGGGTGCTATTAGCACTTCAGTATCATTTCTTTCTGCATCTTTGAGTGTGAGGACACAAAGAGTACGACTGAATGTTATTCAAATATATGCGTTTTTTAATTTAGTCAGATTGTTCTTAATAAACTGGTTAAAGATAGTACATAGGCGGAAGATAGTAAAGGCAGTAGGAACACCAGGGGGCGCCACAGCTCCCGATTTCAGAGAGACCTTTCGTCTCTCTTATTTTCTTCGTCTTATTTTTTTCAGCAAGCAAACTGTAAAATCTTAGATCGTTGCTGGCTTTTCACATGATAATTCAGCCCTTCACGAAACAACTTCTGGTCATTTTGTCCATATTTGGTGACAAACATCTGGATTTGTTCTCTACTGTTTGAATTACCCAACGGACGACAACCAGAACTAAACCTGCATCACGGCTCACTCCACTACTCTAAGCAGATGGTTTGGGCAGTTGCGAAATGTAGTTCGATATTGTGAGTCACACAGTTAGAATAGCTCAAGCATAAATAAATATTAATAATTGACTACATCTACCAAAAGAGGCTCGTCAAAGTATTTGAATGAAGATGTACACAAAGGTCTATCGCAAGCCTGAGACTGTGATTTTTTAATGTATTCTCACAGGATTCATTTCTCCTAGTACTTGCAACAATATTGTCGCATTGTACAGCCCCGATTGCAGCGATCGGTGATATCAGTATTGAAAAGGCTAATATCATGAAAACGATCAACAAATGATATGTTGTGCTTCTGTGTTTCATGCACTTTTTGCTAATCCAAGCAAAAGCAAACAGTCCACCACCAACAGAAAGCTCAGTACAGCGTAGTAGAAATGTTCTGTGTTCCTTTGACCTCCTCTCCCTCTGTCGCTGTTGTGACTTGTCTCTGGTGCGTAAGGCTTGGTGTAGCTGTCTGAAGGGGAAAGGTTTGAAAGGTTTTGACAGTTTGGAAAGAACTCTTAAAGGGTATTAGCCTTATCTGAGGGCAGGAGGCAACAAAATCCCCAAAAATGTGGCTGGACTGGGAAAAGAGCAGTGAGGGTAGGCACATAGGAGGACAGAGCACTCTCTCTCTCTCTCTCTTTCTCTCTCTCTCTCTCCATTCTCCCTTCTTCTTTTTCTCTATTACCCTCTTTGCAGTGGAATTAACCTGCAGTTAGGAGAATAGTCAGTTGCATGTTTTCAGTTTCTCCTGCTCTGTGTTGAGAAGAGTGCCTCGTCTTGATTTGCTTTGGTTCTGTCTTCCCTGCAGGGTCCCAAAGGCTATCCAGGTCCGCCAGGTCTGCCAGGAGAACAGGTATGTCCTTCTGTGTACATAAGAGACAGTGACATACAGTATAATGGCAAAGTGATGACAATTTGACAGAAAATCTCCCCTTTTACCCCAGATGTAGTCGATCACCCAAGACATGTTTGGTGTCTTAAGTTTGCTTCTTTGTTGTTTTGCACAGGGAAGATAATGAAGGATACTCACAGAGCGTCGTGCAAACCGCATGATTAGATCATTACACACTTGCCTTAAACCATGTCGACAAGTCTCATGTAGATTTATCTGTCTCTGTTTATCATCAATAAAGTTTGATAAAAGTTTATCAGTAGCAGCAGCATCAGCCATCGTTTTGCCTGAATGCTGTCAGTACTTTTTGTTAGAAACCACATAAGCAAGTTCTGAGATCACTCAACAGTTTATCAGGGAATTGTAGGGAGGTGCGTTCTGACTAATTTTGATATTGGAGCGTCCATAAGATGTTCGGTTACCCACAAGGGAGGAAAAAAGCAATGGAAAAAAGAGAGAGAAATAGCTGTAGGCTTACTTTTGTACAGATACCACTGTTTTAGGAGGCGTAGAGAAATAAATAGAAGTTTAGCAGCACACAAACATAAACATAAGAATATGTTCGTAAATGTTATTATTCAAAAATAGCCAAGAGAAATAAGTGGGTTTTCATATTGAGTAGCAGAGGCTGGACGATGTGCCAACATGTTAGCTTGTCTGACTATTTCTGGGTCTTTCTGGATCTTGCAAACATCAGCTAGAGTAGTTAGAGTAGTTAGTTAGCCTAGTTAGCAAAAAATCCATGCTATCTCTGCTCAGTCGTGTCCTGAACAGCTTGTCCTTGACAGCGTGTTCATGCAAAGGCACTTGTGTTTCACAGTGTAGTGTAATATGTGTAATATACTCTCTTTCTCTCAAATACAAGCAAAACATTCAAATTTTACTGTCCTCTCAAAACTTACAATCAAAATGTTGGCCTGTATATTTTCTCTGTGTTCCTGTAATTAAAATTAAGGTGCTGGCATCTCGAATAGTTAACCAAGTACTCAAGTACTCGTGAACTTCCCTAGTTTAAAGCAAGGGTACGATGATTTATGCATGTAGTTTGCATGATGCTAACAGGTGCTCTGTAAGCTTCCGTTACTTGTTAGTTACTTTAGTTTCGTAGAAAGAAAGAAGCGAACTTCAGCCAACAAACATGCCTTGGCTGATCGATTACATTTGGGACAAGAGGAAAATTTTATTTTTGGCCAAATCACCTCTTTAAGAGAGAGTTACACGTTGACAAACATAATGTTTCCCAGAGCTCCTCTCTTCTTTTTCTTGCACGGCAACATACAGACTGTTTAAGAGTACATCCTATACAGTCAGCAGTAGCTAAAGCCAGGAAGCATCCGGAACCTAATACGACAAGCACTTTGTTCAGTTACAAAGCCAACTACTTATACTCAGCAACTTGATGCATAGATGAAACGCAGTGGGGTCCGAGCGAAGGAGCGCAGCCTGGGCCACAGCCAGAAGAGCCGGGGCTGTGGATCAGGGTGCCATCCAGAACAATAGCTGTTCTATTCCTCCACTGAGCCTGGCACATTCTCATGTTCCCCCTCTCTGTCTCTCTCTCTCTATTTCTCCTTCGCAGGGTTTGCCAGGATTGCCGGGCATAGTGGGGGCAGCAGGTTACCCTGGCAGGCAGGTGCAGTGACCAAGATTCAGTCAAGAAAAACTATTACCCAGAATCCCACCTCTGGATGTGTAAAGAAAAGACAGGATTCTGGGGCAGAGCGCTTTCACTTCTTGTACTCTTTCACCCGTCCGAATAGCAGTGCTGCGTTTACATGTTGGTGGTAGACAGACGACAGCAAACCGGATATTTCATTGTTTTCAGTGAATTTGCGGCGGAAAATTCTGCCAACCAGTACACGGAATGTTCCATCGAGAGTTCAGTTTTTGCCGTGAACCACAACAGTAAAATAAACTGGATTTTGACTTTTTTGGGAGCTGTGGATGCCAAACATCTCGTTGTTGAATCCCAGACACACAGCATCATACAGCAAAAATTAAAGAGTGCAGAGCGTCCTCCTCACTTATTCCACCTTAAATAATCAGTCGACACTGCTAAAGGTCTCCTCTGATAATCTCTCTTTTTCATTAGAAATGCTGTCAACATGCCAAGGTTTGTGTGGTTTCATGCCACAGACGATCAGGTCCTACAAGGCGCAGCGGTGTTTTTTTTTCAACATGTGAACGCAGCATAAGGCTTGTTATTCAGTAACATGTATGTGGAAAACAATGCAAAATGAATGAATTATTAAGTTGAAGGAGGGTGAAATGGAAGTATGAGATTATAGAAGTAGTGGACTTAATTCAGTTATGAGAAATGTGTGCATCCCTTCTACATGAATGCAGTTTATTACATCAACACAGTTAATGCTAGGATAAACACATTTGTGTGAGGTAAATTCACTGGATTGCTCTTTTTCTCAGTAGCGCCAGAACAATGACCAGAATGTAATTCCAAATGGAAACCAATTGCATTCAGAAGAGACATTTTGTTCAGTTTAAATCAGTTTTATTTATACATCTTTATAAAAATAATCTTCACAGAAGCACACAGAAGTTTCTACTGAGGTACTTTAAACACTTAAAATTTTTAGTTTTTTTGAAGACCTTTGGGGCTCTAAAAAGTGAATGCTGGATCAAAGACAGTGAATCATGTTGTCTGTGCTTAACGATGTTTTGTCTGTAGACCTTTCTCTGTGATTGATGTGTTTGTGTGTAAACTTGATGCTTACGTCTGTTCTCTTTCAGGGACTGGTGGGTCCAGAGGGAAACCCAGGCCCTAAAGGTGTCAATGTAAGCAGCAGAAACACTTATTATCCTTCCTCTGTGCTATAGTTAACATGAAATATGTTCAGGGAACAGGCGGGACTTTCAGGCTGATCTGGGATCTGTAGTTCTAAAAACATTCCTTTTAAAAAGTGTTACTGTGCATTAATGTAATCTTTATTGATGTAATCTTGCTCTACATTAAATTTACATTACATTTTGATTTAAGTATATAATTTCTGAAATAGAGTGTGTTTACATGCACTTAATAATCCAATAACTGCAGAAAATCTGATTTTATCAGTAATTCGAACAACGCGTTTACATGCACTTTAGTAATCAGATAATGTAGAAACTCCAGGTCTGCATGAGTCAGACAGTAATCAGATTTCTGCTTTGGAACCAGCCAATAAAATTACAGAAGAAGACGAGACGTAAACATAATGCAAAACTCAAAACTTCATGCAGCTTTTTAAAAAGACATTGTGCCACTTTACTAAAAATATGAACATCCATCATCTAGAAAATAAAGAACATTTAAATCCTTCATTTCGCCAAGCATGCAGTCGGTTTCAGCATCGCTCCAAAAGTGTTTTGCTGCGTCTCGCAGCAACACTGCTCGCTTATTTCCGGCCTGTATTCACACATGTGCAGACTGAGAAATATGAAAGAAATCAGAGTAAGAGTTTACAGGCACTGAGAAATCTGATTACTGAGCTGAAATCCAGCTCTCTTTATCGGATTTCTTAATCGGATTTCCAGATCAGAGTGTGCTGTTTAGATGACCATTTGAATAATCAGATAACTGCAGAAATTTAGTTATGATTGGATTATTCAGTGCATGTAAATACACTTATAGTTAGTTACATACTGAATTACATTTACATTAAAACCTGAAGATGCAGAATGCCTGGTGTTAGGTGAATTCATTTACAGCCAACAGACATCATCACCGCACAAAGTCATATCAAATCTTTTTCCTGCCATACATACATATTTAATTACATACAGTACTGTGCAAAAGTCAGGTTTGTGTAATTGTTTAATTTGCTGTCAAAAGGGCCAATAAAAGGAAATTATGTGAAAATCCAGACCTCTTGACTGAACTTTGGAGGTGTGGAAAAATATCCCTGCAGATTTCTTTGAGAAACTGAAAGTGAGTCTCCTGAAAAGAATCGAAGCTGTAATTTCTGTTGAATATGTTTTCAGCTTTTTTCCCTGACACTGAAGAATGAATAACTTTTCACTGGACATTAACTGCTGTAGGGTGGTCTCTGACTTTTGTACAGTATTGTATTGGCTTGATTGCCAGAGAATACAATTTAGGGCCTCTGTACATGACAAAAAACTTGAAAACTCCTTTTCCACAGAATATGATGGAGTATTTATTACCCCACTTCCTCATTCATAACTAAGTCCATCTGAATAGTACTAAAGAGAATGGAGCCTTAATCATCTCACAAACATCATATCAAACTCTGTAAGCAGCTGTTTTATAACACAACTGAGTTGTTATGCGTCATGTTAGTAGCTCATTAGTGAGCTGAGCTGAATGGAGGAGGATGTTAAAGGAATATAATGTCAAATCAGACTGTTCTCAGTCAGAGTGATCACCCTGACAGGCCTGCTCTGCCTGTCGACTCTCAGAGGCCTTTGTAGCATCACGAGTGTTTTCCAGCTTGAGGCACACGGCCATCTGTGAGGAATGCGGAAAGAAAGAGAGAGAGAGAGAGAGAGAGAGAGAGAAATAGAGTTAAGCTGGTTTTCATTTATCTTTTTTCATCTTTGAGTGATTGTACATGTGATTTCACTTAACAAGAGCAGGACGTGACATATAGCTGACCATCTCTCTCTCTCTCTCTGTCTCTCCCTCCCTCCCTCTCTCTCTCTCTCTGTCTCTCCCTCCCTCCCTCTCTCTCTCTCTCTGTCTCTCCCTCCCTCCCTCTCTCTCTCTGTCTCTCCCTCCCTCCCTCTTTCTCTCTCTCTGTCTCTCCCTCCCTCCATCTCTCCCTCTCTCTCTCTCTCCCTCTCTCTCTCTCTTTCTGTTTCTCTCTCTCTTAATTCAGTTCAGCTCAGTTTTTGATTTTGTCACTGCTTATACATAACGAAGAAAAGAACATACTTAAAGCATCAATAAATTTAAAAAGCCCAAAAAATTAATGAAGTAAATTATGCAGTGAATTAATCAATCAGTTAATTAATCTTCTCTGCGGAAATGCCAGTGTTTTATTATTTGAATATTCAAAAGAATCATAAATCATATCTTTTCATACATGTTCTTATTTTTATTCTCTTTTTACTCTTTTTTTTCTCTTCGGAAAGGTTTTTTTCATTGTAAAGAAAATGGCAGATTTTGAGGCGCAGCACGTATTACTGTGTCTTTTTATACTCAAACTGCACAGCATGCTGATCCCCCAAACCCTTCAGGCAGCTCTTTGTCACTGACAGAGAATTTTCCAGTAATGTAAGCTGTATGTTTGAAGCTGCATGCTCGACATGCAGCGCATCAGAAGTAGGGCTGCACGATATAAACAAAATACCACACTGAGAATGTATTACTGCACAGAGCAACGATACGCCTTGCAGTATATTATTAATAATGAGGTTAACGGTCAGGCTGTGTTGTATTTCAGCTGCAGTGCTGATTGGCGAACAGTACGTTGAGCAGCCCTAATCAAAAGTGATTGTAGTCATTGGGTCATTTGCTCATTAAAGAATGAAGTAGCTCATAATGTTATTCTTAGCCCGAACCAAAACAAACGTGTTGCTGGCGTTCGTTCATTGTGACGATGGTCTCTATAACTCATTTAAATTTTCCACCAGAGGAGTTCCGGCGCCTGCGTGCCCACGTTTGTCACAGTAAAGTGGATCAGCATGTGGAATTGGAGCTCTCTGTGTGCTGCCATGTTTTCTATCACTGTATGAAAGAAACTTCATGCTGCCTTTATTGCTGGACGCACTACTTTCTGAGCGAGTGTTCAGACACATGGAAACAGCTATTATTGATTTGCTTTATCAGTAATAACTAGTGTTGCACTGTATACATACTGTATCAGTATCGGCGCTGATACTGGTCCTTAAACGCAGTATTGGAGATGGGGATACCAATACATATGACCAATACCACAAAGCAGTTTTTGATGCGTGCGTGCACACCAGTAGACAGAACCTAACAACACATCGGCAGGGTGGAACGACAAGCAGCAGTAAAAATGCTCATGGCAGAATCGGTTAACAGTTTTTGGTGTTAAGAACACGCTAACGGAGCCGCTTGCCTGAACGGCTGAGCTGCTTCTTTCAGTAATCACTCGTCTGTCGCTGTGTGGTCACTTACAGTTTGAGTTAATGTTACTGAGAGAGCGGAAGGAACTGCTGGACTCTCAGCGTAGCCTTTAGCCTCAATTTAGCCTTTAGCATAGCAGCCTCTTAGCCAGGCCTGTGCGTCCACTAGCCTCACCTGCGGTGCACCTCCGTCAGTCAGCTGTATCGCTCAGTAATGGGGTCTCGCGGTCCGTCGCTTCAAACAAGCCGGAAAAAACACTGAGAGTCACTAATGCTGACAGCGTGAACGACGGTGATGCTTACTGAACTGACATTCAGAGATGCAGCACGAGTGAACAAAATAAACGTTTGAGACGAATCGAGCCAGAGAAGCTGCTGTGTGCTGATGTGCAAACACCACAGGATTACCTTTATACTGTTTTTGACTGTTTTGCACAAAAAAGATGTTTTACATTTACTAAGTTGTTAAACATGCTTCTTATTACTAATTATGTAACAGTAAATACTAAAGTTAAGCAATAAATAAACAAAAATAAGTTTTCTTAAGCATCTAAACAATATAGTCCAACAAATAAATGCCATCTAGGCAAGCTGAGTGTGTTTTAGTTGTGACACAGAACACAGATTTTTTCCAAAATAAAGTAGTTTAAAAATGTATCAGTATCGGTACTCGGTATCGGCCCCTACTAAAGGATCAGGTGTCGGTATGGGTATCAGAAGAGAAAAAATGGTATCGGTGCATCTCTAATAATAACAAAACTGAAACTGAAGTGTCCAAAAATAGTAACTTTACAGTTCTTGTAATGTAACTAAAGAGATTCTATTCTAAGCAATTTTGCAGAAAATTAAAAATCACAAAAAATGAAGATACTTAGATTTTTGTGGACAGCGACGATATTCTCGTTCCTATGCTTGTGTGGTTAACGTTTAATTCAAATGGTCTTTGGTCTTTATGTAATGAATAAATGCAACAGCAGCATTGTTCATTCACCTTTTTAAAACAGAAGACTAAACAGCATATAATCAGCGCAAATGCAAGGGTGGGACTACAGATTGTCTAGATTCTCATGTTCTTTGCCTGCGGCATTTGTACTGTCTTCCCAGATCAGCAGAATGCAGTGTATTATCAGAAGACCTTTCTTTCATGATGTAGGAAACTTTCTCAACCAGCACAGCTCGCTCCAGCACTAACCCCTTTGTTTCTTTGTCTTTTCCTGATGGCAGGGTTTTATCGGACCCCCAGGTGTAGCAGGACCACCGGGCCTAGAGGGTGAGAGAGTAAGTCTCCCGTCCCATCTGTGCGCTCAAACACTGCATGACTTGTGCGCTGGAAGGGGCAGGGTTTGAGTGGCAGGTAAAATTGCTCCGATTACAGGGCAGCGGTGTGCCTTACTTATAATTACATTTGGTACAGAGGAATTTGAGTGGCCGTAGATACTGTGCTACAGTACGGAGTCCGAGCGTTGGCTGAAGTTAAAGGGATATGCATAAGATAAACAAGTAGTGGTGTTTGGCTTGTTGAGTCTGTCGTTGTTTTTTAAATAGACTAAACATGTTGTGAATGAGAGTTTGATCTCGCATGATCAACTGCTCTTGGTCGACTGGTTGAGATTTATGGCTGTCAGCGAGGTCTGCACACATGACTGTGTCTGTGTTGTTACAGAACGTATTAATGACAGCTGGAGGCAGGAGGAGTAGGGGTGGGAATCACTACAGGCCCCACAGTACAGTATTGTCGTGGTATTTAAGGGTTGCAGTGTGATTCTGCAGTATTTAAGGATGATATACCGAGTATTGCAAAATGACATATTGATTTATGAAAGTGTGTTTGAAAATGCATTATAGACCCTTTCAAACCTTTTATTCATGATATATTCATGATAAACGTTACTGGGAGTGAAGCAAAGCAGAATTATGAGCAAATCAACATATTTGAACAAATGCTTTTATCTAGAACAATTTATAACGGCAGGTGAATGGAACATCGGGAGTCATGCGTTATGGACGGTGGGGTTGGGCGGTATTCCCTTTTTAATAACGTCAGACTATGTCCAAATATGACCATGGTGTACGTGGGGGTCGGGGGGGTGGGTTGGTAGTTAAGTGACGTAAAAGACATATGAAGCCTTTGTCATCTTGCACTGCTATATAAGCGCTAGTTTAAGAGGAGCCTGGCCACTTCCTGTTTCTCCCATTATACTAAAAACATGACTAAGAAACACCAGAGGGCGCCCGTGAGCAAGTCCTCAATGAATGGGGGCGAAAGAAGCCAAACAACTATAGGATGTATGTCACTAAAAAAGCATAGAAAACATCTGTATTTTTCCTTTTTTTTCTACAGCAGACAGTTTTTGGCTATACTTTGGGCTGCATTACTGCTATTGAGTGCTGATTGGTTGGCCAATGGAGAAGCTCATTGGCTGAGTGAAGGAGTTTGTGCTCACTGACGTCATGAACGTAAACGAGGCATCATTATAAACTCCTGTAACTGGCGCTCAGTAATATATCATTGCTTTTAAAATGTTTTGTGCCGTTCTGCGTTCAGCAAACGAACACATTTATCTATGTAAAAATCTTTAAGCATTTACAAACAATGATTTTGCTCAAATGCTCCATATTAAACCATTCATTTCAGAGTAGCTCAGGAGCGCCCCCTAGCATTCGGCAAAGCCAGAAGACGTTATTTTCCACACTACAAACTTTCTGCTGTTATTTTAAAATTGAAATAAAGACCAAAACGATTATTTTGCTGTCTTTACTATTTGTTACCAAATAGGTGAGCATAGTGCACAAATTTTTAAGGCATCATTCAATAAATGTCAAACCATCCATCTAACAATTTATGAATGTTACGCAGTGCTGCAAACTACGAGAGAGGTGGTGGTTAGCATTAGCCATTAGCTTAGATAGCGTGATAACTGCTCTGCTCACCAGAGCATTCAAACTAAAGCACTAACTAAGGCACTGACTCGAGTTTAGATGATAATGAGTCGAGCAACTGGTATTGGTGGGACAGAAAGGCAGAGTTAAACCTGTTCCATAGTTTGAATCTGTAGCTTGATCGGCTAACTTAACATTAGCCTAGCGAGCAGCTACTGACCAAAACAGTACCACACACCACAGTACAGGTTTGATTCTGACTAACTGGTGCTCTGCTGAAACGAGTTTAGTAGATAAAAACTGGTGTCTGAGTCGAGTGAGTGACAGCAAGTCTAAAGCCTAAAACCTGTTATTTGGTGTTTAAGACTAGCGTTTTAGGCAGCTGGCCGAACGTGCCACACTGGCTGGTGCTAAAATTACATCTGTTTAGAGTTTATCTGGGAGCACAAAATCGAGAGACTGAGAGAAAACTGAAACTGAGTATGTTCTGTGGTGTGTGTAGCCATCACTGAGCTACCATCATGCTAAAGGCCACTGCGCATCAGCATCCACATTGTTCAAAACGTAGATGCTGTAGTTTCTAATGAACTTTCTCACACCAACACTCAGTGACTCCAAGCACTGTTTTGCACAGCTTTCTCGTTGACATCCTCAGTGTCGCCCATTTCTGAGAGTTCTAATGGTTTTATTCTCTTACGTCAGTCTCTTCAGAGATGCCAAAGCTGATACATCTAAGCACAACAGTTAGAATGAGGACAACATGTTATAAAACAAAATAACTTCTTGAAGAGAACTGCTGGGAAAAAAAAATAATAGCTGACAGAAACCAACAACACTACTAAGAATGCTGAGAAATTTTGGTTATCATAATTTCTAGCTCCTTAAACCCAGCATTGATAGCATTGTTCGGGCAGCACTGAAGCTTTAAGAGCTGTGAAGAATTTGGTAAACTGATGTAGAACTAGATGTTTTTATTTGCTTGTAGCTGCAATCTTGTTGCCTTCTGTTCCTTTCCCTTTTGAAGGTCACGGAGGTAATAGAAACAGAAATTGAAGTCGTATTTGAAGGTCGCTTTGTTGTTGTGCTAGAAGCGATATGGTAACACTTTAGAGTTCAGATTTCAAAACTCTTTAATTACTCTGAAAGCCTGAGAGTTTATGCCCTTACTTATTTATTGTTTTTTCTTAGTAGGTCCATCTGGTGTATGTTTAAAATGCTTGGGTTTTATTATTGAAGTTTACTGTGTGGTGTACAGACATGTTTAATTACATGCAGCAACGTTTAAAGTGCTCTTATCTGAAAAGCCTGACCATGCTTATTGATCTCGGGAAACAAAGGCACAGTGGGAGAGCACTGATGTTTATTCCGCATGATAAGTGTTGTTATTGAAAACAATAGAATACCAAATTTTATTAGTTTGATTTGATGATTTATATGCAAGTGAAGGTGTTACTTTTACATTTGATGTGTTGGTAACTTCCTCTGTTCTCTGCCTTATTCATATTCTCCCTTCTCACTTTGCAGGGGATTCCAGGCCCTGTGGGGAAGAAAGGTCCCAAAGGGAGACAGGTAAGAGATGATGCTTTTAAATTTCTCTGTGCATTACCCTACCTGCAGCACAAAACACTGTCTGATTCAATCTCCTGTCATTAACTGAGGTGCACATTTTCCGGAGAGAGCAATTTAGCAGTGAGTGAAGGGGCTGACGTTGCCTGCAGGAGAAAAAAACAATGCTTCTGACAACTTACAGCTTGTCAGCATTTTGAGCTCACTTATCAGGATGGAGAACTGCAGTCTCTGCTCTAAAAAATAATGCTATTGAATAGTGTAGGTATATCTGAAGTGGTCTATTTGTAGAGATGTGAAGGGGTGAATCTACTTGTAGAGACTGTGGGGGGTCAACAAGAAGAGGTGAGTTTATTTGTACAGAATTATGTAGAATGTTACCTGGAGACGGTGCAGAAGTGAAGCTACATTTGGAGAGAAAAGACCACGGATACAGAGGGAGAACAGGGTGGAGGGTTATGTTTAGAGAGACAATGAGATGGAACAGTGCCTGTAGACAAAAAAGGGGACTGCGTGTTACCTGTAGAGACAGAGAAGGATGGGACTTTCCCTGTGAAGAGGAAAAGGGAGTGGTACTTTATCTATGAAGAAAGAAGGGGCCAGGATTTTGCCTGTAGAAAAAGATGGGGGCACAGCATTACCTGTAATTCAAATGAGGGGTTGCTGCAATATATTATCTCTATATATTTATATATGTATGTGTAGAGAGAAAGAAGTTTACTGAGGGAAGGCAGCGAGTGACTGCTTGTAGAGAAGAGGGTGGTAACATACCTGTAGAGAGAGATGTGGACGGCAGGTTACTTGTAAAGAGAGAAGGAGCAGGAGGTTACCTGTAGAGAGAGAAGGGGTGGGAGGTTACCTGTAGAGAGAGAAAGAGCAGGAGGTTACCTGTAGAAAGAGAAGGGGTGGGAGGTTACCTGTAGAGAGAGAAGGGGTGGGAGGTTACCTGTAGAGAGAGAAGGGGTGGGAGGTTGCCTGTAGAGAGGGAAGGGGTGGGAGGATACCTGTAGAGAGAGAAGGGGTGGAACGTTACCTGTAGAGAGAGAAGGGGTGGGAGGTTACCTGTAGAGAGAGAAGGGGTGGGAGGTTACCTGTAGAGAGAGAAGGGGTGGGAGGTTACCTGTAGAGAGAGAAGGGGTGGGAGGTTACCTGTAGAGAGGGAAGGGGTGGGAGGATACCTGTAGAGAGAGAAGTGGTGGGAGGTTACCTGTAGAGAGAGAAGGGGTGGAACGTTACCTGTAGAGAGAGAAGGGGTGGGAGATTACCTGTAGAGAGGGAAGGGGTGGGAGGTTACCTGTAGAGAGAGAAGGGGTGGGAGGTTACCTGTAGAGAGAGAAGGGGTGGGAGGTTACCTGTAGAGAGAGAAGGGGTGGGAGATTACCTGTAGAGAGGGAAGGGGTGGGAGGTTACCTGTAGAGAGAGAAGGGGTGGAACGTTACCTGTAGAGAGAGAAGGGGTGGGAGGTTACCTGTAGAGAGAGAAGGGGTGGGAGATTACCTGTAGAGAGGGAAGGGGTGGGAGGTTACCTGTAGAGAGAGAAGGGGTGGAACGTTACCTGTAGAGAGAGAAGGGGTAGGAGGATACCTGTAGAGAGAGAAGGGGTGGGAGGTTACCTGTAGAGAGAGAAGGGGTGGAACGTTACCTGTAGAGAGGGAAGGGGTGGGAGGTTACCTGTAGAGAGAGAAGGGGTGGGAGGCTACCTGTAGAGAGGGAAGGGGTGGGAGGCTACCTGTAGAGAGAGAAGGTGTGGGAGGTTACCTGTAGAGAGAGAAGGGGTGGGAGGTTACCTGTAGAGAGGGAAGGTGTGGGAGGTTACCTGTAGAGAGAGAAGGGGTGGGAGGTTACCTGTAGAGAGGGAAGGTTACCTGTAGAGAGTAAAGGGGTGGGAGGATACCTGTAGAGAGAGAAGGGGTGGGAGGTTACCTGTAGAGAGGGAAGGTTACCTGTAGAGAGGGAAGGGGTGGGAGGTTACCTGTAGAGAGGGAAGGTTACCTGTAGAGAGAGAAGGGGTGGGAGGTTACCTGTAGAGAGGGAAGGTTACCTGTAGAGAGGGAAGGGGTGGGAGGTTACCTGTAGAGAGGGAAGGTTACCTGTAGAGAGGGAAGGGGTGGGAGGTTACCTGTAGAGAGGGAAGGTTACCTGTAGAGAGGGAAGGGGTGTGAAGACGCTAAAACTCATCTTTCCTGACACTCACTACACTGAGATGTATGCATCTGGCAGATACTCTTATTCAGAGTGACTTATAGTTTAGTCATGTTACAGAAGCAGATGACTGTAGCTGCCGAAAAAAAAGGAAAGAAAAGCCATTTTCCTCTTTCATAGATAGCTGAGATTTAACTGTACGTCACACTGCACCTACTACTGTAACTTAATATTTATCTCTCCCAGTGTTTCAACGTGTTTTTAATAGAATATCGTGTTTATTTATAAGGTTGGAGAGTGTCTCCAGCCACCAGCAGATCTCCTTTCAGACATATTGTTCCTATAAAAACACATGTCAGGGCAGCAGCTGAGACGCTACCTGGTGCACTCTGCCAACTGGGCACTGTTCCCAGTGTCTGTGGGCAACGCTGTCTAATCACATCCTCCCCTGGGTGGATGAAAGCTAGGTGGAAGACATTCAAAGGCCTATGGAGTCTAAAAAATCCAGGAGAACCTCCTGCCCTCCCTCATACAGGCCTTCTTCAGGACCCCCCAGCCGTTGATACTCGCTGTCCTGTTCACAGACTTCACCCTATGATCTCTCTGTGATCACATTTTTCTACACTCAAAATGAGATTTCTTATCTCAAGCGGGTTATTTTGCTGTTCTAAACTTGCAGAAGTTAACATTGTGTGGGCCTGAAGAGGCCTTTAATTGACCTGCCCATGCTGTACTCACAAATGGGTTCTTTCATAGCTACTGTTGTGAGGGTGCATGAGCTTTACAGAATGCTGGCAAAAATCCCTTTAACTTAATGAGAAACCGTTCGGTATGTGTCAGTTTTTATCAAAACGTGAATTCAGAATATGCATTTTAAACTGGAATCTTGACATTATATACGCTGTAAACAGTTGCTGTAGTTTTACAGTTATCTGAGCTACAATTTTCAACAACATGCGGTTTTCTTAGATTACAGTATTTCAAAGTATCTTAGTGTGAATTCTGGGTGCTGATGTGCATCCTTAACAGTTTTCTCTATAATTTAAGTAAGAGTCTATTTGTAAAACATAATGGGGTTTTAAATGTATCAACACATTATGCTAAATGAGGCTGTTGCGTGTTTTAAACAGAAGGTTAGATTTATGTTTTGTTCTTCTAGGCATCTTTTATTATGATCAAAAACGTCTACCTGTTTGAAACTGGGTGTCCTGTGCGATTATACAGTTGTTAATGAATGCAAGATGCTTGAATCCCAATTATTGGAAGGCACAAAGGAACACAAAAATGCTAACCTTAATGAATGGAAGGTAGTATACAGGAGGGTAGGGGGTCACTTTAAATGTATGGATAGAATTAAGTTAAAGAGAGCATGATCTATGCCACACTGTCAGCATTAGGCCCTGTTAAGCTAATGCGTCATTAAAGTCTTTTTTGTATTCAGGGTGTGGTCGGGGACCCTGGGGAGAGGGGCCCTCCTGGACCGGACGGGAATGAGGTATACTTTCATACTTTGCTATATCTACTGAGGTTTCATCCTGGGAGAAGTGGTGTTATGGATTAGAGATATTTATGCGTGTACGTTAGACTCTGAGGAGTCAATAAACAGACTAACAGTTTGCTAAATGAGCTCAGATGTAGTGAATTTGCTGGTACGAGTGCAATGAATTTGATAGAGAAACGTATCCATACACCAGTAATGGACAGTTCCGATTCGGGAATTGTTTGTGTGTCCGCATTAATGTTGAATTGTGAAGTCTGACTCCTGAACATGTCATAGTCGAGTCAGCGTCGGCAGGTTCCTGTAGACGGGCCTTACGGTATGACTAATGTACATTTTCTAATTGCGTGTTTTGTGCATGTTTTAACAGGGACCTGTTGGAGCAACTGGCACTGGTGGCTTTCCTGGCCTCAGAGTGAGTATGTCTCTCTCTCTCTCACACACACACACCCTCACCCAGTCACCACACACAGCTATACAGTTCACTCAGAATGGTACAAAAAGACTTCCAGTGAGTGGCAGGTCCAGGGAGAGAAATGCCTTGTTGATGAGAGAGGTCAACAGAGAATGGCCAGACTGGTTTAAGCCGACAGAAAGGCTAAAGTAACTCAGATGACCACTCTGTTCAATTGTGGTGAGCCAAGGACAGGAAGCTGAGGCTGATTTATACAAGACAGCTGAAGACTGGAAAAACATAGCCTGGTCTGATGGATCTCAATTTCTGCTGAGGTGGTGTCAGAATTTGGTGCCAGCAGCATGAATCCATGGATCCAAGCAGTGGTTTAATGGTGTGGGGAATGTTTTCTTGGCACGCTTTGCGCCCGTTAATCATCACTTGAATGCCACAGCCTATGTGCATCTCTTCAAAGTTACAATTTACCATCTTCTAATGGCTACTTCCAGCATGATAATGCACCATGTCACAAAGCAAGAGTCGTCCCAAACTGATTTCATGATTTCTTGGGTGGCCTTCCCAGTCACCGGATCCGAATTCAACAGAACACCTTTAGGATGTGGCAGAACTGGAGATTCACAGCATGGAAGATGAAGACCTGAAAAATCTGCAGAAATTGCATGATGCAGTCATGTCTACATGTTGACAGATTCTCAAAGGAATGGGAACGTCTATGGAATCCATGCCATGAAGCAAGGAGGCCCTACCAGTATGATTATAGTGCTCTATACAGTTCCTTCCATATTTCTTCTAATGTTCTCTAATAAACTGCTCAGTTAGCATATATGTAAGTATTTATGTGACACTCTAAACCTAACCTTAACATTAATCAGCTTAAATGTATATGATATTTAAAGTTTTAGTTTCTTGGGAAAACACAGAGGAAGAACCCTTAATGGTGATATTTCAAAAGATGGTCCTTTTTCAACTCTTCAGCAGCAGATTGAGTCTTTCCTCACCTTTGTCTTTGCATTTGTCTTGTTTATTAGTCGTACAGAGAGAGTGCGGAGCTGTGCTGTGGCTGTTGTTGTGTTATAGCTGCTTCCTGTCTTGAGCTGCTTGGAATCGCCGAGGCCAAGGTCATTTGTTTTTTAGTGGCAGTTGAAGCCAGCATTGCGCTCTTTTAGTGCTGCGCTACTGTATGACACTCAGTCTGGCCAGGTCCAGTCTGCCAAGAGTGGATTAGGACCATTTAATGCACTTTAAGGGCTTAGGAGAAAGTCAGCAGCTGAACATTTTTAGTTGGACAAGGACGTGGAGAGATACAGCCCTCTAGAGTGGCTAGAAAAGAGAGAGAAATTGAGAGACCTTTAGTTTAACAAGAGAAAGTGCTTTGAGAACAAACCAAAAAATTATTGTTTGTACCACGCATCAACAGAGGTGTAAAGCCGCAGTCACACTAGAAATTGCCTGTGAGAAATAGGCATGACCAAAGTGGGACCTGAAGACTGGCAGCAAAAAATTGCAATATGGTAGTGACTTAGCATTTCAGCTGTTGCCAGCGATATTGTGGTGAGGTTGGGAAATGGTATGCCGTTCTAGAACCTTGACGTTATGTGGAGCTTCTTTGTACTAGAAAAAGGTTCTTCACACTACCACATCTCATTTACAAAACTGGTTCTTTAAAGAACCATCTGTTAAAAGATTCTTTAGAGAACTGTTTCTCAAACCTGTCCTCGGGACCCTCTAGTTGGTCCACACTTTTGCTTTGTCCCAACACATAGAGCAAATTATTTTAATTGCAGAAGAAAAAGGATTTTTATTTATTTACTATATATAATTTGTATTTGCCGTTATATAATCAGTTATAAATATTATATAAATATTAGTTATATTTTTACAGCTGACGTAAATGTAAAATATTTTAGTTTAGTAAATATAACAGCCTTTCATGCTGTCAGCACCAGCTGTTTTCATCGAATTTCGTGGCTTGCTTGAAGCACCAGGCCATGAGACCACACCACTGTGTGATGCATCTGACTGACAAAGCTGCACTGCAGGTGGAGCTAGTGGACAGCCAAACGTGGGTTAAACCAAGGCTAAAGGCTAACATCACCCCAAGAGACTGGCAGTTTCTTCCATAGTTCTCTCTAATGCTCTCCAGTCCCTCGATAACAACCTGGACTAACATTAACTCAGACTATAACTGACTACGCAGCAGGAGATGAGTGATTACTGAAAGAAGCCTAGCTTAGCCATTCAGATAAAAGACTACCATTAGCTTGTTTGCACTGTTTGCATGTTGTGTTATCTGGCTTTTTTTGGAATTCCAGGAATTCCATTTTTACTACTGCTTGTCACCCCACACCGCCGACATGTTATTAAGTTCTATTAAGGTCTACTGTGGCACATGCATGCATCACTCAATAGAGTGCATGCACGTGTTATAGCCGCTCCCTATCTTGAGCTGCTTGGAATCGAAGGCCAAGGTCATTTGTTTTTTAGTGGCAGTTGAAGCCAGCGTTGCACTCTTTTAGTGCTGCGCTACTGTATGACACTTAGTCAACTCAGTTTGATGATACAAATTCATGTGACAATCGCTTCAACCCAAAGTTTTACACATAACATGTTTTTACCATTGGGAGGGTGCAGTGTGAAACTTGATATATATATATATATATATATATATATATATTGAAATGAACCAATTCAGCTAAAATTAATGTCATGTTGCTAATGAAATTTTGCTGTCAAGACATTTGAGGCAGCTTTATCCTTCATTCTCCCCTGGAAGGAACCTCACCATGCTTACTTTCTTTCTCACACTTAACCTCTACAGCCATAACTTAGGCTCACTTTTGAACAGTATATATGGCTACTATTATAAACATGATGCTAGCAAGACTAACAATCTGCAGAGTGTTTCCCTCCCAGCTCTAGTTGCATTAAAATGTCTACACAAATAAAAATTGTTGTTATAAAATATGCAAAATTTCCTAGATTCCATTAATCCAATAGAATCATATGTCAGTATCTGTGGCTACTATTTCATAATACACATTCTCCACACTCAGGACATGCAAGGTCAGCATGTAAAACCCTGGAAGGAGATGTAATATTGGAACAGAAAGCAGAGGAGTTTGGATGTTTTTGTGAAAGCAAGATTTATATTGTTGGTACAGTATCCAGAAGTAATGTTGCCAGTAGACACTCAGCCAGGGTACACCTTTTATAATTATTTAACGCTGTGTACTATATGCTGCTTCAGATGCTGAGGATGTTCTTGGACAGCAGTGTTTTCCAGTTCTGGTACTCTTGCACTACACAGTTCAGTGCTTTCCCTTATATGCTACAGTTCTTTGGTTCTTGAAAGCCATTTGGTTCTGCTGTATGCTAAAGGTTCTGCACCTGTTTCTACAGTCCAACCCCAAATCATGAGATATTCCCCTCTTGCACAGATTAAACTAAACCAGCAGTCAGTAGTCCGGCAAAGCTAAGTGCTATAAAGCATGGGGGGGTGTAGCCAAAACTGTGGCAGGTCTTCTACACCCAGAATAGCTTCTGTATGTTGTATGTTCTGGTCATGTTCCTGTGGACCAGTTATCATATAATGCTATTCCAGATTTTCATTGAGAAGGTTTGCAGATTCACTGTCTCAGAGAGCCCCATTCCTTCATTTATAGCCACTAAAACTTGATGCTGTCAAATCCATGAGTGTGGTGACTTGTTCCGATTTGTCGGTCATGACAGGAGCACGTGCTGGTTGGACACGGCAGAATGGGAAGCATGTGGTGCAAGAGACATGAGAGAAAACCCCAGGTACACTGTTCCAGAGAAACCCCTTATACAGACCTTCATGAACAGTTGGATCCATGCAGCAAATTACATTTGTCCAGTATTTGTCAAGTGGAAGGGCAGCTGGTTGGACAGTTTTACCTTCACCTGTACTCTCTTGCTGTTCAGTGCTGTAAAGAAACTTATTTATGACTCTAGTAATCTTCCAGCAACTCAAGCGAGTTATGATTCCATTCTCAAAAGTGCTTCACGCAGCCATTTTTCAGACTGAAATGTTGGTGGCTTGGTCTTAGACATGATTGATTATGTTTCTGGCCACTTTCACTCAGTCACGGCTGCAAAATGATCAGTGACTGGGCAATGTGCTCAGTGTTTGGGATACTGAGATCATTTCCAGACGAAAAGTTTCATTTTTTATTGTTATTTTTCATGTAAGAGAAAGAACACTCAGTGTGACTCGGCTGTAAAACCACACTGATTCACTTTTTAAGTCACAGGCAACAGAGTTTGAAATGTCACCTTATTATGAGACTCAGATGTACAGTTCAGCAGCATTCCAACAGATGGAATTGCTTTCGCGGTGCTCTGATGTGCTGGCTCCTCAGTGGTGGAATAAACTTCCCATTTCAGCTCAGACAGCTCAGTTTTTCTCTTCCTTCCTATGGAGATATATTTATATCTCCAAATAGCACTTATCTTAATATTTGCCCAGTTTCCTGTTTGTTTTGTTGAAGTCCTTGTTAAATGTGTTCTCTACTTCACAGTAATAACACCATTGAATGTACATACAGGTGATAAATTACAGGAAAAGCCAATATAGAGTCTTAGTAAGATGTTCAGCCTCCTTGAGGTGCCAGAATGGCTTCAGTGGGGCTTAACATAGATTCTATAAGTGAAACTGTCCTGGAGGGATGGAGCATGGTTCTTCCAAAAGAGATACCTTCAGCAGGAATAGCAGGAGAGCACTGTCTCACAAATCAGTCCAAAACCTCCCAAAGGTCTTCCTTTGGGATAAGATCTCGTGACTGTAAAGGTCATAGCATATGATTTACATCATTCTCAAACTGATCAAACCATTCATTTACCCCCTCATGCACTGTGGATGGGGTGGTGTTATCCTGGAAAAGACCGCTCCCATCTGTGTAGAACATTTTTCACTATATAATAAAGGTGAACAGATAGAGTAACATTGTAGTTATTGGCAGTGAACCAATCACTAAACCAAAACATGGCCTGGTTTTTGCACATTTCAGTAGACCAGTGGAGATGGTTTTCGATCCACTGATGTGCATTTGACTTTGTAACGAGGGGTTCATCAAGTGAGGGTCTAGTTTGACTGAGAAACTTGAGAAAGCAGCAGTGTGTTCTTGGAGAGTAGTGGTTTCCTCTGTCATAGCCTCCCATGAACACCATTCCTGTTTAGTAGACTTATGAGCGCAGGCATTATCGAGTGCAGGAGGTACTTGCAAATCCCTTACTGGCACCCAGTTAGGGATTTCCAGAGGTAGATGGCGATGGCCCACCAGCTGCAGACAACATATGTCCCAACTGGTACTCAAACCTGATTCCCAGCTGGAGTGACAGTGGGCTGAAATCTGGTGGTTTTGTAAGTTTGTCTAAATACTTTTTTCAATATGCTAGTAAGTGTAGTTTCCTAGAATAACAAAATCTTACACCATGTCCGTCCTCCACTTCAGTGCGCCTACTGTCAGTTTCAGAGTCGTTTTCTGGAAGCGTTTGTGAGGGCAGTATCACATTACGGCCTGTGCTCTTTTCTCTCTCCGGAGCCCCTCGTTTTTTATCACATGCCATCAGTTGAAAGAGATAGAGGGCTTTTATGAAGTGCATGCGATTTGTCTTCATCCCACCAAACCATTAGGGCCTCATGCCCCTCCCCGATTCCTGACTTTAGCAGCTCCAGATGTACTGCTTTTTTCATGCCACACACCCTTTATGGTAGTGGGCTCAGGCTGCTGGAGGACACTGATTCCTGAATGAATCATTTTGATGACTCTGAAGATCAGAGATAAGTGAAGAACCTCTCCTTGCTAGTGCTTCAGCTGTCCACTGCTCAGCAGGATTACCAACCTCAGACCATTCACAGCTGTCCATCCCATAGTTAGCAGATAATAGTTAATGGGTTAATCTGAGCAGTGTGGCAGGCAGATGCAAACACAGAATTGTGGTCTGATCTTTGCCTCTAGACTCCATATAGACATCCACTTGCACCCTGTGAAGAAATACATTTTGAGTCAATCGCTCCTGCATTAAAGTTGAAGGGAAGGGTATTTGTTTTGTTATTAAGCAGAAAGGAAGCTGGCCCCAGTAAGTGTCATACTCATACCATAAATACAGTCAATTTAAATCTAGTTATTACTGTGGTTTAACTCTACCACCTCCTTCCTAGCACTAATAATCAGAACCAGTCACACCTTATTTGTTGGCAAACATTTGGCAACATAGAAGCACTCAGTATCATGTCTGCCACGTTCCCATGCATTTCTGCAGACCTACCCAACAGAGCTAAAGCTGCATCATCTGAATTGCCAAAGCCAAACAAAGAGCATTGGCTGGCATACTAAGCACAAGATGAGGATGAATATGGTACCCACGTTTAAGCCTTTCTCCATAATTCCTCTTTTTCTCCTGATCTAACAAAAGAACTTTCTAGATGATCCATACATTTCTGCGTGTTGTGATGAACTGCTGGTGATGCAGACACGGCTTTGTAGCTGCCTGATTATCCGGCAAAAACCCTGATTCTTCAGGTGGTCAATGTGCATGTTCTCAAAGCCCTGGAGTTTTTTTAAGAAGTGCGCTTTTGAGAGATAATGCACCCAGACTTGATGTTGTAGACCTTTTCTAAAGAGTGATGACACCCTTGGAATGCACTGTTTGAGACCTGGAGGAAATTTGTGTCAGAATCGCTGTCACAAGACGGGGAGAAGAATGGATTGAGAATTTCCTCATAAACCTGTCATGCAGTACCTGTCACAAGCAGGCCGGTGATGCTTAAACCTGCTCATAAAGATTTGTTGCCCCTAATCAGGCACACCTGATACAGCTTATCAAGGTCTTTAGAAGCGTCTGTTTATGAGCGAAGGGTACAGTAGGTTAGGACTGGAACTAATCTCTGTAATCTCCAGCAACTGAGATGGTCATGCCTGGAGAAGTATATCTAGAGAGTAATGAAAATAACTTATTGAACCTAATCACATTTTTCTTGGTTACCAATGAGACGGGCTAGTAAGTGCACTGAGATGTTTCTGGACACAAAGCAGACACGTTTTCACCTGACGTTTTTCAGGTTTTCTTGAAACATTGGAAATTAATCACTAAATGTCAGTCATTTCTTTCAGCTTCTTTCAGTGTATACCCAGCCTTTTCTTGCCCAGAGGCTAGTCTGTCATTTCAAAGAAATGAAAGACATGACCAGTTATAAAAAGCTCTGCTTCAACTCCTTCCTCAGCACAACCTTGACTTGAGAACAAAAATGCTATTAATGAATTGAAGCAAGTTCACAACTATAAAACATCCTCAGAGTATCGCAGTGATTTTTGCATCTCCTATAAAACTACCACACAATCAGTCATATAAAGGTCACATAAAGGTTCAGTCTAAAGTAGTGCAATTTTTGTTTTTTGTTTTTTTTTAGGGTGACCCTGGGCCTGAGGGACCTCGTGGACTGCCTGGCATTGTGGGACCTCAGGTAATGACCACTCGCTCTTTGTAACCTCACTGGTGGACGATAAAAACCTCTGTTGAAAACCACCTCTTCTGTCATTGGCAGGGCCTGGCGGGAGGGGTGGGGCCACCAGGATTGAAAGGTGATAAGGTGATCTAAATATTTCTATTATTGCAGTGAATCTGTACATGTTTTGAGCCTCTCGTGTCAGTAATGGATAATTTTAGTTAGTTTAAGTTTAGCTGTAACATTTAGGTAAAGCCATGTTGAATTAAAAGCTGCACTTGATTGTATAAAGATTTCCCCAAAGTCATAAAGTACTAGTTCTAGTAATGTAGTTCTGACATATGTTAATGGTGTTAGTTGCTACATTGTATCCCAGACAGTCTCAGACTGGCTATGCTAGCATCAGAAGTTCTTCAGAACATCTTCACGATGCTTGAGTCTTGTAGTCTTGGTGTTGCTGACATTGACAGTCTTTTATTGCAGTATTAGCATGCTACTTGCAATGGTTCCTCTTTGGGGTTATGAATTGATGCTTTTATGAATTTACAAATGTTAGAGTGTTGTTGTCTCTTTGAAAGTGAAACTGCCGCTGCACTAAATCTGCTATGTTTAGCCTGTAATCTCTCTGTGATAATGTGTAATCTAGGGTGAACCTGGATCAAGAGGAGAGCCAGGAGAATATGGTTACCAAGGTGACAAGGTAGGGGAAATGTTATGGGAAAAATTGAATTAACATGCATTTATGAGCCTGAAGGCTGGAAAACAATAGATAGCAGCTGCTAATTAATGCAACACCTGCTGTTTTTAAAATTTAGATGTTTAACTGGTTTACACTGTTAAAGGAGAGGGTGTAGTGTAGTGGGTAACACCTCTACCTTCTAGACTATAGACTGGGGTTCAATCCCCATCTGGGTAAGCACTCTACACTATACCAGTAAGAGTCCTTGGGCAAGACTCCTAACACTACCTTCGCCCACCTGTGTAAAATGATCGAATTGTAATGTTTGCTTTTAAGGATACCGTTGCAAATCAGCATTGATATGTTGATGGCATTACAGTCTTGCATCTGTGAAATGAAAACTTCATAGATAAAAAGGTTCTTAGGAACATTTTTATAGACGTTCTTCATGTTTGTCAGCATGGTAATGTTTATTAATGTTGTCGTTTGTGCAGGGGGCTGCTGGTATTCCAGGACCACCTGGCCCACGTGGAAAACCTGGACCAGCGGTACGATAGCCAGTCATTAGCACAGCACCTCATTACTGAGAAAACTCCATAAACACACTGTGTATTTAAGAAACTGCCGGCACGACCTTCACTCTCAGAGCTGTTCAAGAACAATGGCTGCTCGCAATTTGTTTTGCACACTAGAAACACCTGTTTAGCCTCCAGTCCACTCTGTTTATGGAGCATGCACTGTGTTAAAGTGAGGAAAGCTTTGCTGGCCTTCAGTTCTGCAAGATTGAGCTTGCAGCTGATTGACATTTTGTACTTGTGCCTATTTTAAAAATGGTTTATCCTGGCACTGGAAGAGGAAGGAGTGCTGCTGTGGCTTGTGTTAGCATCTACAGCAATCAGTGTTTGTTTTGTGTTAGGCTGCTGCAGTATCCATCCAGCGCCTGCCAATGATGAAGCGTTATTACAAGGCTATATGAAAATTAGTTCCACTTAAGCCGCCTGCATTGCTTTCAGTACTTACATTATCAGTGATCCTTATCAGTGAATGGATCTGATGTAAGAGAAATAAATAAAAGTCAGTGAAGCTTTCAAGAATTAACTCCACACCTCCTAGCAGGGTGTGTCTGCCCATGTATGTATGCATGTGAAAATTATGTTGAAGTTTACAATCTGTCACTTTTCTCCTGCTTGAAAGGGGAAAATAGGTGACCTTGGACCTCAAGGACCACCAGGCCCACCCGGACCTGAGGTAAGAATTGCCAGCATGCTGCTAAACAGCCACTTTCATCTCAATATCAAGACTCAGCACAGTTTGGTGATTAAACAATGTCAAACAATGTGATTCAGCTCAGCAGTTAACTGCCAGGTTTAATAGGCATGTGCAGCATGAATATGACCGAAAACTGCTGGACTCCGGTCCTTCAGGACAGGAATTGGTCATCCCTAAAGAGTCTGACACAGTCCAAAACGTCATTACTGTCATAAGCAGTGGCCGTGCTTTGATTGGGCCCAATGGGCCAGGGTCCCACCTTCCTTTATCATTGGCCCACCCAAAACTGACTACTCAAATTTACCTTTAAGATTAGAATGTTATAATGGAAAAACAGGGCTTCAAGACTTGAAGGCCCTTATAAGGTGAGTCATAGAACTGAGTGGAAAGATGGGACTGCAGCTCAGTATGAAGAGAACAAAGGTTATGGCAACAGGAAAGAGCGCTAATTTCACCATCGATGGTGAAAATGTAGAAGTGTTGGACAGCTTTTGCCTACTTGGATCAGTTATTACAACAGAGGATCCAACTGTCACAAAATGTGACACAGATTAGCACTCGGCAGAACAAGTGCTCATCATTACATTTGAAAAGATCTTCAGAAGTAATGACGTGTCTCTACAAACTAAAATCAGCATTGTTCAGGCTGTGGTCTTTTCTGTGGTTCTTTATGGCGTGTGAAAGCTGTACAATAAACAAGCAGGACAGGAAAAAGTGCTGATGCATTTGAACTTTGGTGCTGGCGAAGACGAGAGTACGCTGGACTGCGAAGAAAACGAACAAACAGATCCTTGACCAAATCAAGCGTCACTTCTCACTCATGTCTTATTTTGCACACGTTGTGGGAATTCATTGGAAAAGTCAATGCTTAGAACAGTTGAAGTAAACGAGGAAGAGGAGGGCCAGCAGCAAGACAAATGGAGACAATCCAAGAAATTATGAACAAACCATAAGGAAGCCGAAAGTCCCAAATAGAACACAAGATATTCTGGAGGTTCACTGTCCATGTGGTTGCCAGGGGTCAGAATCAAGTCGACAGCACTCTGAAATTCTGAAATTTGAAATTCTGTTTTCAATCAAAATTCCAGTTTAACCAACAACCATAACTATGAGGTGTTTGCAAAGTGTTTTTGACCTCAGAATAGGACATCAAATCTCATCGTAGGAAGAAAATTATAACTCTTCCAAGACCATCACCACCACATATGAACTGGAAGCATATAAGCATGGCTTATTCACACAAAAGTACATAAAAAATATATACAATATATACAAAAGTAGCCAAGCAGACCATATATTATTACAGAAATACAAAGATTACAAATAGTTATCCAACTTTGCGGCTCATTAAATCTGAAGACATAAACAGCAGATCATTTTAGTCATGCTGGACGTTATTGCTGTGAACAGAGCAAAAGATACCACTTCTTTGGATGCAGCCCTCGACCTAAGAGCGAACATCAGGCCTACCCTTAAATTTGTGGGACCCATCCAAAACAGCAGCCTTGGTGCTGTTATTGATCATAAGAAAACCTTGTGTCTCAAAATAGGAAAACCTCATAGGAGAAAGAAGAAGTATATTTAACTTACTTAACCTATCTAAAATAAATATAACTTTAGTCATTGCTTTTCAGCGGTAAACAGTGTATGCAATTTTGAAATGGAGGTAAATGGAGATCATTGCACTCATTCTAGAGTATGGGACATAAAGCTTCCTAGCTGGCACCCCTCAACCATTAACCCCCAAAAATGAAATTCTGGCTATGCCGCTGCAGTGAAGTAGTAAGACTTGTTGAAGATGAAGCTACCTGACTGAATAACCAAGCTTTCTTGAGGTGAATTGGGTATATTAGACCAGAGAGAGCACACCAACATCAGAGTGTGTGGTACTCCAAGGCTAGAATTGAGAACCACTGCCTTGTGATGTCCGTGAAGTTTGTGCGTTCTTGGATATTCTGGACGGACTAAGTTCAAGAATGGTGCAAATCTGCAGTTGTGGTCAGATACTTTCATATACTCATTATGGACATGAATGTCATGGCAGTATTAGGCTTTTGATGATTTCATTGAACTGTTTCTTTCTGGGGCAGAATGAGGGTACAAAATACATCTTTAATAGAAAAAAAAGTTTTTTTTGTTGTTTTTTCAGGAAAGGGGGTGTCTGAAATCAACACAGGGTCTAAATTACACAAACAGGGCCAAAAATACACCTAACACCTAATATTTGGTTAAATGTCTTTTAGCAAGTTGCACCTTGACCTGACACGTTCAGCAACCAATTCTGCTTGGATATTTGATCACTGTTCTTGGCAGAATAGGTAGAGAGTTCAATTAAATGTTTTGGTTTCCTGGCACAGACCCGACTTTTAAGTACAGTCCGCACATTTTTGGTAGGGTTGAGGTCAGGACTTTGGGAAGGCCTTTCCAAAAGCTTAATGTTAGCCTGCTTTATTCATTCAGCAACCAGCGTTGGTGGTCATTGTCCTGTTGGAACACCCAAGTGTGTCCAAGTTTCAACCACCTAGCTGATGGTCTTGGGTTATCCTGAGGAATTCTCAGGTAGTCCTCCTTCTTCATTATTCCATCCACTTTGTGCAGTGTACCAATTCCACTGGCAGCAAAACAGCCCCAGACAATGATTCTACCACCACCATGCTTAACTGTTGGTACGGTGTTGTTGAGGTTGACTGCCCCCACTTTACTTCTCCAAACATACCTCTGGTCATAGTGGCCAAACAACTCAATCCTTATCTCATCTGACCATTAAACCTTCCTCAAGAAGGCTTTTCTTTGTCCATGTGGTCAGCTGCAAACTTTAGTCAAGCTTGAAAGTGTCAGTTTTGGAGCAGGCGCTTCTTTCTTAAAAGTTGCATGACTGTAGACAGTGACACTGGTGTTACAGCAGCTTATGGTTCACGGCAGGCCTGTGCCTTGGTGGTTCTTGGGTTGCTCCCGACTATCCAAACCACTTTCACCATGGCTGAGGGTGACAGTTTGGGTCTTCTTCCAGACCTTGGCAAAGTGGCTACACCTCCCAGAAACATGTACAATTGTTTGAACTGATGATTTTGGAATCTGTTGTTGTTTAGAAAAAGCTCAAAGAGACATTCCTGATTTCCTACGATTATCTTTTACTTAGATCTTCACTGAGCTCCTTGGATTTTGCCATTTACTGTGCACTGTCAAACAAATCCTTTTTTATGTGTGCGCAGAGAAGCTACCAGCTTTGGTCAATCGTGCTCACTAACAGGACATTACGAAGCCCTCGGCCTTGGCCAGTTAAAAGGCATTTTGGAACTTTCAGCACCATTCAGTTAATAATCCAAGTGGGCTGTATTGATTTCAGAAAACCCCAAAAAATTACAACTTGTGCACCAAATTCTTGTTTATTTTCTACTAAAGAGGTACGTTGTACAATCATTCAGCCCCAGAGAAGAGAAGATCAAAGAAATCATTGAAAGTCTGCATATGCCTGAAATTTAACTATGGTTCTGTTTAGTTTTGGATAGTTGCTCAGTTCAAATGTGTTGTTTCTGCTAATACCATGAAGGTATTTTTGGCTCTTTTAGATGTAGAAAATGTGATTTGGATGGCTTTTGTAGTTTTGGAAGCCTTGAAAGCTAATGGACATTTGTTAGCATGATTTTGTTTGTGTAATGCTAAGTAGCCCTGTTAGCTTTGATCAGTAATTAGTAACATTAGTGTTGTTCATTTTGGCTCGTGGTTACAAAACAAGCTAATCTATTATTTCAGGACAGCACAGATGTGTTTTAAGAGCATTCAAGTACTGACTTTATCAGTGTTTCTCTTTGAAGTCGGCGCTCTAGGTCACAAAGCTGTGTGGAAATAGCACAGTGCTAGAATAACTGCTTTTTCTCAGGGCATGTGGTAATCAGATGCTGAGGGTTTAGGATACGTCAGTAACATTTGTGAAAGCTACAGTATTGTATGTTCCTTTAGGACAGAGTCTTTGATGCCAACTGGTCTTGCTTAGGAAACTTGAATTGATAAGTAGTGAACTACAGGCCTTTTTGAACAAGCATTTCTTCACCGTCTCCATCTGTGCTGTGCTGAACGGTTGGCCATTTTTTAGTAATTATCAATAGAAAGGACTTTCCTAGAGGTTCTGTCTGATTAAACACGATCGCATCTGGGCTGCAAATGCTGGATCGCTGCGGATCTGTTCACTTGAAGATTTTTGAAGCAAACGTCTCAGGCACAAGCCTTTTGCCATCTAGTGGACTTCTGTCAGCACGACACCTGCTTGAGATTCCCTGAGTCGTAGTGCTCTCGTCCTCTGGGAAAGTGGTCACCAACACCTCTATTTTTAGCTGCATGATCCATTTTTAGTAGGACTATTTAGCAGTTGCCTATTCCACCCTCATGCATACAATTTCTCAACATGAATGATAAATCCTTCTATTCAAATAGGAATTATTGTTTATTGGAAATGAAGTAAAAGCATAGTTCCAAGTCAAGGGACTAATTAGGAACCTTAATTTAGAAGAGTTGTTCTCATTCAGGGTAGTTCTGGAGCTATTTAGTTCCTCAAAATTGTTCTAGAGCCTTTGGTGGAAAGCTGCCTATGATGAACAGTCATCCCACTGACCCACAAGTGTCTGATTTGTAGCAACTGGCCTACATTCTCCCTCTTTTATCTCACCAGCCTCCCATGGCTGAAGGATAGCAATGGAAAAGTTGGGAGTGACCACATGACATGCTGGTGTGGTCCTGCAGACTTTGTGGAAAAACATTAATCTTGTGACTAAGACGTTGTCATACAGCCACTTTTTCTTCTTGTCTGTAACATCCTGTCTTTTCCTCCCTCTTCAGGGATTTCCCGGAGACATCGGCGTTCCCGGTCCCAATGGCCCTCCAGGACCAAAGGTGCAGAGACCGTGTGTAATCCATAAACCTCTAAATCCCTGCAGATTAGTAGTGATGATATAAGTCTACTTTGGGCAACTTTCTGAGATATGACTCCTACCCTCAGCGAGTTTCCAAAATAGGCTGTAACGAAAAAGACTCGCTGTCACTGAAGACGGTAGCCGTACTTACATTTTAAATTTAAATTGGATTCATTATTCACTGCAACAGCATATTAATTTCCTCTCACAAAAGCCAGTATTAAACAGCCACAACGTGCTTTTATCCATACAGCTCCCATGGTCTCTATTTAGTTTTTGAAGACCCCAAACGAGTACCTGTTAGTCTCTTGTCCACTGTAGAGCCGAATGGTTCCCAGGGACTGTACTGTGCTGTTCTCACGCTGGTGTGAACTCATGACACCAGTTACGGTTTCTTTTCCATCTGCTGAGCTGCTAAATAAGAACCAGGAAAGAACTGAAGAAAACTGCACAAAAGAGTGACTAACTGCTAACTGCTAACAGCCTAATACCTGAACAGACACGCTACAAAACACGTTTAATTCCAGTTATTACTCCACCACCAGTCTCTCAGCATGCATTAGCCTCTAGGCTAGCATTAGCATAGCACAGCAGGGTACAGCACAAAACACCACAAAGCAGTTCTGTTTTTTATCTCTCTGTCACTTCAACACCGGTCATTTGAATGTGTGCTCTCACACATGAGTCTTTATCCTCTAAACGGGTGGAACCAAGCCTGTACTGCAATGAGAGGCACTGTATGCTTCAGTTAGCTTAGCCTACTAGACTACAGCTTAAAACACTGCAGAACATGGTCTGTTTTGGTTTTCTGTCACTCCAACCACTCAGTTGACTTTGCTCTAGCTAATATAAGTTTTTATCGTCTATACTTGTGATAGCAGAACACGTTACTGTACTGGGTTGTCATTAGCTAAGCTAGCTAGGAGAGAGGAGCTGGCCAGTGTTAGCTTAGCCAGGAGGTTACAGCTCCAAACACCTCAGAACAGGTTTAATTTCGACTTTCTGGCCCTCTAACACCAGACGCTTGAGTTCGCTTCCTCAGATTTGTGTTATTATCATCTAAACTTGTTTCAGTAAAGCTTGTTATTCAGAATGAAACCTGCTCTGTGGCTAGTAGAGCTGTTATCATGCTAGCTAAGCTAATGCTAGCCAGCTACTCTCTTAGTTAGCAGTGCTGTTTAACATTTAGAACTTGTTAGATTGAAGCTTTGACATTTATTAAATGTTGTATTTAAAATCGTGCACTGCTTTCATTTGTTTGACATCTATGTGAGTGAAAAATGTGTATAAATGGTGTGTGTGTGTGTGTGTGTGTCTGCCCTTAGGGTAATCAGGGAGCGAGGGGACCTCAGGGGCCTCCGGGGCCAAAGGGAACAGAGGTACGCTGCTCATGGCTTTATCTTTCTCACACACATCTCTTTCTGTATGTTCATCAATTACAGGTCTCTTCATTTACATGTGCCCATACAAACACAAGCACATTAGATATATTTGTGTGGTATATGTGTATATATATATATATATATATATATAGTATATATATATATATATATATATATATGTATACACACGCTGAAGCGGACGCAGGAGAAAATAGTGGTACAACGTGAGTTGAATCAAATAAAAAAAACATAAAGTGCAGTTCAGCAAATGTTGTATTTGTACTTTATCTAGGAAGAAAGAATGGAATTGCGAATTGCCGAGTCACAAACTTTACCGCTTGAGAGTTTGTGGCCGCTTAGCTTAGCTTGCCTTCTTCTCTGAAGTCAGTTCACATGAAATTTTAGAAAAAATGACCCGTTTCACCAGGTAAACAAGAGTGGAGACGTGTTTTACTTGAGAGCATGTTTAACCAGAGCAGCCGTGTTTATAGAACAATCTCATTAATAATAGATACAATAAATTTGATATAAAAATGTTTTGTAGACATTTAAGGGCTGTTATTGGTAATTCGATTCCCCGTCACAGAGCACAGGCCTGTGTAATAATAATAACGCTCCCTGTAGGTTAGTCGTTTCTCTGGTGGCTCTTAAAGAGTTTCAATTCATCAGCACAAAATAAACAGCAGCACGTCTTACATAGAGCAGCTTTTTCAGATCAAGAACTGATTCCTCGCTCAGAGGTATGAAGACTCTCTTCTCACCTCTCCAATTAACAGATCTACAAGCTTTTAACACGTGTGCATTTTCCAGCGCTGAGGTCAAACCCCACTATAATGTTAAAAAAGGCTGTAATCAGATAAGATGTGTTCAGCAGTTCCCAGAGGCTCCATGCGGCTCTGAAGTCAGGGCTGTTAGTGGGTGTTAGGAAGAACATGGCAATTTTTTTTTTCCTATTGGGAACTTTTCCAACAACTGAGTGGAAAATGGAGCGGAAGCTTTGGCGTGTCGCAGCCACAGTGTTCTGGCACGTTGGCTTGGCACCTCAGTGCAGCAGCCCAAGCAAAGAGGGTGTGTGTGTGTGGGGTGTATGTGTTTGTTTTTTTATATTTTCAGGACAGTATGCTGACTTTGTAAGAAAACTTGAAAAAAACAGGGCTAACCTACAGCACCAACAAAATGCTCCTAAACGCTTGTAAATGCCATGTTTCCTTTTTTAAAACTGAAAGGACAGAACTGTGTCTTTTTATATGTATATAATATGTGGTGCATATTATTATTGCAAGTATTTACATGCGACAAGGATGATACATATAATATAATATATTAATAAAAATATGCCCCAATATATATGTAATGATAGAATATATATGTGTTGATGGGGGTGTATATCAGTAGATTGTTTTACTGAAATGTCTCCTTATTTTCTCTTTGTGTTTGTTTGTTTTGTGTGTTTACAGGGAGATGAAGGCCCTTTGGGCCCACCTGGCAAACCTGGGCCCACTGTAAGTGTCTCCAGTCCTACCAGAGAGTGTCTCAGTGTGTATCTCTCCTCGCGTGGCCGTTCCATTCTGTAATATTTGTTTATGTAGTTTGTTATGCTGTGTGTGTGTGTGTGTGTGTGTGTGTGTGTGTGTGTGTGTGTGTGTGTGTGTGTGTGTTTCAGGGCAGACCTGGAAGGAAAGGTCATATTGGCGAGTCAGGACTTGAGGGACCGAAGGTATGATATGAAGATACTCTCTATTAGGGCTGCACTATGTGGACATAAAATATGTTTGATAAAGCTGTTGGCTATCACAATGACAAGAAGCAATAAATAAAGATAAATAATGGCATAATAGTAAATTATGAATAAAATGTCTTGACTCTCTTCTTGCAACCTCCATTTTAAGCAAAAATAGCATTACAAAAGCACCATTTACTATTGTGCAAAACAGTAGTGAACATAATGAAGTACTAATATCTACTTACATCAGAATTGGAAAACAGCATTTCTGGAACAGATTTTGGTATAAAAGCTACGAAAATGAATAGATTTTCATGTCAAAGTGCGCCTTCAAAAACAATAAAATGTCACGTTTATTTTTACAGCTTAGTTCAGGATAGAGTAATGCAGGATCTGCGCACATGTATGTGATTTGTACTTGGCTCTATAGCAGAGTGGATAACTCTGAGTTAAAGTGAGGTGTACAAATCAGAAGTGTCATCACAATAATTTGATTCTTAAATAATAATATTATAATTCCTTGCATCTTAAAATCTCAGATTTCACCATGATTCGCTTTGATTCAGTTCAGCTCGATTCGATTTATGTTGGTGTCATTCAGAATTATTAGAGTTATACTGAATATGTAAATGTGACTGAGCTATTTACACAGTAATTAAATATATTTTTAGCTCCTCTTTGTTTCACTTTTGGGGAACACTTTATTTGGAGTGGTACTTTGTAGATGATTAATAAACTCTTAACAGATTATCAGTAACACATCAACAACATATCAGTGAAGTAGCAGTAGTGAAGCATCTGAATACATTGAAGTAAATATTTTGTAGATGTTCTGTTGATACATTACTTACATTAAGTAGATGTTTGTTAATATGTTACGTTCATTACGCAATACCTAACCTTACCAACCTTACCCAACACCTAACCCTCACCCTGGCCCTAATCCTAACTCTTACCTTAACCTTAACCCAAAACCTAATCCTAACCCTGGCCCTAATCCTAACCCTCATATGTTTTTTAAATGTTATTTTGAGTCTGTTGAGTGTTTGTTTCATCTAAAAGGACGACTCAAAATAAAGTGTCGCCCACTTTTTTTGTTGTTTTTGCCTGACAACCATCTGGTGCCGTCTCCATGCTGGTTGTCAGCCACCTTCCCTTTAAGGCTTACACAGCTCCATTAAAGGGGAGGATGGTTTGGCAATAAATTTGTTGCACGGCTCATTATAATGGCACTGGAATTCTCCCTACACTGTCATTACAGGGTAATAACAGCATTCACAATAAAAGAGATAACTGCACAACAAGCGCTGCCATGTGCCTGGAGTTTCTGAGATGTCAGTTTGAGTTTGTTTGGATGCACAGAATGCAGTCCACACAGTTTATTTATTTACTTATTTGTTTATCCTCCTTTGTATTTACAGGGTGAAGTCGGAGACCCTGGCATCGTTGGAAAGAGTGGCCCTCCAGTAAGTCTTTTTCTTTGCAAGTACAAGTGTCAGTTGCGTTAGGCCTCCATTACAGCTCTTTAGTGTACCATAAAAAAGTGTGGTTTGGTTTTGATTTTCTCTGCGGTTTGATGATGCATTTGGTCCCGTGCTGGACTCCTGACCTAGTTTTTGTAAATAAAAACAACTTCCGACGTGCTGGATTTTCTCAGATCCAATGCACACAGCAGCCCTCCGCTCTTCCGCATCCGAATCTGTGAACTATTTTGAAGTTTAAAAGCTCTGGTCTGTTTGTTTTGCTGTCAGTTGTTTGTTTAGGCTGGCCGTCTCTTGTGAAAGGAGCTCAGTATTGGGAAGATGCTAGATATGTCTGGGAAAATGGACAGAATGTGTACATCAAACGGCAGCCACTTATCTCTGTTCCTGAGAACCAGCACTGGCTCTCAGATTTGACTAGATCAGCAGTTGTACAGTGAGAATCGGTTTAAAGGGGAATTACATATTCCAGTTTTTCAAACATTCTGCATAATTAAATGGTTAAGATCTAAAAGGCTCCTTCTAGAGAAGCTTGCAGAGTCAGAATTGTTCACGGTGGTGGTGAATGTGCTGTCTGATGGCTGATACGTTGTTTGTGATAGTTTTGAGATAACCTTTTGGACTAACACACATTTTTGTTCATCGTCATCAACGTATAAAGATCAAAAGACACGTGTAGTTTCTCTGGTGGTTTTGGACAGTAAATAAAGTGGCTATATTTGTGTTGTAGACATCGTGACCCCTGGTTCCCTATCACCACCACTGTAAAGAAATCTGAACTGGTCATTTTCACTGCAATGAACCACATAAGACACAGTGTTTTTTTTTGTGAAAGAAGCTGCTGGAATGAACCCCCCACTGCCCAGATTATACTTGTCACTCTACCCAGTTCCATCATCATTTTTCTTTTAAAAAAAAAAGAATTTCATTGGAAAATTGCTTGCATGACCAGCAGTGAATAGCAGCTGCTGGGGCATAAAAAATGCATGTGCATGCTAACATTTGTCTTTCATTGCTTCATGTCTTTCATTGCCACATTAGCATTTTATGGCCAAACTATTACCTTGAACTTTGATATTTCTATTATAGTATTTTACATATTAAGTATAATCAGATTTAAGGAATAAGGCTTGTGCTGTGTTCAGTCTCACATATGTAAGGGATTAGCACGTAGCCGCAGGCTTTCAGGCTGTCTGGATGAGTCGAGCTCTGCGGTTAGCCACACACATCTGCGGCACTCGAGGCTCCTCGTGAACACCATGACATCACTGTCCAAAATGTAAGACTGGACAAAATGCAGATTAGAGCTTTACAGCTTGCTGAGTCTATCAAAGAGTCTTCAAGCCATTATTTTTATTTCCTTTGGACAAAGGCACAACTTACCCATCCTGCATGGCAGTCTTTTATTCACGCTGTCGTTTATTAACAATTTTTAGCTATGTAAGTTAATAGAGAGCAGTTATGTCTGTAATCATCTGACAAATATTCATGGCAAAAAATGATATATGATAGAACAAACAGATTATAGAGTATTACAAAGGTATTATAATCAATGTTGAGAAACCAAACAAGGGACAGGTTGTTGTTCCATCATCAGCCTCAAACGAATTTCTCCCTCATTGGACTTGTTTTTCGTGTGAAGTGAAATGAGAGAAAAGAGGGAAAGAAATGTGGGTAAGAGAGCGAGAGGGTAGAGGGCAGTACCGATATCTGTATGTCTTTCCCTTTGTGAGTGACTCTTAGATGAACCTGTGATGTGGCTGTTCTCTGAGAGCTCCTGTCACTCCTAAATCAGCTCATACAGTTTTACTGCCTGTGATGCTCTCTGTCTGTGGACCTGCTTCACTTAAAGGATTTGGCCTTCATCCTACAAACATGCTCCTGTGCCCTCAGGTTATAACTCTCAGACACTGCACAGCACCGTGATGCCGTGTATGGTGGGTGTGACGTTCTTCATGAATCATACTGCATGAAAAACACTAGACACTCTGATTCTGTTATATATGCAAGATACCATTCAGAGGTCAGAGGACGTGTCTTACTGTGTTGGACCAACTCCTAGAAATGTGTGTCTTTATGTGTTTATATGAGGCTGGCTTTGTGAATGTTCTTATTTTGCCTTATTTAGTGTAGTTATTAATGTGTGTGGATCCTGTTTAAAAACCATCATTTTACATCAAGTTTTTGTTTGCTTGTATTGCTTGTGGTATGTTTTCACCATGCTAGCACAGTTTGACTGGGCTTTGGGCTGGGGGATTTTCACCACTGTAGCAGAGTTTGACTGGGCTTTGGGCTGGGAGACTTTTCATCATGGTAGCAGAGTTTGACTGGGCCAGGGACCAGGAGACTTTTTTTACCCAAGGCAGCAGAGTTTATCTGGGATTTGGGCTGGGAGACTTTTCACCACGGTAGCAGAGTTTGTCTGGGCTTTGGGCTGAGAGACTTTTCACCACGGTAGCAGAGTTTGTCTGGGCTTTGGGCCGGGAGACTTTTCACCACGGTAGCAGAGTTTGTCTGGGCTTTGGGCTGGGGGACTTTTCACCACGGTAGCAGAGTTTGTCTGGGCTTTGGGCCGGGAGACTTTTCACCACGGTAGCAGAGTTTGTCTGGGCTTTGGGCCGGGAGACTTTTCACCAAAGTAGCAGAGTTTGTCTGGGCTTTGGGCCAGGGGACTCTTCACTGCAGTAGCGAAGTTTGACTGAATTTTGGGCTGGAAGAATTTTCACTACAGTAGCAGAGATTGTCTGGCCCTTACGCAGGGAGACTTTTCACTACAGTAGCAGAGTTTGACTGGCCCTTGAGCTGGGAGACTTTTCACCACGGTAGCGGAGTTTGACCTTGGTTTTGGGCCGGGAGACTTTTCACCACGGTGGCAGGGTTTGGCTGGGCCTTGGGCTGGGGGACTTTTCACCATGGTAGCAGAGTTTAACTAGACATTAACCGGAACATGAAAATCACATGACGTCTACAGAGTAAATCATCAATGATGTCCAGTGAGAGCAACAATGTTCCAGCCAGAGAGTGTATATATCATGTATACTGACAGAGGTTCTTCCATGATTGTAGCCTCTTGCTACACTTTAACAGCGTTAAAAACATTTGTGGCCTTAATGATGTATTACATTAATGCATTACTAACTTGTTAACTTCGACAGCCCTGTTGGATGATTAGTTCCCTGGTGGATAATTAGTTCTGGATCACTCCTGCTCATCCCAAAGGTATTGGATATTGCTCTGTCACTCCAGAGAACGCAGTTCCACTCTCCACAGACCAGTCTTGGGGGGGCTTTATACCATTCTAGCCCACACTTGGCATTGAGCTTGGTGTCAGTAATGGATGTACCATAAAGTAGCTGAATTCACTAAAGAGAAGGAGTGTCAAGGACATATATTGTACACAGCAGCGTCTTAATGAAAGAACTCTTGCCAGGAGCTTATGCCAGCAGACTTCATATATTGGACTGGTTGATTTCCAGGACTTCACTCTGCAGTGAAATTTGAAGTAGTCATCGAAGCTTAATAAAGCAGTTTAAAGCTTGGGAAACCTGGCAAGAGCAGGTCTGATTCATTTCTAATGGAAAGGTTTGGCCGTGATTTGAGCCAAAATGTGGAACTCTGCCAGAGTTTTTAGTAACACCTCTTTCGTTCCCCTTACTGTACCCCCCACAAGAGATTGATGATCACGGCCTGGGGAAAAAAATAACTAAGGAAAATGTCACCATGGAAAACTTTTCCTTAGCTACTGTTGGGCCATTTTCCACTCAAGGCTAATGTATAAGTTAGTTTTTGACAATCGGTATGTCATAAAGTACTTGTATAATAAATCCTGGAGATCAGAACTCTCTAAGAGACCTGGAGGGCAGTAGATACTGGGACTGCATGAAGAGACTGAGAACAGCTCTGTACCAGCTTTTAGGAGAGTATGTAAATTATGGTCAGTCATGTTTACACCGAGCTGGCCACATTCCCTGCCATCGCTGATTTACACTCACTCAAAGTTCAGGAGTTCACCGGTTCAGCTGCGTGTTGCGTTCCGCACCTTTTCTAACCTAGCGCTGATTTCCAGCCAGTGGTGTTGCCTGGACATGTAGTGTCATCGTCATGGAATCAGCTTCTCAGGAACTGGACCGCATGTTTCAGTATGTTTTTGCAAGTCAGTTTTCTTCTAAGGAATCAAGTACACAAAACACAATAGAACATCCATCTCCATCAGTCACACATGGTGAGCCCACTCAGTTACTTGTTCCCCCTAATTCTCTGTAAAGTTGTAAATTTATAAAAATCCAGATGTCACTGTGGGATTCTGAAAGCAGGACAGCTTCTTTCCAGTCACATAAAATGCAGATCTGGGGGATTCTGTAGTGAAAGGTTAAATTTGTTAGAACTTGTTTCTAAAGCTCTTTATGTAGAGGACATGTGTATAATCTGATGAGACACTGGATTGGGTCTGAAACACTGTTTCACATGTGGTAAATAAGAATGCTGGATGAAAAGGAAAATGTGGGCTTTTAAACTTCTAGATCCTTGTTCCTTTTGTCTTAGCGTTTGGTTTTTCAGACACTGGCTGACTTTGCTTTGACTCCTGTGAAGATTATTTATTGACTGTTTTTATCCCTTTTTCACAATACCCATCAAAAGCAATTTCTGTTTTAGAGGTCCCTTATTTTCTTCTGCTGATTTTTTTTTTCAATAGTGTTGATGGAAATATGTATTATTCACAAAACTGGAAGGAAACTGGATCTTTTTATTGTGTTTAAAAGCTGTTTTTATTGTCAGATGTACACGATAGTTTGACAAGAATGTCTTTCATCACAAAGGCTTTTAGCGAAGTTTAGAATATTTCACCCTGTTGTTTGGCACACTAGCCACGTTCACATGCAGCCTAATAATCTGATAAAATAATCTGACTAATAGCTCATTCAGAAAAGAAGTGGTCCATTTATACACCTCAATCAGAATAGACTAGTCCAAGACCATTCAGAATACAATCACTATCTGACTGAACGAGGTGGGTAATCCTGTGAATAATCAGTTAAATAGAAGAATAATATCCGTGTAAACGCCTGTATCTGATTACATTCCCAATCGGAAACTTTAAGTCCGTTCTGATCATGTTCGTCACGTCATAGGGAAAGTTTATACTGTTCAACATGGCGGAGCAGAAACTGGTCTGCAGAGGAGACGAAGTTTATGCTCTGATCTTTAAAAGACGGCGGTGGGACGGACGTCCAGCTTATGTGTCTCAGAACACGACGTCTCCTCTCGGCCTACTTTAATAAGGACATGTGAAGGACGTTTTCCTGAGTCTGACATCATTTTAAAGTAATTAAAAACACAAGCGCTGCTCACTGCTGCTCATCTCACTCAGACTGGACTCGCGTGATGCTTGTTGTCATGGTAACGTTTACTCTAAGTGGTTCTCTACGCATAGGCATAATTTTGGATCGGATTACTTGTAGTGAGCATGTAAACAGAGTTTTTCCATCAGAGTCTTGAGTAGAGTGAGAATAAACACCTCAGTCTTAATCTATAATCAGAATTAATTCAGTCGGATTGACAAAGATCTTTGCATGTAAACACAGCCAGTGTAAGTTTGTATCTTGATGATGCTGAGAGTCCAAAGAGAATATAATCTGTTTGAATTAACTGAATTGAAACCTTATACTTTGTGTCATTGATGCGAAGCGCCAAAGCTAATTGGGTGCTAATATCGCCCTTCTTTGGCGAATCTTGTGAGTGAGTGAGTTTTTGGTAACAGGTTTTGACAGCATCATAGGTTTTGATGGTTCCACTTTGTTCGCAAACCTCAGAACAGTGAAATGCTGCAATACTTGCCATGCGAATACATCATGTGAACATTTTCAGGTATCACAACATTGTATTGTTGTCATTTTGTCTGAAATGCTGACAGTTGTAACATTATAGTACATGCGGTCAGTGATACCCACCTGTAGCCATTGGAAACCATTCATTAGTTCATTCATTAACATGACTTAACCAGGTAATTTTACAGGTACTAGACTGTTAGAGGATGCAAAGATGGGTATATGGTATGACTCTGCTAAAGTGGTTGTAGATGTTTTAGGTGCTTTCTGTGGACACAGGAATGGTGTGGTGCAGTTAATGGGTTAGAAATCTGAGTCATAACGCAAACTTTAACCCTTTAAATGACCAGGGCCTAAAAATAGCTCCAACAGTTTGCACTGAAGTCCCTGTAGTTACTGAATAGTAAGCCTTAGTATGTAATACGTCTGATATTTGGGTGGACGAAACTGAATTTACTGTTGTAATTTTGGACAGCCTGCACGAAATGTGTTTGCTGAAGGTAATGAATTACAGCAAGCAGCCAGAACCAAGATCCATTTACTGAGGAACCTGCTCCACTTGTGTGTTCTGTAAAGCACTGAAAATAGCATAGTTTTATTTCTTCAGTGCTGAAAAGTTGACAGAGCAAATGTTCAACTGAATGATGGATGTTTGGACGTAAAGCTGGTCTGGAAGAGCTTCAGGGCAGAGAGAGGATCCAGGCCTGATGGGAGCATCTGTGTAGAGGCGTTACTGAAGCATTTGGATTGGTTAAAGCCTTTATGGAGAGGAGAGACATGACTAAGTCAGCCTTTTCATTTACTTTTCCTCTTAACAAAAGCAATCTGGAAATACTGTCATCCTGAAATTGTAGTGTTTTGTCATGACCTGCAGAGGCTGAGGTGCCTGTAACTCTACTAATATTATTGCTGCTTCATGCTGACACATTTAATACATTACTTTAATTGACGTAAAGGCCCTTTACGTCACGACTGCTAGATCACGTCTCTTAAAGTATAGACGTCGACGTCTGCCGCACCTATTTGATGAGGCTAACAGATGTAACTCACTAAAAACACCTTTGGAAATTAAAGATTGTATCTTGGAGGTGTAAAACAGGACAGTAATGATCTAGGAAAGTGCTGAATTCACAACAGGATTATTAAAGCAATAAGCCACTTTAGGCCGTGCGTTACTGCGATTTTATCAAGGGGAGGGTGTTCTTAGCCTAAAACTCCCTTTCCTGTGATAAAATCACAGTAACACATGGCCTCAAGTGGCTAATTGCTTTGATAAAAATGATACAATACACAATTTTTTTAGAAAATAATTGGTGATTATTAGTAATAATCAACAAAAACAAGTATTCCGCCAAGAAATGTAGTTCCTCTAGAGTGTGGTATCGTTGCCAAGCAACCTCGGACTGCTGAATGAGGAGAACGTTTGGTTGCCCATCGCTGTGTATTGTGGTCATTTCATTAACTTTTTGTTGTAAAACAATGAACATATGATAACACAGCACTGTTTAATGCAAAAACGTTCTCTTTATAAGTACTTGTTGGTCACCAAATTACCACCGAGAGTCTTATTTGGCACCAATCCAGTGGCACCCTCTTCTCACACTGGGGCTGAATCTCAAATATCTCCCTGCTCCCTACATAGTGCGCTACGCAGGAGTTTGAATACTGGATCCTGAACCCCAACGGTGCAAAATACAGCTAAGAAACAGTCATTTGGGACTCAGACACATCCACACTCAATAAATGATGCACTGTTTGGCTGTAGAGGCTAGAATGTCTAAACTTTCATAGCTAGAACACTATTTAGGGAGTACAGAGCCGTTTGGGATTCAGCCTGGGTTTGAAACTACTTCTAAATGAAACACGAACATTTTAAGCTTGTAAGTGACATTTTTTAGACTTTATATTGCCGCTTTACAGTGTGTACCGTATGGTACGTAATTCAAGCCTGTGATATTAATGATGGAGTTGTTTAGGCTGTTAGCTATGTTTTAGCCTGTTAGCTAGCTGACCAGCGTAGTTCTAGTTAAGAACATAAGTTGCCACTCTTGATTCATCAGTACACTCGGTAGCTTAAGAGTCAAAGATTATTCCATTAACAGCAGAAGGGTTGTTTTCGTGCCATGGCGCAGTAATACAGAGTTCAGTTGTTGTGAGGCGGTCATAGGTGTGTGTATGTCGTGCATTTTACAACAACTTTGAATGTGGCTTAGCCAATCAGATTTTAGGACCATAACTATCCATTTTATAATAGAGTTTAGCTTCTTCAACCGTAAGGACCCATTTATGGCCTGCACTGAAGTTTACCAAATTTTCTTACTTAATTGAAAATAATTTGCAGTTTAGTTTCATAGTTACTAAATAATACGTACATAATAAATAATACTAATTAATAAGTAGATAATAAGCTGAGGTTTCAAAGGGTTAAGAGGTTATAAGAGGTTAAGAGAAATTCTTTTGTGTTTTTGCTTGTACGGTCGTGCCTCTGAATGTGCAGTGTGTCTGTCTCATTTATGTGTGAGTAACTGTTCTCTTTTTGTTGTTTTTGTCTTTTTGTCTGGGTGTTTTTTGTACAGGGAGCAGTGGGACTGATTGGACCCACAGGCGTGGTCGGCCCACCTGGGGAAAAGGTAAAGCCTACACCCCCTACACCCCCCTCCTCACCTAATGAGAGACAGTGAGACAGACAGATAGAGCTTCAGGAGGCCTTTCTAGAGCAAACCTTGAGGTGACGACCATAGGACCGTAGGACACACGCAGCCAATCAGAGGCTGGTTCCTCATACCTTCACAGTGATGTAAACGGGAGGAGACAGCCACGCTAAAGCAACTTAGACAATCACAGATTGGTACATTTGACCGAAATGAAAATTTAGAGAAAGGTTCAGTCAGTGACCAGAAGACTGTCCCTCAGCAGTTCATCAGTTTAAAAAGATTCATGTTTCATAATATTGTTTGGGCAACTCTGTATGTTTTCACAGGGTGATCGTGGTCCAGCAGGACCTTTGGGTCCACCAGGGGAGAAGGGCTCTGTGGTAAGAACAGTAAACTTTGCTGCAACAAATAAACTCTGACACTTAATCAACAGGCCAGGCTTTCTCCAGAGCTCAGTGGTCAGTAGATGTGTTACTGTAGTTGATCAGTAGACGGTAGGAATTTTCAATGGTCTAGTGTTACATACACTGGTTATTGAGTCTGTAGTTTCTGCTGTTGGTTATTTGTAAGCAACTTCAGTTATTTTGGGGGGCCGAGATTATAGGTTTGTTTATACGTTAGTTCATTACAAGGCTATGAAGTTAAATTAATTGGTCAGTGAAAAATGTAATTCACACAACTTTTAATGGCCAAACGTACAAACAAAGTGCAAAATTCAGCTGCTGCTGTTTTTATCCATGCAGTATACTTTTGTCCGTGTTTACAGATAACAGTATGTCAAACAGGAAACAATAAAACAAGACTATTTGTGATCACTTAACAAACGAGCACAGTGTGAGCCGAGTGTGATGATTTAGGCCTGCAGTTAGCATCATGCTAATTGGTACAGTATAAGTAGGGTACAACTATTGTACAACTATAACATTGCAACATTGCAATTCCTGAAGATTTTTTCACAATACACAACATTTAGCACAGTATGTATTTCCTCCAAACCTTTCTGTTGGGAGTCTTTAATTTGAGCAAAATTAGGCAAAATTGTGTAAATTAGATTTTCACCACTTTCACCGTCACTTTCAGTGTTAGTGTTGGATCATTGGTCAGTGTCAGAACTGTTTGGAATTGTTTCACGTTTAGTTTGAAATATAATCTGTTTATTGCTTCTCTCTGTTTAAGGGCTATCCAGGCTTGCCAGGAGGTCCAGGTGAAGTGGGTCCTCAGGGTTCACCTGTAAGTTCTGCTTATGTTTATGTGTCAGGACTGGTTCCTCACACACTAATCGTTACTGATCTTAGACTAGGTCCCGTGCCAGCCCCTCTGACAGCGTCATTTAGACCAAGGCTAGGCCTATTGTGAAACATGCTAGTTTCTATGTAATTGGCTGATATTTATCTGTTAATAACACTGAAACACTCCTATTGCTCCTATTGTTTGTCAGGCACTCAGTGGTGATTTTGTTAGATTAAATTATATTGGAATATAATAGATAGATATAATAGATGGTTTACACTTTAAAATTTAACCCCTTAAACTACAGACATATTTTTCATAACTTTTCATTATTATTATTCAGTAATTGCTATGAATAATTCAGTATGTACTATGAATTATTCAGTATCTATTAAAGCTAAAGTGTAAGTTCTGTAGATATGAGAGTGAGGAGCTTAAATGTGAACTCCCTCTCTCTCTCTCTCTCTCTCTCTCTCTCTCTCTCTCTCTCTCTCTCTCTCTCTCTCTCTCTGCCTCTCTGTGTCTCTCCAGGGTCCACAGGGTCCGAGGGGTGCTGCCGGCATTCCTGGGCCGAAAGGAAGACGGGTAAGAGATCAGCATTTTTGCATCACTGCTTCTCTCTCAATCAGATCTCAGCTCCAAGTGTTTAGTCCACTCTTCACTCGTTTGGGGAGGGTGTTATCTCCCCCCTTTTCGAGGGCAGGTCTCTTACCTCCTGTGTGGACTCACTGACTCTGATGTGCCCTCGCTCTGAATGTCATTGCATGCAGTCATGTCTCCTCTAATCTGCAGACTGAAGCAGCTGCTGTTCTTGTTTGAGTAACGCTGCTTTTATTTGTTTAGAGGAGATTCACTGAGAATCAAGCAGTCATTACTGGAAACCAGGGCATGTTTAATGCAGAGGTCTGAGCAGCCAGTCCACTGACTTTTCACCAGCCACTTATTCAGAGTGTCTCTCAATCTGTCTCTCATGAGCTGTGCAGATGAAGGATCATAAAGTCTGTAGAATGGTACAGTGGAGTGACGGGGTTCGACTGAAATTAAGAATTTGCAGCCATAATAATAGAAATATGCTTATCATATATGCATTTTATTTACAATTACCAGGCATGCGTCAGTACCAAAAACAGTCAGGTGTTTTACATTAATAAGAGCATTGTTGTTGTGGTGACGGAGCTGGTCTGCTCTGATGTTGTCTGGTCTAGGTTATTTTATTATGTACTCTTTAGCTACTACACTGATAGCCTCTTAGTGTAACAGCAGCTTATTTAACACCTTATTTTATTGAAGACCTTATTTCATATTTCATAGTGATATCAGCCAGTGGAACAGCATCTATGACACCAGGTGGACCAGCTCAGCAGAGGGGTCCAACTATGGCCACTACAGCATCACTTAAGCTACTAACTGCAGCAAAATCCAAATAGCTGCAGGTAGTTTTGAATCCAACCAAACGGGCAGGAGGCCATACATCCTTTTTAGTGGCCAGGATGTGAAATGTTGTGACCAGGGGAAACAGGCTTAGATCTTTTGTGGAGAACTTTTTTTGAAAAACTGGAAGAGCGAAAAGATTTCCTTTCAGTTCCTGAAGTGACTGTTAGGGTTGAGTTTAAGTGTTGGCAGCATTCAGCCACAGTTGTGCTTGGATTAGTGGAAATAACCCTCAGAGATGGTTTGGCAAGACTGTGTGTGTATATGTGTGTGTGTGTGTGTGTGTGTGTGTGTGTTACGGGCCTGTTTTGGAGAAGTACAGCATAACTGTGAATGAAATGCTGTCCACAAGCAGCCCAGTGAGACTCCTAGTGGTCTGGAAATGAATGACATCCATCCCTCCAGAACAAGTCATCACATTGTACCCTGCACTAGTCTGACACTGCTTGGCTGAAATGAGCAGAAGACTAACTCTCAAGTCAAGATACAGTCATATGCAAAAGTTTAGGCACCCCTGGTCAAATGACATGTTATGTTGGTATTCTAAATGAACATTTAGTTAATAATAATAATACATTTTATTTTATTTAAAATGCGCCTTTCAAGACCTCAAGAGAGCAGAACAGAGTATAATACATACACAGTTAGGAGTGCGTCATGGTGAACAAGTGAGTTTTTAGCTTTTTCCTAAATACTTTGGATATTTAAGCTGTAAAGGAAGACGGTTCTAAAGTCGCTGGGCATATATGCAAAAAGCACAAACTCCCATAAATGAGAGATGGAAATGAGGAGCGTAAAGTAGTCTGGTCTGGTTACTGTTTGCATTAAAAGTGCCTTAAAATGAGCAGAACTGTGTTCTCTGTAGAGGATATGGTACCTTCTAATCTCTTAGAAAATCAGTGCCCAAACTTTTGCATACGACTGTATGTTTCACCAGGACAGCTTGTCAGTTAAGAGTGGATAATATGGATGAGATGTTATTGTTTTTATGGGAAATTAAATCATACTGCGCTTTTATTAGTGTGTTGGTATCATCAGTAGTTCTCATTAATATTTTATACACACTTAAAATGTTGATTCTTTAGTAAGGAAAATGATTCTCTATAGAACCCTTGAACACTCGAAGAGTATTCAATCTTCAGACTGACGGAGAATGTGCTATAGATGGTTCTATACTGAACCTTTTTGAAAAGGGTTCTATGTAACATCGGAAAGGGTTCTTCTATTGTTATAAGCCTGACATCGTAACAATAAAAGAACCCTTTTTGGTGTTATATAGAACCCTTTTCATTCTCTGCCTATCTGAAGAACCCTTTCATGATGCGAAAACCCTTTAATCATGCGGAGGGTTCTTTGAGTGTTCATGGTTCCATACAGAACCATTTTCTTTACTAAAGAACCGTTGAAGAACCATCATTTTTAAGAGTGTAGAACTTAACAAACGTGAGAGGAACAAAATATTGTATATCGAGAAAATGTCGAAGTATTGTGATGTTATATTTTTGCTGTATTGCCCACCCTCTGCTTCTAGTACACTAACAACTGCATACATAGAGAGCTTGTAAACAACACCTAGTAACTGCATAGTACCAAATAGCTGATGTCAGCCCATCGTGCCTCTTCTTTTACCTCATTATAATAAGCATCTATTGATTTTTGCAAATGTAGAATTAGGACAAAAATCATTGTTTTTCATGGCCTTTTAAAAATTTGCCACGGCTACTTTGCAGATGCATGTATATGTTATGTTGTGTCAAAATCTCAGAAGAAGGAAAAAACGTTCTCGATGTTGAATGGAATTTGACAGAGCTAGATTTTTTTGTAATTTTGGAGCATCATGAAATTTTGACCCAGTATGAAGGGCAGCAAGCATTTCCAATAAAAAAAAATAAATACAAGATTTTAATCTCACAGTGATGATACAAATCGTGTATAGTGAAAATGTTATGTATTGTAATGTTACATTTAACCCATCCTCATGGCTTATTTGTTATGTGGTTCATTGGTGCAACACGAACATACAGCACTAGTGAAATGCTTCTGTTCTTCATATACATTATCAGCATAATAATTGAAGAATAAATATTGCAAATATTTACATGAATTTCTGAATTTCTTACTATTAGGTACATCCATCATGTGCGTTAGTGTCAGCGTGCAAGTTGGACAATTGCTGCAAGTTTAACAAGCCTCTGATTAGTCAGTCAAATCCGTTTGGGAGTCGTCTGGACGTAGGGCTGGGCAATAAAACGATTACAGTAATTATCGCGATATAACTTTCCTCGATAGAAATATAATAAATGTTTAGTAAATGTTTGATATAAGAGACCATTCTTACACTTCCGCGTTCTCGAGAGCCCTCAAGGCATTTTCTACTGCAAGAAAAGTGACACTACTCTCCTGTCACCACAAGAGGGCGCACTTCCGAATGGGTCACCAAACATCCTTTAGCGGCCGTTAAAATATATTCTGTGTGTATGTATGTATCTGTATGTACATGTATCTGTATGTGTCTTTGACACACTTTTGCTTTAAATTTGAATCTAGAAATTGTGCAGAATTTGCAACATTTCTTCGTGTTTCTGGTCTAACAGAAACAGCTGCAGCGAAGTAAGAACCCAGAATGCTTTTCTCCCACATGAGAGACATGTGGGAGCCAGCCGAGGAAGTCATGCTAGAGCCAGCCGTGCGTTTCTCACCGCCCCAATTTATAGCATCATTAGGGATCCTCCATCTGATAGTACAGGAACCTTTTCCTGCATGTCATTCCCATATACCATTACTTACACATGGTAGTACTTACTCACTCCACACATATGATGCTGCATGACTTCCTTTCCTGTTTGTTTGAAACATGCTTTTCTTAAATGAGACTGAAGTGATTGAGTTAATGATGTGGCCTCTGGGTGGGTTTTCCAGACACAGGTTATGCCTACTGTTTCATTTCGGATTCCAGTTTACTGGGAATTCTCTATTAAAGGCCTTGTCAGCCTTGCTGTAGGCCAGGGATTGGTCACATCTGAAGAGCTGCACCATGGATTTAGCATTTAGCATTTAGTGTACAGCGTTTTTTAAAGGCAGTAGCGTGTTGATAGTGAAGTTTCATGAGCTAAATTATATTCGTTTCAACACAGTGAGGACATTTGTAACACAGACTTACTGAGTGAAAACATTTATTCACATTTTTATTTTTTATTTATTCACATCATCGACCAAGAGCACAGCCGGTTTGACTGTGATGAACTCAGAAGAGGTGGTCCTTCATTTTGCAGTGCTGAAGATCCAAATTTGAGGACGCACCCAATCTAAGCTACAAATAATACATAAATGAGAGAGTATCGGGGTTCCCAGTGATCCTTAAAGAGTCTTATAAAGTTTTAAAACAGCTTTAAAAATAGAAGTTCACGGTTCTGAAGTCTGAAAAAGTCTTATTTTTCACTATTAGATGTATAAAATTGTAAGATGAAAAATTAAAGACCATGTTGAAAAGAGTCATGTATATTAAAGTAATTCAGAATAATGAGTAATAATAATTTGTCAACCAAAAATATCCAGCCCACAAAAAACCCACAAAAGCTTGACCACTGACAGAATCCTACGTGAATGTTTAGAAATGCTTATTCCAATAGGAATCATCTGTCTTAAAGGCTACTTTAACTAACTTTGATCAAAATTGGCAAATGTAATCTATCTAGCGAATGAAGCATGTTGGAATAAGCCCTTATAAACATTTATGTAGGTTGTCGGTTGTCATGACAAGCTTATATAGGTGTCATGTAGCCTGTTGAAGTGTACCCTACAGTAAAGTGTTACCAAACCTTGTATCTAATTTATACTTTTTTGCATGCTTTGAAAAGTTGCTAGTAAAGTAACTAGTATCTGGTCTAGTCTCTGTCTGTATTGTGTAAAATTTCATAAAGAAAGGACAAAAAGAAACGGTCCATAATTCCATAATTTCCATAATTACTTAGTTATAATCATGTTTATCAGGCTTTTATTAATCTGTTTGAATGAACAGACATAATAAGCCATATTTGTGTTCTTGTGTGATAGAAATGATGTTATGTTTCCTTTGTTGATGTCAACAAAAAAGGTATTGAAAAGCGTTAAATTAAGATCTTAGAAATGATTACGACTGGATTAAATGTTAATGTCTTTATATTATCCCTGTTGTGGTTGGGGAGTTAGCTGGCATGCTCTCAACTTGGACAGTTCACTCATTCTTACGCCGCTCTAGCTGCAGCTGAAATGATAGGTCACTGCTAAATTGCTAACCGCAGTATTTTTTTTCATCACCAGTTTTTTGGTCCACCTTTTGGTCCATCGGTCCCATTTTAGCAAGACATGAAATGTGACTGAGGCTTTATGCTAACACTTTAAATTCAATTGAAAATGAGTTTCAAGCTGGAATGATTAGAACAATTAACTGCTAGCTTTCATGCTATCGTTCAGTAGCATGTAGCCGTAGGTTCAGGCCTACAAGTGAGTCTCAGATTCACATGAATAATAGCCAACACAAAGTTTGTGTTTGGTGCCTCAGAGTTACTAAGAATGGCACGTTTTGAGACCCAAGGCTGCTGCGAATGGACTGATTGTGTTTCAGCTCATTTTAGAGAGGACGGATAGATGGGCTGGCCGTTAAAAGTGCCGGTGTAAAAACATGGCTCACTTACAGCTTGTTAACAAACGATGAATGAAGCATTCATTACGCTGGGCCTTACACAATGCCTGGGTTTGTTTTGAAAAGGATTTCAATGTTTTGAAAAGGATTAAATCAGTAGGGCTCTCTCTCTCTCTATTTCTGCTCTTGGCTCGTTGTGTTTTGACTGGCGTGAGCTTCTGGCTCGTGGATCGGCTAACTGGACTGCAGCAGTCGTTCGAAAGAGCACTCTGATAATTTATTTAGCCTTTCTGGCTATGAAATTCATTTCAAGAGTCATTTTATGGCACAGATGTGGATCTGAAGGCGTGAATAAATGAACAGGGCTTTTGACTCAGTATGGGTGATAAAGACTTCCCTAAAGCAGTGCTTTGCGTAGTGTGAGTCTAATTGTGTTGAATCATATCGAACCTTAAACTGAAATTCCAGTGGATTCAAAGGGAAACTTCTCCTTTTCTCTGTCTTTATCAGGGGCTGAGAGGAGCCGATGGACCTCCTGGAGAGCCGGGACCCGAGGGCGGCAAGGTGACAACACTGCACACTTTTATATCATGCAACACATAACCTTATGACAGATACACGCTATTGTTTATAGGTTTGTCAGAATGATAAACAAGGCTGAAGATGACTCCAAGAACATGCCAGGTCTATTTCATACTGTTGAATTGAGTTTAGTTCAGTGTGGTATATGAAATGATATGAAAATAATAGAATTTATAGATTTTGATGGCAGTTTTTAAATGTGACACTTCTACTAGTGTATTGTGTCTGCGTGTCAAAATTTGTGAGGTTTGTAAAAAAATGCAAGCTCGACAAGTTTGATTAATAATCTCAGATAAGTAAGGTAAGTACAGTGATCCTTTATCCGAGCACCACTAAGCATCCCATCCACACTGGCTCCAACACAGGCAGGCAGGAACACCTTCATTTTCACATCATCTCATAGACTGTTTTATAGTTTTATAGGGCAGCAGGACATCAAGATCAGAACATTTTACTAACTTGTTATTTTAAATATAGTTTAGATGCTATAAAAGCCTTAATGCATGTGCCCGGATGCAAGAGCTCTCATAATGACTGAAGTAAGATGTGCGTCTAGCGCAGCCAGTGTGACTAAAACATTGATTAAAATAATAATAAACCTACTGAAAGTTATGGTTCATTCTGAAATATAAAAGATATCAGTGTTAATGTGTGTAAGGTCTTAAAGCAATAAAGTATTAACTGCTCATGTGCTGTATGTGTGACTGACTCAGTAGCTCTCTTATTTAGATACAGCTTTTAAAAGGCAAGTTTCAGTGACGACTCTCCTGATAAGACTTTTTTCCGGCTACTGCCACAGTGCATTTATCACTGAAGTACATCGAGTCTGAAAAATCATTTATGAGAAAAACACTGATGAGGCAACATCAGGAGAGTACAGGAGAGGACGCCTTCAGCAGCCTGGGCTGGACAGTGCTCATAGATGGATAAATCAACATCTCGCACACTAACAAAAGCAACAAGAAAGTGTAGCTCCACAGTTCTTCTCAAAACAAGGTGTAACAGTGATGTGAGAGTGAGAAGCTGCAGCCACGGAGGAGCTGGAACATGCAGCCACTGTTTCCCTCACTGGATGCTGGTGATGAAAACTGGAAACTGCGTTAAACTGTGTTCACATGATTTTATGTTCAGGTTCAAGTTGAATTATTTAATGTAATGAATTCATACTGGTGAAGCTCATATAGCTGTAACACAGTGCACTGCTTTTAAATGGAGAAGAATCTTTCTGTAAGGGTCAAATTACAGATACAAATGACTGTTAACTACACAGACTAAATTCTCTCTCTAAAATCTATCTATCTATCTATCTATCTATCTATATATCTATCTACCGACTGACCGACTGACCGACCGACCAACCTACGGACCTACTGATCTACGTACCTACCTATCTAGTCATGATGAGTTGTGGTATAGGTTGTTTGATATCCCTAATGAATATGATTCATTTTTAAGGGTGCACTGTAAAAAATGATTTAATGTTTAATCTAAGCAAGTAAGTTACCTGGTTACCTTAAAATTTAGAGGTCGTTCAAATAGTACAGTAACAGAACAATAATCTATGGTGTATATTATGTTAATGTATCATTTGAAATTCAGTGAATGCAAAATTTTAAGACAGTCAGATTGGCACCTTTTTACAGCGTAGTATTAAGAAATGAGTCAGGTGCTCATCTGGAAATACTAACAAGCATGCAAAGTCTGAAAAATGCTGATCGGACCAGGCCTGAAAAAAATACCCCATATGATCAGAGATTCCAAACTTTTGAACAGCAGTGTCCTTTATACTGAAGCGTGTTCAGATATGATGAGGCTTTGAAAAGCTGAGTACTGTGTTTGTGCTTCATTACAGGGGGAGAAGGGTGAACCTGGCAAGAAAGGTGCTCCTGGCTTTATTGTAAGTACTGCTCTCTCACTTTCACTCTCTCTCTCTTTCTCTGTCTCGCCTGTGTGTGCAGGACCCAGTGAGGCACTCTGATCTCATATGCCCCCCACTTCCTCCACCCCGTGCACAGAGGTGGTCTGATACACAGCCTAAGATTAAAGGAATAGTTCAGCTGAAAAATAATCAAATGTGCACAGTTTTCCTCCAAACCCCAAATCCAGTCAGTGCCAAGACATGTTTGGTGTCTGAAGTTTTCTCCTTTAGTTGTGCACTGGAATTATAAGGCTAGGTAATGGAAGCTTCTACCCCATCAATTAGCATGGTGCTAACTGCTTAAATCTTCTTACGCTGGCCAAAGCGTGTTGGGTTGTACAGTAATCTCTACTGGTTTGGCTCGTGTGGTTTCTTACACTGTATGACACACTGTAAACATGGACTAAAGTACATCACATCACTCAAAACGGTAGCACCTTGAACTCTGAATTTTGCCTGTACTACATGCCATTTGCGCAGTGCTAATTGGTGGGATTTAAGCTTAAACCATCATAGATTACCTGTATAGATTGTCATTATTTTTTGGATTATCACTGTGTCTATTGAAGACTCCTTCAGTATACCATTCAAGCCTGAGTGTTAACAGTAGCTGGAACAAGTCCTGCAAAGATCTTTAACTCTATTGAACTGAGCGTTTTGTCGGCGATCTATGCTGAGAATTTGGCCCCTTCAACTCATCTAAATGTGCTGCGGGGAGAGTTATGGCACATGTATTTCCTCTTTGGCGGCAGTGAAACGTATCAGCGTGTAGAATCTGAGATTTTTATGTGCTACCATGTTTTCTATCACTGTAAAAAGATGCACTAGGCTTCCTTTATAGTTGCTTGTGATTTTTCCGAGCGTGTGTGCAAACTGGATTCCTATTAAACAGACCACGTTCTTTACAAATCACACAAATACAACAACACCACTGAGAAATCATGTCATTAATGGAGGACGGCTGATTACACAGTAGAAATAGCCACATTTTGTGTCAGCCTTAAATTGTTAAGAACCTTTACTTTGCAAAAAAGTGATTTCAGTATACCTTCCATTTATTTCAGTATCCCTTACAAGGCTGACTGCAAACAGTAGCTGACACCAGTCCTGCACCTATACTTTCACAAAGCAAGCAACCGCAATACAGCTGTGAAACATTTCAGTTGATGGTTTTTGTAATTTATGAGATTGATGTGTGTTTTTACAGGGCAAAGCTGGAGGTCCAGGGAAAAGAGGCAATCCAGGACCACCGGTATGTACATACTACACATTACACCACCTTGTTCTGCTCTGTCTGGAGAACTTGCTGGCTGTACTGTTCTGCAGCACAAACGCTGATAGGCCCATCGTTACATTTCAGCTGACAGTTTATTGCCATATAAGTAATTGGCTGATTTCCTATCTTCTTTTCTGGCTGTCAATACTAAATAGCTCCCACCTGAAGGTAAATGCAGCTCAAGCTCAGATAAACAAACATTACTCACTGCTGCCCTCTAAAGGTGTAGTCAGAACTTCTGTTGGTTTCGTAAGACCCACGCTGTGTCTCAATAAATGTATTTGCTGCTTTATTTACATCCGTTTGCCTCAATTAATTCTGATTAATCATCAGATTTCATTGATTGTGAAAGCTAACAACTGCGGAAAATGCTTGTGGGGTATTTGGTAAATTGTTGCCATGTGGCAACAATGCACAGTCGTAGCACGGCACCATAAAATCTACAAAAAGCACCATAAAATCCAATTTTTCTCTAAAAGCATCCTTTTATTGAAAACAAGACGAAACAAATCCAACTTATTCTTAGTGGAATGTACGACCCAGTATTTACAAATATTGGAAATAAATAAATTTCTGTTGGTATTTGTAATGTATGGTAATAACAACATAATAATAAGAATTCCTGGTCATGTCATGTCATAAAGTATTTGCCCTTTCAAAGTAAAAGGCCCTTTTTCCACAAATAAATAGGTAAACATAGATTTTATATTACTGCTTTTTAGTAAAATTGAGATAAAGTAATTGTAACACCGTACAGTAGATGTCTAATTAGTTTAAACGCTGTACGTATGAATGGCCATGCAGAGGTAGTATGTGTAAAACAGGCTTCACAGACACCTTCACTAAAACCTCACTCTGTCATTACCCTGCCCTCAGTTTCCACTGGATTTCACTGCACTGGGGCAGTTAATTGCTGACCGCAGCGGGAAGTAGATGTTTTTCCACCTTTTACAGCACTTACTCTCTGTCATTAAGGCTGTCAGTGACACTGAGAGTCAGAAACACCTCAGCATTTCAGAACAGAACTAGGACGTGGATTAAAGCGCTGGGATGATTAAACTAGACCAGATTTTTAATAGCCTGAGGATTCCCTTTCCCTCCCTTCTTTTCTTCCCTCCCTCTCTCCATCCCTCATCATCACTGCTCCTTTAAACCCACAGTGCCCTCTAGTGCCAGAAACAGAGCGTTTGTTACTGAGTCTGACACAGAGACTTCCTGAGGCTCACTTGCAGTCTCCTATGTTCTAGATATTAGCCCCTTAAATGGCCAGGGCCAAATTTTATTACACACTTTCATAACCTGTGAATAGCTCAGCTTTAGCTTCAGTTTGCACAGAAGTCCCTATAGTTACTGAATAATAAGACTTATGTATGTAATAAGCCTGTGATTTTAAGGGGTTAACTCAGTAAGTGTGTGGTACAAAGTATGTGTAATTATTTTTTTTTTTATTTTAGGCAAATGATGGTAACTTCTGACACACTCTGACTAAATTACACTGAAATGACTAACATATTCTAGCTATTACGCTGATTAGGACATAGTAAAATACCTCATAAACATTTGGTCAAACATTTAAGCAGGAAATCAGAAACACTTCAGAGAACTGGGACTGAGTAAAACCACAGTCAGAATTATTGCTTTCAGTCACAGCCCAAATTCAGTTAATAGGTAATAAACAGGTACATATTATGTAAGAATGTTTGTATTTTGTTCGTGTGCAAACTTTTGATGTTCCGTAACTTCCTGACCCAAAGTAATTGCACGGTGTTCAATATAATTACCCACTTAATGCCTAGAACTTGTTTGGCATTTCAGTGTAATACAGTTAGGCTGTCTTGGAACTTCCCACCATGTTAACTAAAACTAGATTAAAACTTTAATAACTAGAACTTAAGGCTGTGAAAGAAAGTGCAGCGCACAAGGGTAGAGTTGTTGTTTTGCTGTTTGTTACCTCATCATTGAAATGTAATTACACACTGAATGACATTATGTAATTACATAGTTATGTAATGTATTTCATTTACCATTGATTTATATTCTGTGTTGATGGGTTTAAGTCTGCATTTCTGACTATTTGGTTTATTTAAATGTCAAGCAATGACAAAAACACAGGAGACATGTAAAAAATGTTCTACTTTACGTAAAACATAACATGCCAGATTCAAATCTTGATAAAATATCTCCTCTTCTGCCTAGAAAAATGCTTTTAGAAACGCTTAGAAACTGAACTTTTGACAGAAATAGACAGAAATAATTCATCTAAAATTACACTATGCTTTTATCATCACCAGCAACAAGTGCAAATTCTAAGGGTTAATGTCTGGTGGAGGAGAATTGGGAAATACAGGTTTAGCCTGTACGTATGAGAGCGACAGAAGCTGTGCATCATTATTTGATTTGATAATTAAGAATTCATAATTATTTTTAAAAATATCCTGAAGTGTCTGGATGAACTGTTTACACAGTAGTGTAATACTGACAATAATAATAGTATAAGAAGCTTTTATTTTGATTTTTACATTTGAAAATAGCCTGAGATTTTATTTCAGCCCCAAAAAAGGAGCACATGCTATGTAATTTTTAATTGAACATTATGTGTCTTATTCAAATTTGTTCTGATCTACATTGTAAGCTATATTATATGGCCAAAAGTATGTGGACTCCCTGACCATGGGCACTAATATGGAGTTGGCCCACACTCCATGGCTGTAACAACCTCCACTCTTCTTGGAAGGCTTTCCACAAGATTTTAGAGTCTGCAGGAATTTGTGGGTCAGGCAGTGATGCTGGATGTTCTGGCTCACAGTCGACGTTCAGGTTGATCTCAAAGGTGTCAGGACTTTGTGCAGGACAGTAGAGTTCCTCTACATCAAACTTGTCAAACCTTGTCTTTATGGACCCCACTTTGTGCAGGGGTACAGACCCCGCTTTTTCGCCAGAGTACAGTCATGCTGGAACAGGAAAGGCTCTTCCCTAAACTGCTGCCACAAAGTTGAAGGCATACAATTATCTAAAATGTCTTGGTATACTGCAGCTTTAAGGCTACGCTTCATTGGAACTAAGGGGCCAAAACCCTGAAAAACAACCCAGCCCCTTTATTCTTCACCAGCCTTTACTGTTAGCACTGTGCATTGGAGTAGATATCGTTTTCCTGGCATCCACCAAACCTAGGCTTATCTATCAGGCTGCCAGACAGACAAGCATGATTCGTCACTGCAGAGAACACGTATCCACTGTTCCAGAGTCCAGTGACAGCATGCTTTACACCACTCCAGCCGACGCTTGGCATTGTGCCTAGTGCTCTTAGGCTTGTGTGCAGCTGCTGAGCCATGGAAACTCGAAATTTCGTGAAGCTCCCGACACAGTTCTTGTGCTGCTGTTGCTTCCAGAGGCAGTTTGGAACCCTGTAGTAAGTGATGCAACAAAGAATAGGTGATTTTTACTGTGCGCTTCAGCACTTAGCGGCTCTGCTCTGTGAGCTTGTTGCTCCTAGATGCTTCCAATTCACAATGATAGTACTTACAGATGACCATACCCACTCATTTTCTGAGACATGATTAATCAGTTGCTTTTTCCCCTCACTCGTCCATCTTAGACAATATTATGGTAAAGTGTTAACCAAAAAGTTGTTGGGGGGCCCCTGGTGACCACGGGGCCCTCAGCAGCTGCTTTTGTCACTTAGTAGAGCCAGCACTGAATGAAGCCCGAATGAATTAATGTTAAAGAATGAACGTCACACTCTATATAGAGACCTGCTGTGAGTGTGAAACATGTTATGATGAAGACATGCTATGATGTATAGTTTAGGGCTCCTCCTGTTCAGAGGACACTTTTGCGTTTGTTCCTGCCGTGGCTTCACAGGAACAAAGCTTTTGGAGCAGCATTAAGGGTCCATATTCAGATCTTATTCAGAGTGGCAGTGTAGGTGGGGTGGGGTAGAAGTAGTTGACAGTCATGCTGTTAACAGTGGGTGTCAAGCCAACATTCTCCTTCTGGCCTGCCTCTCTAATTATAAGGTCATTGCCAATGTCCACTTTTGCTACTATGACTTGATCTTAACTACCTGAAATATATGTGATTGTGTTTGACCCACATAGAGTTCTTCTGTGTGTGTGTGTGTGTGTGTGTGTGTGTGTGTTTTGCAGGGTGCTACAGGTCCTCCTGGCAGTGCTGGTGAGAAAGGCCCACATGGTGAACCTGTGAGTATTCAACTTCACACTCTTAGTCTCATATTAGCTAATTCAGTTCAATTTAATTCAGTTCAGTTTAGGTTAGTTTAATTTGGTTTCAGTCAGATTAACTAAGCTACATTTAGTTCAGTTCATTTTCATTCAAGTCAGATTCATTCAATTTTGTCTAATCCAGTTCTGTTTCATTCAGTTCAGATTAATTGACTTTCTTTTTTTCTGTGTAGTTTAATTCAGTTTGATTTTGATTCAGTATGATTTTGTTTCATTCTGTTTAGTTTCATCCAGTTTCATTCAGTTCTGTTTGTCAGTTTAGTTTCTTTCTGTTTCATCCAGTTTTGTTTAGTTCATTTGGTTTTGTTTTGTTCAGTTTCGTTCGTTTAGTTTTGCTCAGTTTCGTTCGGTTTTGTTTTGTTCAGTTTTGTTCGTTTAGTTTTGTTCAGTTTCGTTCAGTTTAGTTTTGTTCAGTTTCGTTTGGTTTAGTTTTATTCAGTTTCATTCAGTTACTTTCACTACAGTTTGCTTTAATTCTGTTCAGTTCCATTCAGTTCTGTTTGATTCAGTTTAGTTCAATTTGTTTCAGTCAGATCTTTTATGCCCTGAACCAAGAATACATTACATTGCTTACATTTTCAGCTGACCGGTCCACTGACCATGGGCCAGTCTGTAAGCAATATGTGATGGATTTTGTTTAAACATCAGATGGATTTCCTGAAAGATAACATTCTTTTGGCGTGTGCACAAGACAGATGGATACAAAAGCTTTCATTCTTTCTTACTGAACATCTAAACCTAATTTGTCCGAAGTGAAAGGTTGTGTTTATGAGTTCAGGCGTTTGATGTGAACTGAATCTGAAAGCCAGGCCAGGCTGGTGGTGTGAAGATGTGAGGAACAGTGTGAAGCGCTGAGCTTTAACTCCTGCTATTTCCTGCGCTTCAAGTGTGTGTTTGGATCAGCTAGTGCAAACATGTAATCTGTCTGACGGACCCCCAGCCGAGAAAGGCTGTGTGAAAACACTCTTACAGCCCGGAGCTGTTTGATGTGGCTGCACTAGTTTTCCATTCGTTCACACACGCACACACACACACACACACAATCTCTATTTCCATTTCTCTCACCAAACAAACAAGCACATGCACCAACACATGAATATATATAGTACTGTGCAAGCGTTAAAACACCAGCTGAGGAAATCTCTTCTGGAAGAACAGAACAGTGTTCCATCCCTGCAGTACAGTTCCAATTGTAAACTCTATACTGAGCCGCACTGAGGTTGTTCTGGCAGCTCGTGGTGGCTCATCACCTTACTAAGGCTACGTTCACATTACCAGGCTGAAGAGGCACTGATCAGATTTTTTGCCCTAATGTGACTCAGATCTGATGTTTTCAGGCCTGTGTGAAACATGCAAATCTGATCTTTTTCAAGTCCGACCTGAGCCACTTTCATATGTGGTCCTAGATCGGATACATATCCGATTTGTGGCCATGCAACCTTAATGTGACACTCAGATCGGAATTCATGTGCTTTTTTCCACTGCGCGTGCGTCATCATTCAGCGTTACCATGGCAGCAGCACCGAACAGAAGTTAAAGCCTGTAAACGATGGAAAAGAAACACATCTCACCTTTTTCTCCTTCGTCTCGCTCTAATAATGAAGCTGAGAGCTGATCAGAGTTAATTATCTTCTCAGTGAAGCTCGTTCTGCTCGTTAGTTTGTGTTGATCATTCACGTGACGTTACTGAGTAGGATGTGCACATGCGGGTCATTTCCGGACACTGCTTCATTCACATTAATGACAGATTTGAATCACTTACCTAAACGAGTGTGAACCATCGTGTCGTAGAGATCGGATTTGAGCAAAGAATCGGATTTGAGCGATAAGGCTTGTAATGTGAACGTAGCTAAAGACTAATGTTGGTTTTTCCTTGAAATTTGTTACTAATCTGCCCATTCCTATTAATTTGAATCCAATTTTCCACAGAAGTAAATTCTAGGATGAAGTCAAACCATTCAGAGTAGTTTGATCTGAAATGCTTTATTCTAGATGAACTTGTTCACAGTGGCGGTGGATCTGAAAAGTTTAGCACCTCTGAAACCTCCATCACAGCAAATTGTCATGTGAAATAGTTATAAATATGCTGCCTGGTGCCTGAGACTTTGTTTTATGATAGTTCTGTGATAAACTCTTGGCCTGAAACTCATTTCTTAATTTCATTTTAGGGGAACATGTAGGGTGTTGTAAGTCAAAATAGTTCATGGAAACACTTTTTTCAGATTAATCATTATCAGCTTCTCATGTAAAACTCAGAGGGTGGTTTTGGACGGTAAATTAAAGGGCTATATTTGTGTGGTCATCATTGTGGCCTCTTATCACCACCACTGTGAAGAATTCTGAGCCGGTACGTTTTCCTTCAGTGAACCATTTTGCATCAGACCACTCTGAATGACTTTGTTTACATCTCAGCCGCTGAATTATGTGGAAAATTTGCAAAATCGCCGGAATTCCTGTTGAAGACACATCACACAGTACCCGAGGTCATTGTTGTGCAAGGCCCCCTGTAAACTTTCTCCCGCCAGTAATGTTGCTGCCGTCAGCTGATCCGCGCACACTTCACCCAAAGACAATACATAGCAGTCACGTTTATTTGAGTTAGTGCAGTGGGGTAGAACTGTTTATGCTGAGTTATGGGAAACGACTGCGTGCTGGAGTGACTGGTTATGTAACGATGACCTGAATTTTATGGGCCGTTTATGTGTGCTGTGATTGGGCAGGGTGTGAAAGGGCCTCCGGGGGAACCAGGACAAGATGGAGAGCAAGGACACGAGGTAACGCAGACAGTAGTGAATTAGATAGTTAAACTCACACAACTTACTAAGAAGATCATTTATCAGATCAAATCACTCAGAAAAATGATGAACTGAATTTACTCAAACTACTCCACTTACTAACATCTCAGAGATGATGTACTGGATCGAACACTACTGTTCAACAGATTGGAATCACTTGTCATATTAATAATTGCTGTTATTATCCTACAGCAGGGGCTATTTAATTAAAATTCAATAAGGTCCATTTAGAAAAAATTTCCTCAAGCAAAGGTCCAGAACATCATAATGCCTAACTTGCATTATGATTCAGTGACATATACTGTTTACTGAGGGTAGCCTGGTAGGTATATCAACTTATGCAATCTTATACAGTCAACAACTGAATGTCAAATCAAATGAAGTACAGTTCAGTAATATTTCAATGATATTTATTGTCAGTTTTCTCTTTTTAGCACATCATGTGAAATAACTTCCCTCTGACTCACTTTCTTCTCTGAGTGCTGTGTCTCTGCTCTGTTGTTCATTCTAGACCAATCCAAAATTTTTTAGTGTCCTGCTATTCGTTGAAACTTCATAAGTGGAATTATTTTGAACATTTGTCTTTAACAAATTGGCTCTTATTATTAAAAACGTTGATTCCAAACTTTTGAACGGTCATGTATGTTCTCTATTAATATTTGAGGATCAGTAATTTACAGTGTGCTTTCTGATGTTCTTCTACTCTTCAGTTATGTTCTAGCTCCCATTTTCTGCATTGAAGTCAGGGTTGCAGAACATTAACAAACAAATAGTTTTATCAAAGACGTTTTTGCCGTCTTTCTCTGTTTCTATGACAGGGGCCTCCAGGACCTGAAGGAGAGCAGGGGCCTGCTGGAGAACCTGGGCTGAAGGTGAAAAACGTTTTCCAAATGTTTTTTTTTTTCATTTTTATACAACCCTTAGTCCAGTTATTATTTCCTGCGCATTTGGTTTACATGACCTAGTGATTTAAATATACATACATACAGTTATTTACTGTAATGTACATTACTTACTTAGTTCCGTAATTAATTCATATGTAATTAATCCATCCATTAATCCGTACTGTACATTCAGAGTCTTTGTAGTTGTTGAGCATCTCCACGTTGGTCATAGTAAAATGGATCAGCATGTGGAATTGGAGCTATCATATTATGTAAAACGGATAGTTCTGGTCCTGAAATCTGATTGGCTGAGCCACGTTTAATGCTGTTGTAAAATCAACATATGCACAGCTATGACGGCCTCATAACAACTCTGTACTGTTGCTTCAAATCACTAAACCTCTAGTGCTGTTAGTGGAGTAATCACTGAGCGTAACACTGCTGACATGGACCACCAACTGTACTGATGAAGGAAGAACCCGGTTCTGTTTAAACTGAGGATCTGACATCTTATTTTCTTAAGTAGAACTAAGTTAGTCAGCTAGCTAGCAGGCTAAAACATAGCAAATAGGTAAAACAGAGTCCTCCATTAATACCACATGCTTTTAATTAAAGTACCTACAGTTCAATACAATTCACTGTAAAAATGAAAAATAAGTTAAGAGTATAGAAGTCTGGTGTCAGTTGAACGTATTACACACTTTCAATGTCTGTGTTTTAGCAGATCTGCCTTAAGCAGCAATAAACTCAGGCCGAATCTCAAAGCTCCCTCCTTTCTGTACAGTGCACTCTGTACATCCTTGTCCAGTAAGGAATTTTGCAAATGTGGCTCAATCTTTATTTATTTTTTATATATATATTATATATATATATATATATATATATATATATATATATATGTGTGTGTGTATTATATATATTATATATATTATGTACTATTTGGCTGCAGGAGTCACTTGTTTCCTCAGTTGTTTCAGTGAGGAGTAATTAAAGGGCCCATATCGTACATTTTTCAATCTTTTTCCCTGACGTTTGTGTGGCTTTATGTACCAAAATCAGTCATAGTTCATTTTTACATGACCGATTTTCGACCCTTCTTTCTTTCTTAGAATCTTAGTTTGTTACTGTGTCTTTAATATGGATGTGTGTAAATGCTCTCTTTTCTAATTGGCTGTGCTGTATTGTACAGTGGTGCTTGAAAGTTTGTGAACCTTTTAGAGTGTTCTATAATTCTATGATCATTTTCCTCAATAAATAAATGACCTAAGTCTAATATTTTTGTCTCATTGGTGTAATTTGGTTCTCTTTATGTACTGTTAGGACCTGTGTGAAAATGTGATCAAGTTCTATGCAGAAATATAGAAAATTCGTAAGGGTTCACAAACTTTCAAGCGCGACTGTACCTCGTTTGAAAAGCAATCTGGCCTGGAATTTTCCCTGTAACTTCAGCTTGAATGGGTGGAGCTAAACTGCAGTAGGTTGATGAAGTGGATCCATGTAAAGTCGGTGTTTGTGACATCACAAAAACAAAAAATAAATAAATAATTAAATAAAACAGGCTCTTTTTATAGGTTAGTTTACCCATATGGACTGTAAAGGCTGGTAGTTGAACGGCACATTTTGTAATTCTTGGAATTCTTGGAAAAAGTGAGGAAAAATCATCCTTTAAATTAAAATAATCACAGGCAATAACTGCAACTTCTACAAGTTAAGAATAAGAATGAGAGCCTTTTTATAAGCAAAAGGAAAATCCACCATGATACCGTTTATCTGACCACATGGTCCTGATGGAGACTCTAAACAGTAAACCTCTGAAGGAGGTAAAATCTGATGTGTTTGTGGAAAAATCATTGCAGTGATGTAATAGAATTACCATTAGCTGATTCATTTATTCAGTGTTGTACTGGGAACAGCTTACATAACTGAGTTATGGAGGAAACTCAGATGAGTGAAGGTAATTGTTTTCCATGAACCATTTCAATAAACTCATCAGACGGGGTTTTATTGCAGCGTTCCCTAAACTCAATGATTGTGTGAGGAGAGGACGTTCATGGCTGCTGCTGCATTAGATGTGATTTAGGTAGAGAGAAGGTATTCAGACTTTCATATGCCAGGGACTCTTACACCACGTACATCTTGGCTGAGGAGCCCCACTCACACTGAATTTACTTCATATGTGTTCGTCACATATATCACATCTTTCAGTAATTAACTGTGTTCAGTTTTATTTTTGTGGAAATGATAAACAACTAAATGTGTGGCATTTCTCACAGCATAAAAAATAAACTGCAGTATTGATTTGCTTGCTAATATGCAAAACGTAGCTTTTGATGTCCTGCTTAATTTATGATTTAATGATTTTTAGATAAACATAAAATAATTCTCCTATTCCTTTGCAGTAAAATAAAGCTCTGCTGGTCGTTTTAACACAGTTTTAACACTAAATGGTCTTAAACGCTGGAGTTAATGTAGAACTGCTAATTCACACTTTAACCCTGAAGATCGGCACACAGATCGGCTGGTCACCATAGCAACACAACAATCTTGCCTAGCTAGTAGCTAACGAAAGGCAAAGAGAGAAATTTAAGACGAACATCGATAATTTGGAGACGAATGGACTTATTTGCTTTTATAATCACTCCAGCTGGTTTCGTGATACGTTTAATCTGCAACGAGAAACTGTCAAACACTAAAAAGTTGCAGAGCTTCTCTTTGAATTTTCCCAGGTGGATTAGGAAAATTTGAACAAGAAGCTGGTGAGTAAGAAGCGACTTCAGCTTCATAAAAAAACAAATGTTGAGACACATTTTACAAGAAACTGTTCTACTTTTGTGGAAAAGTTTCCTGCTGGAGATGCGAGAAAAGCAGCTATAGCTGAGCTAAAGCTTAAAGCAGAGCAAAGTAAGTCTGCATCTTCGTTTATATCATATTTTTTATCCTGTACCAGGGCATTAGCACATAGTGAGACATATTTACAGCCAGAAAAAGGTTGCCTTTTTTACAGTCATAGACAGGACTAGCACACAGAAAGCTCCAGTTCTACACGCTGATACGTTTTTAATGTGGCCTACATGAACATGCATATGCCGTAACTCCTCTGGCAGCAGATATAAACGTGCTTAAGGGACCATAGTCAGAATGGGTCGCTGGCGAGATGGTTGGTTCTATTGGGTTAAATAATCTTAAATAAACTTGCTTATAGTCACATATCAAATTAAATATTAAAAAAACCTTTTTGGGGGGCTTTTACATCAGTGTGAGAGCTTACAGCATTGCGATTCAGCACTGTTAGTATTTGATGTACAGTAGTTAAAATGTTGTGACACTGTATGATGTTCTGTTATCCATAAAAATGGAAAAAAGTATGTTGTATCGTCTGTCGTCCTTTGTTTATTATGTAAGTTTGAGATGTGAATGTAAAGTGTAGTGATTCCTTCGTGTCTTCATTGATTTTCTCTCGCTCTCTCTGCAGGGTGAAGTGGGGCCAGTGGGTGCAGAAGGGGAGCAGGGACAGCAGGGCTTAAGGGTAAGTCCTCATTCTTATCCACAGCTAAAGCCCACACCAAGTGTTTGCCTAAACTGGACCCTCTGGTGTGTTTTTGTTTATTCCACCCTGAGCCTGTGGGCCGAGGGGCTCTGCAGTGTTATGTCTGCTCTGCTGTATGGACAACCTCACCGAGAGCAGGATTCACTGCTCCCTTCTCTTCTCCCTCACTCAGAGAGAGAGAGACTTTGTTTGGCCACTCACACAACCTCCTGTTCTCCTGTTACACCATAATTCACTCAGTCCTCATGATTTCATTATAGCGTATTACTTTATTCACACTAATATCCGTCTCGCATAGCTGATCTTTTCCAGCGCTGCTGCATGTTTGTTTTTGAAATTGAGGAAAAACACTCAGTGGGGTTTTAGTTACAAAGAAGAGGATTTGATTAGGCTGGTGACCCACACACGCTTTCAGCATCCAAGTAGTAGTGAGCTGTACGGCCGAAAATGTAGGTTTCGTGTGTGTGTGTGTGTTTTATTGTCCTGGGACATCCCTTCAGTTTTTAATAAGAAATATTTGTAATAACCAAAGTAAATATGCAATAGTTTTAATGTGCGAATAGACAAAAAAACAAAAATAAACCATGTATAGACAGACCTCTGTCAATATTTTTTCCTAATGCTCCGCAGGCCCAGCAAAAACAGTGCTGAATTTCTACAGAGCTAATGTTGGCTTCTTATTCGCCAGATTCCTGTTAAAATTTCCATTCCACCTAAATGGCGCATTAGTTACATTCTGACACCTGTACGTTAGGCTAATGCGAACCTCAAAATGTTTGCCATTCCTGTATGCCTGCTGCCTCAAAAACAACATCGGCTACTTTAGATGTGACAGTGGGAGGTGATGGAGGGACGGCTGTGTTTTCTTTTTTATTTGAAACATGACTCAAACATCTCTGACTCTGGATGTTGTTAGCTTATTTTGCAATTCATACACAAGTTTCAACCGGAGTATTGTCAACTGCTGTATCCGAGAACTGCCATTCAGTACTGTCTTATGGGTTGGTCAGACACTAGAGGGCACACTCGAGCGAGTCTGAATTGACTGAGTTCCTATGGAGATTTAGTGCAAAACCATAACTTGTAAACGGCTACTAATTTTTATACAGATAAGCGAACTTGTTTCCTCAACACGGACAAGCATCCGATATTTGAATACTGTTGTCTTAAAACCCAAAACCTATTTACTGAGTATTCGGTGAGTTTCAGTGCTTTCTGATGCAGTCTATTCTTCTACTTTACAAATTTAAAAATAGATTTAACTAAGGCCTCTAACCTTTTAGCTCCTCTCACCCCCATTTATTGAAGACTCTATAGTGCCCTCTAGCATTTTACTGTCAGGTTTTGGTACAACGGGAGAAATAGGAAGTGGCCAGGATCTGGTAACACATCGGATCCGCCAAAAGGAAGCAGCATTATTACTGCCAGAGTTTCAGCTCCACAGTGCTGCCTCAGCCTGTTATATACAGAGAATCTAAGCATAAGCATTCAGACATAATTCACATCATCAGCAGTTTATTTCTGATGTCAGAGACATTCATTTAAATAAAGCAGTAAAGCGGTTACTGAAGTCAGAAGTAATTTACTATGCATTTATTTACATTCTCAAAATGGTAGTTACTGGCAAATGTTCTCTGTGAAGGATGTGTTCATTTAATTTCACTTATATGTATGTAGCTGAAGTTGTGAAGCCTCCCAAATGTTCCTTTTTAGCTTTAATTGAGTGTTTTTTCCCCATTTATAAATTATTTTTCTGCAATATTCCTCTCTCAGGGACCACCAGGTCCAACAGGAGAAGACGGACCTCAAGGAAAGGACGGCCCAAAGGTCAGTAACCATCACCTGAATTCATGCGATTATTGGGTAGGCTCTTACGCTCATGTTACATGCTTACCTCGCTCCTGTCCCACCTCAGGGGGAACCAGGTGACCGTGGACCAATGGGAGAGCCTGGAGAAAGGGGAGAGGTCGGTGACCCTGGACCTCCAGGACCTCCCGGAGAACCTGGTGTAAAAGGATTCCCGGTGAGTGTGTGATGAAGCATTTATCTGTATGAATGCTGAGATATATCTCATCTGTTCTTCTATATTGGTATTGGTATCACATAACAATATTGATTTGATGATACGTAATAAAAATGTAATTAACTGCACTGTTTGTCATTTCCTTCAGGTTGTTTCAAACAGTTCAGTTTGAATATACTTAAAAAGTAAATATTAAGTTTGTCATATTATTGTATTTTATCAGTACCATTAGTTTGAGAGATGGTTTAATATACTCTTATGAGATATTACATGTTAAATGACACATATTAAATGTAAGACTTACTATATGTATTATGGAAAACATACAAATGTTCAATGCGTTCCAGAATTAATAGACTCTATTATCTTGCAGTTTTCCTGTTCTGGAAAAATGGTTGCATAATGCTAGTTGACTCTTGTCATAACAATACGTTAGACTGAACTTGCCCGTGCTTGCTTTGGATACAGGTGTCTGCCAAATGAATACATACAAATGTAGCTTTAGTAGCAAACATGTGTATCTCTCCATTAGGGACCAGAAGGAAAACAAGGGCTGCCTGGCAGCCGCGGCCGTCATGGAAAGAAGGTAAGAGACTGTTTTGTAATGTGAAGATCAGCCAGGTTCTTCAGCAAATTCATCACTGACAACTCAGCTTACAAACACAAAGCATAGAAAAGCCCAGTCCGTAATTTTTATTGCATAGGTAGTCATGGCAACATACACGAGTTAATGCACATGTTTACAGGTACTAATAACATTTCAAAAGTAGTAGATTTCTATTATTTAGAGAAATAAATAGAAAAATACTGGCCCTTGAACTGCACCCTGTGGTACTCCTAAAATTGTTTACTGAAGAACAAAAAATATATACATGAACAGATGATATTACATTACAAGTTTATCTTTCAGTTTACTTACTTTTGTAGCTGTTGATATAATATATTTTATTTATGCAGGAATTATGTACACATTTGAATAAAAACTCAGTGCACCACTTTTTAAAGCTTGTGTTGCTGTTGTTTTGTGTCAGGGTGATCGAGGCGCCCCGGGTCAGCCGGGTGAGCCGGGATCTCATGGGGAAATCGGACAGACTGGCGAGAGAGGACTGAAAGGAGCTCGTGGGACCAGAGGACCACAGGTTAGCACCTTCATTTTAACTCTTATCTCACCTGCTCTTTCTTTCTCTCATAGTGTCCCTCTCAAGGTTCTCACTAGCAAAAGTCTTTATTGGCACAGAAGAATGTTGGTGGTATTTGGGTTCGGTACAGCTCTGTGGTGTATAAGTGCACAATAAACAGGAAGGTAGACAGTAAACCACAAGACAAGGCAACCGGTAAAAAAACCAAAAGACATTACTCCACATCAAGATTACGAATAATAACACGAGATGTCGAGTTGTAACATTATGAAGACAAAATAGTGTAGCATAGTATGTGCAAACTTTAGTGCAAATATAGCAGAATACAGTGGTGAATATTGATTAGTCTGGGGCCAATAATTGGTAATTGATCGTTTAAATAAGTGCTGATATTGTGTGAATGATCATTCTTTCGTTCTCTTTCACATGCCATGTAGTCTTTGTACAATCCCTCTAATCTATGGTTTGTTCAAAAATGTATACAATAGAAAAGATTGCACCTAATTATAGGCTGTACAAACAGGCATACATACACTGAATGCCACTTGGAAAGATTCTCAGTTTGGCCAAGAACACTGGGGTACATGCAAATAAAACAAAACTCCAGAACATCAGATCTGCACTCTAGTAAGGTGTAAAATGGACAGAATGAACATGGAGAACCACTTGATGTAAACAGTGTTACGTGCAGTCTGTGCGGATCATAGTTCTTGCTATAAATGATAGGGTAACATAGGAAAGTGCAAGCATAAGGTAAGCTCTGTAATACTCGTGTGCTACGTTCACTGATAATCGTTTAAGTTTACATTATCATCCAAGCTTAATATTAAGAGTTTGCTTATACTCAAATAAACTTTTCAGGGATTTTTACTTTCCTTAGTATGTTTGAATTATAATACCTTTACTAAAGTATCTATTTCAGGAAAGTAAACATTTTACTCAGTTCTATATTAGTAATTAACATTGAGTCACAAATTCCTTTTTTCTGTTATAATTTTATTCTCTTACACTGGTAAGTTGGGAGTACATCAAAAAAGAAAAATATAGTCTAACCTACTTCAGTTCCTATGCTGGTAGTAGCTGGATGTACTAAGACATTCTATTGCGGTTCTTGAAGCTACTCAGTACTTAAGTAGTTTTTTGAGCTGCTACTTTTTTCCTTTTACTCAAGTTGTTTTTTTGGAAAGGTACTTCAAAGCAATATTAATACTTTTAGAGGAGTATGTATTTAGGCTACTCTACTCACCTCTGGTAGTAAAATATCTGTAAACGTTACAAAAATGTAGCAGCTCTCTTCATCTTTCTCAGTCTTCATGCCTTTTTTCATCTCTCAACTTTTTGTTTCTCCACCTTTTTTCACTGATATAAGAGTCTTTACTCTGCTGTTCTCAGGGCCAGAAGCTAACTGCAGTAATGTTCTCTCGTTTAGCAGCAGATCTGAGAATTGATTTTGGAGAAATTGATCATTAGTTTGCCTATTAAGTTCATTTATTGCTGTTAAACTGTAGAAAAGCCAGAAAAAGAAAGAGGGATTTGTTGCAGGCTGGAACTAAGTAATGTCTTGGCCAGCTTTACTAAAATACACTCATAATGAATGCTGTCCTTTGCTTGGCAGTAAAGTGAAGTAGCAGTTGTCCCAGGCTGTCTTGCAGGCCATTACACTTGACCTGACAAGAGGAAAGCCAGGGCTTTAGACACAACAGTCCTGCTGAACTCTGGCTGCTAAAATCCAGCCAGTCTAAACATTAGCGGTGTTGGGACCGGAATCAAAGGCTCCTAATGGGGTATTAGGCTTTTCTTTTCCTCAGTAAATCCACTAAGGATTGTTAGCAGCCCAGGTGTTAATCCTTTTCTTCTGTACACAGTGATTAACCACCCACTACTCCAGTGGCCTGAGGACAGACCATGTGAGCTGAAGGTGGGAGGGTTGGGGACAAACAGCAGAGCTCAATGATATGAAAATATGAAAAATCTTACTGTGTATATGTTGTTATATATTGTGATTGCCGTATACCTTGAAACAGAGATGGGGCACATATTGACTGACACCTCAGCCCAGACTAGCCCTTGAATGCATCACAACATAAAATGATTGGTTAGATCTAATGTCATTGCTAATCTAGCAGAATTATGAAACACTTGTTTTTAGAAAGTTATAAACAATAATGATATTACTGTCAGACTGTATAAACTACACACACTATAGATTCATACTGGATTAAAATCGCTCCACAATTATTACTGTCAGACTGTATAAACTACACACACTATAGATTCATACTGGATAAAAATCGCTCCACAATTATTACTGTCAGACTGTTAAACTACACACACTATAGATTCATACTGGATTAAAATCGCTCCACAATTATTACAGTCAGACTGTATAAACTACACACACTATAGATTCATACTGGATTAAAATCGCTCCACAATTATTACTGTCAGACTGTTAAACTACACACACTGCAGATTCATACTGGATTAAAATCGCTCCACAATTATTACTGTCAGACTGTATAAACTACACACACTGCAGATTCATACTGGATTAAAATCGCTCCACAATTATTACTGTCAGACTGTTAAACTACACACACTATAGATTCATACTGGATTAAAATCACTCCACAATTATCACTGTCAGACTGTATAAACTACACACACTATAGATTCATACTGGATTAAAATCGCTCCACAATTATTACTGTCAGACTGTATAAACTACACACACTATAGATTCATACTGGATTAAAATCGCTCCACAATTATTACTGTCAGACTGTATAAACTACACACACTATAGATTCATACTGGATTAAAATCACTCCACAATTATTACTGTCAGACTGTATAAACTACACACACTGCAGATTCACACCAGATTAAAATCACTCCATAATTATTATACTGTTGCAGTTTTTCAGAATGGTGAAGGCCGGTATTGTTATGACAAATAACAAACGAGGTATTTTTCCAGCCCTGTGTGAGTTTTTCCAGCAGAAAGCAGTAATTTTTTCTGTGAAGCTGTTTTGAAGCTGCGCTGAGATGATGTATAGGAGAAATTTCTCCAAATGCTTCTGGAGCCCAAGAGACTCGAGCTGACTACACGCTGTTTTTAACAAATCTGTTCAGGTGGCAGTGAAGAGTTCTGTGCCAAATACAAACTCTGTGTTTTGTCCATTACTTTCAGGGTCAACCAGGAGTTATGGGGCCGCAGGGGGAGCCGGGAATGGAAGGGTACACTGTGAGTTACTCTTGCTTCCATTTAAAACACAAACACACACACACACACACACACACACACACACACAGTTAAACATTTACGTGTATTCTCTCCATTCGCATGAAGAGCCTGAGGGAGTTCCTGCGCTGCAGATTGATAAAACAGAGACGCTGAAAAACAGAAAAACATTTTTCTCCATAATTCATAGCAAACACACAAGTCCATCAGCAGGCCCACAGCACACACACACACACAGAAACACACCCTGACGTACGCTGCTCCAGCCGTAGACTCTTCGTATATCACCGTCAGATAATGAAGCTTCATCCTCGCTCAGTGAGACAGTGTCGCAGTCTGACTCTTGGCTCTGGAAGATATAAAGGGAGCCAGTTCTTTACAACTTATCCTGTTACATCTTGGCTTCTGTCGGGGTTTATATAGTACTCTTACTGTTTCATAGCAGTTTCAGTGATTTAAGCCAATCCAGAAGCCAGTAGGATTAAATGACTTTTGGACAGCCTGGTCCTGTTCATCTCCTACACGGTCAATAAAATACCTAGTAGTGCTTTGGCTGGGTTTTTTCTTTTAGTGAGTGGATCTTCACTGTAAAACATTAATGCGCAGAATGTGCTGGATTCAGATGTGTACGTTAGGGACGATTCTCAGTTTGAAAGTCTTGAAGGTTTAAAAAATTGAATAGTAGATTAAGGTGATTGATATGCAGATGAGCTGCTCTGTAATGTTATACATTCTCATGTTTAAGCACAGATGACAGTACACTGTAGAGGGCATTGAGGAGTCTACGTTTTATGTTTCTTATCTGTTTATTCCAAAGAAGTAAGTGTCCAGCTAAAGGCTACCGTCACGCTAGAGGAGAAGCGCTGCGCTGTGCCACAGTATCTCTGGCACTGGGTAGCAGAAGATACAAAGCACAGGTGTAGCTGATAGAAACCGTCAGAAAAGTGCTGACGTCAGATAAAAACGGAAGCTGAAGTTAATTTACGCTACATTCATTTTGATTAAAACTTTCGAAGTCATTCAGTTCATTTCCGTGTTTAGTATCAGCTCACTCTTCACGTACTCACTGGCTTTGAGCTGAAAGTTATGAGGTGAACTACGATGGCATTTCTCAGTTAACAGTTAGCATTTAGACTTTAGATTGACTGCCTTTCTCCATGTAGTTTCAAGTCCCATATCGTCTGCTATGTTTTCGTAGTGTTACAGAGATGCTGAGTGGTGCCTTTTCAACACTGCATGCTGTGTTTTGTCCACCGAATGCATCCCATACCTTAACTTAAGAGTTCTAAGAGTGTAGTATTTTTTGAAGTTCAAATTTCAGGTTTGACTGAAATACCCATCCCTACTGTACATAAACACCATGTAGAAGTGATATAGACATTTTTTCAGCTTGTGCAAATTGTCCAGTGATTTTTTAGCCTCTTTCCCTTTGGGTCACTTCTACCAGAAATCGTCTCAGTATCTCCAGGATTCAACCTTACCTTCTTACCAATAAGTGAACACTGGTGTAAACAAAGTAACCCACATCCTTGAATGTGCATCAACCCCCTTCAGTGTAATATACTACAGGTATCTGTGGTATTTGCCACTTGCTTGTACAGTCATACGAGTATATGCAAAATTTGTGTGTCTGTGGTCAGATTACAGTTTTGTTTGATTTTCTGAAAATAAGAAGTGAAAATAAGTTGAAATGTCCTCTACAGAGACACACTTCTGCGCATTTTAATGTACAATTGCTGCTTATTTGCTGAATTTAACACATGTTTTTTTTCCAATATGTTAAACTCATAGATAAATACATCAATAGAATAAATACATAATACATACATAAATACAAATTGTGCAATAAAATTTGCAGAAAAGTGCTATATTTAAGTTTGTTCCCTGTAAACGATGTTTTTTTCGCTGAGAAAATTCACAAAACGTAATTTGACAGAGGGCGTTCAAACTTTCATACACAACTGTATGCTGTTCTGTTGTTTTGTAAAGTTCTGGTGAGTGTAAATATAGTAGTTTATGTGTGCTGAGTTATAACATCTTAAAAAACCTTTTGGTTTTTGGTTTTTGGAATTTGGTTCGGGGCAGTGAATTTTCAGGTCGCTTGCCCAACTGGCCAAGTTGGCAGAAAAGTTAACATTAAACCCTGTAATAATAATAATAATAATGATAATAATAATAATAATAATAATAGTAGCATTAATAATAGCAACTCAAATGAGTGACTGAAGCTACGACAAAGCAAAGGGCACATGTTTATAATCTTGTGTTTTTTCCTCCGAAGTCTACTTAATGTCATTTATGTACCAAAATTTAGAATTAAACAGTCTGTTTTTTACTGTCCCTTTAAGACTGATACACAAATAAGCTCTGTTCTGATTGTCTCTCCTATATTGTGTATATAAGTCCAGACCGAGATCTTTAGGGTGGTAGGAAATGGAAATTAAGCTTTAAGTAAATTAAGTACATTTCAGCTGCTTCTTTCAGTTTTGTGGAATCTATGGAAAGCTACAATGATCCATTTGTTTTCCACTCCAGTAACTCTGCTACACACTGTAGGACTGCAGGAACAACATCACTTCCATGGGAGTGGGTGAAGATAAACTACGATAGACTAGTGGGCAGTCGTATTTAAATGTGGTCAGGGCTTTATGAACTGGCTAGTGAACGTTTAGCTTACCTTTCATTTAAAACATCTAAAACCTCTTTCATAACCTCGTTTATGTGAAGCAAAGCAAGGAAAATGTGGTTTTCCATGATATGGGCCTTTTAAGCTGTGCATATAGCTGGAAGACTTAGTTGCTGACTTGTTTTAATGCACATACATTCACATCCACACAGTGCATGTCTATCTGCACGTGTGCACAAACTCATACACCCGTATAGTAGCCTTATAAGAATTGCTGTGTATCTAACCGGGTCGCCTACAGCTTTGTTGTAGATACCTGACTCAGAGCACACATACCACAGCCTCTGATAAAACAGCCCCAAATGCGGCGTTTAACTGCAGGCTACTGTAACTGAGTCTGATCTTCATTCTTCTGTGTGTCAGCCCTTCTCTTCTTTCATTTGCCCCCATCATTCATTTCTTCACCCTGAGCTGCAGGGCCCTGAATCTGAAAGGATTACATACCAGTGATTGAAGAGACAGCATATATAAGTCACGCACACATTCCCATAGAAACGCACTCTACATGCACATACATGCAGCAGCCGCACTCACTCCTGCAGTTCATTCGCATCCACTCTCTCACTGTTTGGCTGATTCTTTTCTCTTTCTCTGTTTGACATTAGGGTCACGTTGGCAAGCCTGGTCCACCTGGACCTCCAGGACCAAAAGGTGAAAAGGTAAGTAGTAAAACGTCTTGTCACCCTGTCTATTTGTTATTGTACAATCAATTACATAATTGGTGTGGTGAGCGGGAGTCGGCAGGATGAGTCCCCTGGGTAGCTTTATTTAGGGGCTTCCAGCACTGAGGGTCAGATGTATGTATGAGCACAGGTACAGTGCAGAATGTGCCTTAATGTGACCACGGTATTCGCCCACAATGTGTGATTTACCAAGCCTGGGCCTTATCGCACACTGTGAGTAGCCCCAACCACTAACTGCGGGGTTTACAAGAAGCAGTGAAATAATGATGCGATCGACACGTTTATCGTGTTAATAAATGATGCACTTTCCCACCAAAACATTCTACAGGCATGTTATTTCACAGGTAAGAAGAGGCTAAGAAGTCTGTGAAATGATAACACTTTCTTGTATCCGTATCGTCATATTTTCTCCCACGTTATTATGTACACAGACATCTGAGCCCAAGAGTTAGACCAGTTATTCTGATGGTAAACATTATTTCAGCCATATGTGCAAAATGGATATGTGTGAGGATAAGAAGAGCATTTTCCATTTTACCATAAAAGGGAAATCGTGACAGCAACGGTTAGTTAAGGAATGAATAATGTGCCTCCATTGAAGTTCAATATCAAAAAAATCACAAAAAAGTTCTTCCTCTGCTTACAAAGAAAAATCTGGTATGAATTGAAAGTTTACAATCTACTCTTTCCACATAGTTTCTCCTCCTGTTTCTATGATCTATCAGTGAAAATGTAAGAAGGAAGTGTTTCTAAGTAAACCTCATGGGGGAGCTGGCTGAGCTAACTCAGGCAGATTATGTATAATTTCCTTCTCAGCCTCATTATTGTTTGTTGTAGCGCTACATTCTGATTACTTCCGTGTGTTTATTTTCTCAGGGTTACCCGGGAGAGGACAACAAAACTCCAGGACCCCCGGGGCCCTTAGGTGAACCAGTAGGTCTAGAGCTCTTTACACGTCCTCTTTCTGCCCTCATTACTGACATAATCAATCATTATACATTTCCTTCTCATTGTACTTACATAATCAGTCATAATACACCTCCTCTTTCTGCCCACTGACATAACCAGTCATAATTCACCTCCTTCTCTTGCTCTCTGTGCTGATATAACACATCATAACACTGGAGCTGTACACTGGTTGTATAACTTTACACTGGTTTGCACCTTACAGGTGGGATTGTCAATTTTGGCCAACGTTACCTAAAGCTACCTAAAGCCCCCCCCTTCAGTGTTCTCTTCAAAGCCCCACCCCCAAAACATATGAACGTCTGCTGATTAGTCTTTAACGCCTGAATACTGGTGCTAACCCAGCTGTTACTGATTGACCCAAATGATGACACAAGCGGACGTCAGCCCAGCTGATTAGTTAACTAATGTTAAGTGCTAGCTAACTAGTTAACACTGCCCTTGTTGACTCCCACAAGGTCCAGAGCCCAGATGTGCTATGCAGAGTAAACACCTGCCTAGCAGATATGCACTCTTAAAACTAAAGGTTCTTAAATGGTTCTTGGCTTGGAATGTGTAGAGCCTTTGCATTATGTGAAGGTTCTTTGAACATTTGACTCGTATCACACTTACAAAAGTGGCTCTTTAAAGAACCACACATCTGGTCCTTTAAGGAACCAGAAGTGGTTCTTTTCTGGATTTGCTTAAAGGAACCCTTTTTGGGTCTATTTGAAACCTCTACATTTAAGAGAGTAGAGCGAAGTCGGCATCAAGCTTTACGGCTTTCTGCTGTTGGAATTGGCCTTTATGAGAACTCTGGTTTGTAGCTTACTCGCTGTAAGGCTACAGCTCCTCGCTATGTGCTGCTCTGATCATATATTTCATTAACATTTGCCAGAATGTGAGGATAATTTAGTACAACATTATGAAATATTCAATAAAATGTTTAACTCCACCTTTAAATGGAAGCTTTTGTTTTGCCCCATGTATGTTATTTAGCACCTGTTTTTAGGTGGTACATCATATTAATAAATAAATGCTGAGTCTCCCGTTATGAGCGATTTGACTGATTGATCAGTTGGGGCAGCTCTACATCATACACCTTTCCTTTATACTCTCCTCCCTGATACAGCCAGTCATAGTGGTTAAAACGGTTCTGTCTGTCTGTGTGTGGGCAGGGTCCTCCAGGTGAGAGGGGAGAGCGAGGAGAACCAGGACATGACGGATATCCAGTGAGTTCCATACATTAATACATTAATAGGAAATTCCACCAAATCAAAATTTCTTTGTGGTTAAATGTTTAAGATGTAAACAAAGTCATTAGAGTGGTTTGGTGTGAAATGGTTCATTGTAGAGAAGCTTAGATTTCTTTACAGTGGTGGTGATGGGAACCAGATGTCTGAAGAGTTTAATGCCCCTAAAAGTTCCCTCACAGAAAGTTATTACATGAAGTGGTTATGAATACACCGACTGACGCCTGAGATATTATTTTACTGTAGTTTGAGAAGGTTTTGGCTTAAAATGCAGAGACATGCATGCAGGGCACTGTAAGGCACCTAAGCATTGTTTAAAACCATTTATCTGCCTGTAAAAAACACCATATATCATGAGAATAGATGCAAATACACATAAAAACAGCTAGAAGTAAGAAGATTTTTTTTATTTTGATAAAAGTGGTTGATTTCTTGTGAACAAATAAACGGTCATTTGCACAAACAAATAGCTTTTTAACTCTAATTTCCTCAGGTGCATAGTACTGTGTTTTTCAGATTTGCCATTGTCAGCATTACAGAGTGTAGATTCACTGATCATTTTGGAGGTAAATATATTTGCATAGTAGGCATTGTGACATCTGGTTCCTGTCACCACCACTGTAAAGAAAATAGAGTCAGTAAGTTTCAATGAACCGTCTCACATTGAAAATTCACATGCATGAAAGATGGAAGCATTTTTTCTATGCACATAATCCATAAACTGCATGTTTAGTCTTATATGCTAATTTAGTAACACCTGATTTGTGCCTGAAACGGTTTAGTAGATCGGACCCTCACTGTTTACGTGTGTGTCCCTCATTTTGCTGCTTGTGGAGTTCTATAATATTCTGAGATGATGTGCCTGTAGTGGTCCTCTATAACAGCTGTCACTGGACGTCCTTCACTTAAACTTCTATTGGAACCTTTTAATCAACACTTTGGCTCGTCTTCAATGCCCAGATTAATCAGAGTCAGATATGAAGCAGGATATTAGAGTCAGCCTCAGTTACAGGCTGATTAAGGTGGTCTTTTTATCCTCCTCCTGTAACGTAGCCAAGACCTGAGAGGGCTTTTCAGTATTAATGTGCGTCTTTGTGTTTCAGGGTCACATTGGGGTCCCTGGTGCTCGAGGGCCGATGGGCCAGCAGGGGCCACCGGTGAGTTCTCTAACTTACTGTAGCTGTTTACAAAGTGATATGCAGACGTATGCAAAAGTTTGGGCGCCCCTTGTCAAATTCCACGTTTTGTTGATTTTCTACGTGAAAAGAAGTGAACAGAAGTTCTGCACATTTGAATTTACAGTTACTGTTTGTTAGTTGAATTTAACAGTAGGGAAAAAATGTAACATAAAATGTCATATGTGCAAAAGTTATGGCACATTTTGTATTTTATGTTCTGTTTTTTCGAATGTGTTAAACTCAGCAAGCAAATCTGATGTCATATTTAAACATCATCTATATCATCCAATATCACATAGAAACCTGTATGATGGTTTGTTGTGCATTATGATGGCCTTTTTTCAACAACTTTTTCTCAGTATACAGTATGCATTACAGTATTTTTCAGAGGTTAAATCGTACGGCCACCTTTAAAAGTGTTATCAAAAACTATGACTGCTGTGCTCTCTTAGTAAATCCAACTAAGCAGGAATAATTTTGCCTTCTTTGTAATGAAGTTGGCCAGTTTGTTGGCCCTCTTTGTAATCACAGTTGATCAGTGCTCCTGAGTCCCAATGATGTCCACAGTATGCTCAGAAAAGCGTGCTGTGCTGTCTTTTATCACAGAAATGATAAATATCATCGTATTGCCCAGCTCTAAATGACTTCTAAAAAGATTGCTAATAACTGTTAAATAAGATCGGGTGACTGTCTTTAGTACAAGGCTAAAGATGAAAGCAGTAACGTCTGTAAATATCTGTGTTATTTTGTAGGGTTCTCCTGGAGCGCCTGGAGAAACAGGACCCAAAGGAGAGAAAGGAACTCAGGTGTGTTTCCTGTCTGTCTGTGTTCTCTTTACAGAACTACAGGCTGGATTTTATCTCACCTTTCCATCTCCCTCTGTGTAAATCTGAGAGGGGCTGACAGACGTTTTTACAGAATCACCCATAAATTCCTGTTGTCAGTGAGCTGATCAAGTTAATCCAAATCAAACCAAACCAAACAGCGCCTCTCACTGCAGAGTGAATGAGCATAAACCCACATCAGTCATCAGACTCACCTGCCTTTACCTGCTCAACTGAGAGAGACAGAGGGAGAGAGACAGAGACACAGAGGGAGATGAAAGTGAAAGAGACAGATGAGTGAAAGAAAGAAAGTGGGAGGGGAAAATAGGTTGGGGAAAAAGAGAGATAGAGACATTAAAGTGAAAGAGATACAGATAAGAGAAAGAAAGAAAGTGTGAGGAGAAAGACAGAGAGAATGAGAGATGAGAAAGAAAGAACTAAGAAAGAAAGGGAGAAATAGGAGAGAGATGGGACGACAGAGAAAGGGAAAGAGATGAGGAGGAGAGAAATTAGAGAGAGATGGAAAAGTAAGAAAGAGGCAGATGACAGAAAGAGAGACAGGGAGAAATATATATCAAGACAAATAGAGAGGCAGTGAAGAAAGAGAGATTAAAAAGAGATGATTAAGTGAGAGAGAGAAAGAAAATGTGAGACATGAGAAGGAAGTGTGTGTGAAAGAGAAAGAGAGAGAGAGAGAGAGAGAGAGAGTAGAGGAGTCCAGAACACTTGATGTGTTTTTCAGCTGCCCATCTTCAAATCAGCAAATGAGTTCAGAAGAAATTCTTTATAAGTCAAACATGGAGTGAAGCCGTGACCTCATACCTCTCATAATGAGCTGGAAGGAGAGAGAGAAAAGTGGGGCGGGGGGTGGTGGTGGGGGGGTGACGAGCTTCATAGGCTGAGGAGAAGAGTGCAGTAGAGAAGGAGGGAGAAGAAAAGGGAGGCTCAGTTTTTTCTTTTTTTGTGAATCTCTCTGCTCGGCCACCCAGAAAGACTCTAATAGGATTCTCTACATCAAAGGGTTCTTGTGAATTTCTCAGCTGGCTCTGTTTTCTCTCTGTCCATGTGCCAAAGCTGCGCTCCAACAGCACGTTCACCACTCACACTGCCGCTTCTCTCCAAGACCAGAGAAAAGGCCTCACGCTCAGTTTATCTCTCTGTCCATTACCACATGCAGAGCTGATAGAACAAAGCAGAAGATCCTGATAAACCAGCACCGTCGTAAGAAAACCTCGTATCTCTGAGACGGTAACTTCATAGAAGGGAGAAACAGCAGTGAGGAACCTTCAGGGCTGGACTGGTAGATGTGTTAGATCAGCATAATTAGGAACTGATAGTGCAATCATCCAGTCACGGTTTGTGGGACCAACATGCAGCTAAAACACACAAAAAAGTTGCGGAGCTGAAGTCAGATTTTCATTCATCAGCTTCTTGTTCCCGTTCCACCTTAAATGGTGCAGCAGTTACATTCTGGCGCCTCAGGCACCGTTTAAGGTGGAACGGGACAATTCGAACAAGACGTTGGCAAATGAGAAGCTGACTTCAGCCTCGTAAAAACACATTTTACAAGAAACTGTTCTACTTTTGTGGAAAAGTTTCCTGCCGGAGATGCGGGAAAAGCGGCTATAGCTGAGCTAAAGCTTAAAGCAGAGCAAAAGTAAGTCTGCATTATTTTTAGCCTACACTACAGCATCAGCACATACTGAGACATATTTACAGCCACGATGGTAAAATGGACTCAAAATGTTGTGGCTCCCATGGTGGATTGATTTTTGTGGAAAGGACAAAATGGTTCTTCTTAACATTTGGGTTGCCGACCTCTGATCTAGACCTTCTGGAAGTTCTAGACTGAATTTCTCATGGTTCCCTACTTCCTATATAGTCATGAAACTATGGCTTTCTACACCCAAATAGTGAACTAAATGTTAGTTTGGGAGTTTGGCTGAATATTAATAACCTTCTGTTAGACATATAATGCATTTGGGTGTAAAAGCTTTTTTTTTCACAGCCTGTATGGTGCGCTACACAGAGAGCCCTCTGAGATTCAGCCTTACCCCTAACTCTGAGGCCACCCCTGACTCTGAACATGAGCCACAGTCTAACCAGGTTTCAGTCGGGTATTAGGAAGGGAAAACAGCAGCGAGTCTACGCCAGGACTCTTCACTGGAAATAACACTTTAATGTCTGTTACAAGCTTTAATTAAAACATATCAAGTGTCGTTTACAAGCTTCCAGTGTCCAGGTTTAATTTAGAACAGCCAAAACGGTTAGCTTAGCACTAAGGTGACACCAGATTTCTACTAGTCCAGTTTTCATGAGATATTCACACAGTGTAAAGGGCAGCTAAATCTAGATCTAACTGTGTGTGTGTGTGTGTGTGTCTTTTTTAGGGACTGCCAGGAAAAAAAGGTGCTAGGGGTCTTACAGGTTCACCTGGACTAGAGGTAATCAACACACACTCACCTGCCATGGAGCAGTTTCCCCACCAAAAGACCTGATTCTGACCTCAATCTCAATACACTCTGAAATTACTCAGTATCTACTAGAAATTACTCAGTATCTACCGTGAATTATTCAGTATTTTCTACAAGTGATCAGTTACTACTATAAAATATTCAGCATCTCCTATGAATTCAGTATCTACTATGAATTATTCAGTATCTACTATGAATTATTCAGCATCTCCTATGAATTCAGTATCTACTATGAATTATTCAGTATCTACTATAAATTACTCAGGATGTACTATGAATTATTCAGTATCTACTTTGAAATTAATGTCGAAGTTCTGTAGTTTTGAGAGTGAGAAACGTGTGGACCCTCATACAGAGTTTAAGTGGTTAATTTTATATTTTGTGTTCTAGGGGCCTGCTGGTTTGCCTGGGCCCAAAGGGATGATGGGATATCCTGGATCTGATGGTCCTCCTGGTTTGCCAGGATTACCAGGACTGCCAGGCCTGATCGGCCGCACAGTGAGTCTCTCTCTCTCTCTCTCTCTCTCTCTCTCTCTCTCTCTCTCTCTCTTTCTTTAACTACACCTCTCTCTCACACAAACACAGACACGTACAGCTGTGTGTGGTTTATTTCATGCTGCTTTGTTGATAATGGCTTAATTTTCAGCATCGTTAAGTCCAGTGGTGGATAACTAGTTGCATTCATGGTTTTGTAGCCTTTAAACTCTCAGCACACTCTTCTTCTGCCTCCCGCCCATGTTTGAAGTGGGTGTTTTAGAGTGAATGGGTGATTATATAACTGTGACAGTGTGATGGAAAGTCATGTTGAGTGATGGAGTTTTGAGGAAACTCACAGCTGGATAGGTTTACCGTCCACTGCTGGCACAGCATCACTCTTAACTGAGAACCAGACCATTAACCTCATCCTAACAAAGGCCTAATGGAAGATCATGAAACCCCCTGATTACAGTCATCTGCCCTTAGCTTTTCAGAGTTAACTAAAGCCCTATTTGAGCTGGATTAGTGTGAATCATTCTTACAGCCTGGCAGTAATAACTGTGGCGTGAATGAGTGATGTACAGCAGACTCCTGGGTCTAAAGTACGGCTGCACAACATATCGTTTCTTAATCGTATCACAATATTGACCTTACTGATATTTACATTATTTACAGTACAGTAATTTTACAGCACTGCTGCCACCATCAGGTGAAAGGATAAACTGCAGTGCACTGGCTGGCGGGCCACAAATTCTAAAACAGAAGCCACGGGCCAATTAAAATCTGTCTGTGGGCCACCAGACGTGTCAAACTGTGACATTCCTCTTAATGAGAATTTTGCATAAAACTGCACATATAAATTAGCCCTTTATCGAATCTCAATGTTTTGTTATATATTGTGAGCATATTGATCGATAACTGATGCTCCAGATGAGTTTCTGGTGATTTTGATGAATCAGAAGCGCCACGTGACCAAAAAGTGTAGATTATTTCAGTGATAATAGTGCAGGATGATCTTTAACCATGTCACATATGAACAGGAGAGAGACAGATTACTGAGTCCACATGTTTCATACAGAGAGGTGTCTGTGTGTTTGTCTTGGCGTCGGGACCCCAGCTGTCAAGTGTGTCAAATCTGTATATATGCCGTAGGCAAAACACACCTCACACACACACACACACACACACACACACACGTTACAACAAACACCACACACTACTGGTTTCATTTCTCTTTCTCTCTGTTTCTTTCTCTCTCTCTCGCTCTCTTTAAGTTCAGTCCTAAATATATTTATGTTTTACTGACGCGGCTGTATTCAGTGGTGTTATTACTCAATATTACTCAATAAACAAATAATCACATCACAAACACAAACAAAGTTGAACACTTCAATAGGGTAGTACAGTGTAGTTAAACTACACTGTAATGAAGCCTTTGTTTCTGCTTTAGAGCAAACTCTCTCTCTCTCTCTCTCTCTCTCTCTCTCTCTCTCTCTCTCTCTCTCTCTCTCTCTCTCTCTCCCTCCCTCCTCTCGCTCTCCTTCTCTTTCTTTCTCTGAGACTGTATAGGTCAGGGGTGTCCAAACTTTTGAGGGGCCAGATCGGACCCTTTCAAAATCCCTGGGGTTCAAAACTATTATTCACAAATGATGCAAAATATCAAGTCTTCAAAACATGAAAAATACAACCATGTAGAGCAAAAGATCGACTCGAGCCTGTTGCTGGTGACCCATTCTGAGAGTTTGGCGATGATCCCGTAAACACGTATAAATCTGTCACCAGAGGAGTTACGACACGTACATGTTCACGCTGGTCATAGTGAAACATATCAGCGTGTAGAATCAGAGCTTTCTGTCAGCTGCTGTGTTTTCTCATCACTGTATACAAGTGCCTGAGGTTTCATTCATTGTTGGATCGCTCATTCAGAGTAATTTGAATCAGTAAGCGCTTATAACAAATTATCAATTTGATTATTCAGTGTAACAACAAGAGGTAACTAATGTAGTAAGTGTGTTCTTATAAATGGGTTTACTTGTTCAGAAATGTGATATGAAATCTGGGTGGACCTCTAAATATTTATGTCCATGCTTTGTTTCAGGTCTATTGATAGTCTGCTGATGTATTGACACACTCATTTATTTTGCCTCTGAAAGAAAAAGGATTTCTATCTCGCCAAAGTCGCTGGTTCAAGCGTTAAGGCTGTATTCTTGACTAAATGTCATTCAGTAGATAAAGTGCATTACACTGTAATTATACAGCACTGCTGCCATCATCAGCACTGCTGCCACCATCAGGTGAAAGGAAAAACTGCAGCGTACTGGCTGATGGGCTGCTTTAGAACAAATTCTAAAGTAGAAGCCACAGGCCCATCGAAATCTGTCTGTGAGCCACATTTGGCCTTGGGGTCGGACTTCGGACACACTGCAGTGTATAGCATCATGTCTTGTAACATCACGTAGTAGATACAGGGCAAAATGCAGCCATACTGTGCTGGATGTATCGCAGTGAGAGTGTCGATAAAAGTCAAGCTCGAGTTTATTTTTACACTCGTATAAATTCAGTGAAATAAAACGTTATCATGCTGTTTGTCTAAAAGACTGAGTGCCCCCTTCTGTGTGAATTTTAAGCCACCGGCCACATGTAGTTGTGATGTGATGATTTAGACATATCTTGGCACGAAGATAATTGATTGGTTATATGCTTCCGTGCCTGATTGGCTCCTGTGTTGATTGTGGTGCGGTTTCAGGGTCAGCGTGGTGCTCCAGGTCTAGAGGGCAGGGCGGGGCTTCCTGGTTCACGTGGTGAGCTCGGACTGCCCGGGCCGGTCGGAGAGAGAGGACCAGCTGGACTGCAGGTAAATAAAACCCAGAGAGCATCTTCTTCCACAGCATTTTGATCCTACACAGCTCTCACACTCTGTTATTGCTGCTGGAAACTTGACCAAATTGGCAAATATGTGCCTGTTTGGACAGAAATCGTCTATTATTGTCATAAGCCAATCCACATAACTTTTAGATTTGTCTTCAGGAGGTTTATATTATAGGTTTAAGTCTACGTATGGGTGATATTTCGACCTCAGACTGAGCTGTGCTGTTTTTGCAGGGTGAGAGGGGTTTGCCTGGTGAGAGAGGCACTGCGGGGGCAAAGGGTTTGGAAGGAGCTCCTGGAGACCAGGGCAAGAAGGGTGAGCCTGGCGCCAAAGGACAACCGGTGAGAGTTATTTCTGAGTACTGAATGCACAAACCAGCTGTCAGTCATCTATCAGATATCTGCCAGCTGTCAATCATCTCTAAACAGTCTTTAAAATTAGCTTTAAGAGTTTTAACAGTGTGTAAGAGATTTTTAGAAGTGAAGAGATATATTTGCAGGAAAACTGCTGCAGGACCAACAGTTTGTTGCCTTGTGTGGTCTTTCATACCAAAACAGGTCTAATATATTTTTATATCACTGGTTTTCGACTTTGATTTGTCTCTTAGACAAAAAATAGGCTGATTAATAATTCATTATCACTTCAGGGTGAATTGTGTGGTAAACTGCTGTGGGCTGAACGGGGTGATATATGAATGCATTCATGGTTGTGAAGTCATAACCACGATGAATGTAAAATGCAGCTTAATGTGGAGATGTGGACTGGGGAGTGAATTAACCATTTTGAACCAGTGTTTACACAGTATATCTACTATATCGCTGTTGTCGGAACAAAACCTCATATCTCCAAAATGAGAACTTTACAGGAGAAGGAAAAAACATACTTTACTTTTAATGTAAGTCAATGGAACCAGACTTTTTTCCAAGTTGTTTTGGGCCGTTTCTTTTGGTCGATTCATCATGAAATTTACACACAATGCAAAGGGCAACAGGTACTTTTAAATTATGCCAAAAACTAAAAAACGTTGAAAATGGAGATACGAGGTTTTCTTCCAACAACAGCGATATATATATATAGGTATATATATATATAACCTATTTTATTTAAAAAATGAAAGGAAAAAATGACATTTTTTGGCCCTTTAAATGGACTGCTGTGGCGCGCTGAAGCCTTCAAGGTCTGTATCTGGATGTCAGCACATTTGACTACAAAATACCATTTGATTTATAGCACCTGTTCTCAATCATCAGGCAGTGCTAAATATAGCAGCTCGCCTGTGGAGACAAAGCTGAAGGAAAATCCCAGTGTTCCTGCTTCTCCTCCAGCCTCAGAGAGGGGATCAGAGTGAAAACCCTGCATCTGGCTAATCTCAAAGAGCTTATGTAAGAGATGGAGAGCAGGGGGATGTAGGGACGGTGCAGGGGTCAGGGCGGGGTCAGTGCAGTGGTGAGGGTGGGAGAAGGTTTGGAGAATGTAGGGAGAACCCGGTGCTCCTGTTTCTTACATAACACAGCTGGATGTTGAAGCTGAAATGGAGCCCACATTCCAGAACTACTGACAGGTTATATCACCTTACTGCCACGCGCTCCACACTGGGGGTGTGTGTTTGGTTAAGCAGCAGGACAAGGAAGCTAAACCCGCAGAGTGCAGGCGTATTATTCAGTTATTAATCTTTAGACCTGTTATTCAGTATCTACTGTGAAACTGCTGTGTAAGACATGACAGTTATACTGACAAAGTCATGCATTGAGATCAGTTTTAGATTTGTACTTTTTTCAGTGTAAGTGAATGACTAACCGAAGCTGGGCCCAGGGTTAAAGAGGTTAACTCAGCTGTCAGTCATGTTTATGTATATGTGTGTATCTGCAGGGTGAAGTTGGAGATCCAGGCATATTAGGACTGCAGGGTTTCCCAGGACCGAAGGTCAGTTCACTTCCTCATCTTTCTCATAACTGTACACCACAGCAGCCTGAAACTCCATCACCGCTGGAAGAAACTGTCTTCCTGCTGCTGCAGCTGCCAAACTCTAAACTACAGATACGCCAATACGGATTAAGCCTTTGATGCTGATGTGAAAGAGTGGCTATTTCCACTGTTCAGTCTACTCTTCTCCAATAAGTACATGATTTCTCAATGCTGTTGTTGCATTTATTGGAAATGTAAAGAACAGCGTCTAACAAAGTCTTTTTATTGTAATAATTAGTGATTAATTTAGACAAGCTCTGCTGCCGCTGTGAAAAGTCTCCCAGCTCACAGCTCAAACTCCATCACAGGTCAAATTCTGCTTCAATAATAATGAATGTCACCAGTGAGACATTCAGTTTGATGATCAGAGATCAGTCTGATTAGTCAAGTGTTCAGCCAAAGCACCAAAAGCATGAAATAGAGCTCAATTATCATCATCATCATTATCATCGTCATCACCATCATCGTAATCGACAGCAGAAGCTGTGATCCCTCATGATCCTGTCTGCTTTAGTTTCTATGCAGATACTGTACCAGGACCTGGGCTGAGTGATTTGGGGAGAATATCTAGTTGTGATTTTCTGACCAATGTTGTGATTGTGGTTTAAATACGGTGGTTTTCTCTAAATTAAGCTTCAGACCTTTTCTTTCAGTGAGAAAATCACCACCATTCTGTGAACTAAAGGCTGAATGTAGTGTGCCAGGCTTCAGTTCCCGAGCTCTGCATTATAAGATTATATTTCCTTACTTAAGACAACTTTGAATAATGTGACACATAGTTAAACCTGCTGCCCTTGTGGTTTGAAAGCTGCACTTTCAAGATAAAATGCAAATTGTGATTTGAATTTGATTTTTCAACCCTCCCTATAAGAGACATTAGCTGGATCACTTTAGTTTAACTGGACGTTACTGAACTGGAAATTGTCATTGTCTTTATTATCTTAGGGACCGAATGGAGATTTAGGCTTTGTTGGCATTCCAGGACCCAAAGGGCCTGTGGGCACACTGGTGAGTTACAGCAATATCTGTGTTCGTCCTTTCTCTCTGTCTGTCTGTCTCTCTCCATCTCCAGCTCCATCTCCATCTTGCTTTCTTCTCTGATCACAGCTCATCTGTGTATATGTGTGTGTGTGTTTCAGGGTTTTACAGGTCCTGTTGGTCCAGGAGGAATGATTGGCCCAGAGGGGAAGCCTGTGAGTCCCTGTACGCTGCTCTTTTTGTACATAACTCTTAATATTTTGGTTTGTTTAAATAATCTACGTGTTTTCCGTGTTTTTATTTTCCCTACAGGGTCCACAGGGTCCTAAAGGCGGAAAAGGAGAAATGGTGAGGAAACGTTAATTTCTAGTTAACTTGATATTAACCTCCTGAGTGGTGCAACTGTCCAAATGTTGACCCTCTAGTCGGGAGATTAATTCACCACCTGGTGATGCCACAGCCGCCCATGGCTGGGAAGCCAAAAGAGCTTAACTGTCCTCTTTCTCTGTGGCCCTCTATTTTCCGCTGTCACTCAGCAAGATGCTAGCCAACGTGGGCGTCTGTTGGCTGAAATGACTGGACCCCCCAGCGTTTGCCTTCTAAAGCATGCCACCCGAGCAGGGGCTGCTCAGGCACGAGAGGGCCATTTGAGAGAAGCTCTCCTTTCACTTCCATTCATTTCAGGGTGTCTTTGATCCAAAAATAATTGTATCTCTATTCTGTTTTTGGTTACCATATGGCCCGTGGTGTCTTCTAGAGATACTGGACTTTTTGTTCACATCCACTGTTTTTTAATGACCGTACTGCAGATCACTTTCTTCAGCACATTCTCAAAATAGTCCTTAATAGCTCCTACAAACAGTACAATTGTTTGAAACGCACACCGGAGATTTACACCTTTAGGTGTGTTCCTGCGACCCTCTGCATGAGAAGCCAGTCAAGAGGTGACTGATGGAAAACAGCAGGATGACCGGGTCCAGTTTCTGCAAACTGTCAATTATAGAATTAGCAGCAAGCGTGTAGAAGTGTCCAGTGACAGTGTCCAGTGTTAGTGGCAGCTTGAAAAGCTTTGGTGAAGCTTCATGTGTCTCCAAGGGCACCAGTGCTCACCAACAACAGTGCAGGGAAATAAACAGCACTTAACCTTGACTTGGGTAAAGTGCACAGCTACATACCTGGCTTTGATTTAAGCCTGTAGTGCAATAGATACATGGATCTTTCTACTGAATTGGTTCAAAACACGTTTCTAATTTTTAACTGACTCGGGCTTCAGACTAAAGCCCTTTTGCTTTGAGTGACCCTGTACCTTAATTATGTTTGTTTTATTGAAATAAATGATTGAACATTTCATTTTGTCATTACCAAAATTATCATAAAGCTACCGAAACATTACCAAGTGTTTCAGTAGTGTCTGTTTACTTAATTACAGTAGAAAGTTTACTTAATTACAGAAATATGTGTTTCAGCAGAGACAAATATTAAGAATATACACACATTGTCAGATTTGGGAATCTTTTGCTTCAAATCAATGGGATCTAACTGCTCACCATGTGGCCATGAGGGACACGGATGCAGTCTCACTTCCTGCTCTAAAATGCAGGGGTGTGGCTAAAATAAGGTTCCGCCTACAGATTAAAACTCTGTGTTTTGGTAGTGACATGAAAATGTAGGACAGCATTTTTGGAATTTTTTTTTTTTTTCATTTAAAAATTAAACTCATGATAAATCTAAAACTTTCAACTTTTTTAAAAAACAAGTGTAAATTCACACAAGTGTGTTGTCCTAATTATAATCCTTGTACATATCCAATGTCTGAGTACTTCATTGTTTTGTTCATAGTTTTTTCATGCTGGACTGCAAATTTGAACTGATTCAGTAGAACGGTCCATATATTAAGATGTCCGTATAGTATAATATGATATGTGAGACTCTATCCTGTATGATGAACAAACAGTAGACGTTTCCACGTTTCTCTCACTCTTACATTTGCACTTTGAGTGTAACTCACATTATACTAGCAGTGCTTTGTCATAACATATGTGTGATGTTCCATATAGAGAGTAATATATGACGCATCGTCTCCCATAAAGCTGTCTAAAGTGTAAACTCTGTGTTCCAGAAAAGAAACTGTAAAAACCTTGACCTTAGTGTGTTAGATATTGCGCAGGATGAGCACTACCTGTCCTGCTTAAAGGTGTACGTCCTGATTTGTCCTTTAGTGGGCAGTAGCGTTCCATCACTGAGTCTGTCCCTAATTTCCTTTTTTCCTGTTGTTTTTCCTCCTCCTCCTCCATAACATTGTCTTTTAACTACACAGGCTGACCGAAATGTGTTCTTTTTACCTGATTTTGGACAGTGAGCTGAAGGTTCCTGACCACAGGACTAAACTGTGGTTGTGTTTGTTTTGCTGAGCCGTTGTTGATGTGCTTTCGATAACTATTCACAGTGACAATTCACTTTGGGGTTTTCCCATAAACATTTTGTAATTAGTACAGTGGGCACATTTTCGTCTTTCCAAAAGAAAATAACATTGTGGTTGTTGAGTAACGTCTCTATTCTGGCTGCGCTGTTTGGTTGATGGATCACTGATGTATTCAGTCATGTGTTGTCTTACACTTGTCAGAGAGACACTACCGTAACGTCTCTCTTCTGTCTCGACAGGGTCCTCAGGGGCCTCAAGGCAGTCCAGGACCGAGGGTGAGTGAGCAGTGTGCAGCATTCCTGTACAATCACTTTAAAAAAGTTACACAATTACATTCAGGTTTACATTATGTTGTTCAAATCTGAACATCTGCCCTTTTTTTCAATATCAGGAAAATAAAAAAGCATGATAAAAATGTAAAGGATGGTCTTTTTGTTTTACAAAACAAGACAACAATGATGTGACATCAAATTCAACTCATAATAAAATATCTCCTGTTCTATTCATAAACACTGTGTGGGCTGGATTGAGAGTTAAGAAGCTGCGCTTTCCACACAACATCTGCACTCATTCCAGTGAGCTACGACTGAGAAACCATTACTATAAAATTACAACATGCTTTTGTCATAATTTGCTAATCACGTCAGACAGTAATGCCAGGGGTCCCAAACTTTGCTGGGTTTTGTTTAATTTCAGTCCTAACCAACATACCTTGTTTATGAAAGCCTGCAGGCACATCTGACTGTTAGTGCTGAGGTTTTGATCTCTCTTCAGGGCTGTAGATGTGCAGGCGAAGGTCCTTTTCTGTGCTATTAGAATGTGTTTTATAGACAGACCTCATGTGGCTGGTGCTGAGCTATGTTTTCTCTATCCTGATATTCTTCTCTTGATTTTGTATCTTAGGGTCCTCCAGGTCCTCCTGGTCCATCGGTAAGAGCCAAGTTCCACAGCATATATTCTATCTTTCATTGCCCTTTACTGGTCCATACTGTAGTTTATTGTTAGTCTATTTATAACATCTGTGTTTATGGAGCTCTGCTGGTGACGTCCCGTATAAATCTTGTGGGAACGAGATACTGATGAGTGGCCACCACTTAGTAATGTGTGGGAACGAAATAATTCAGTCGTGGCCACGACTTATGAAGGCATGGGAACGAGATCATGCCTTATTAAGCTGTGGTCAAGGCTTAATCATCTCATTCTCATGCCTTAATAAATCGTGGCCACGCATTAGGATCTTATCCCTATGCCTTACTAAGTTGTGGCCATGACTTTGTTATCTCATTCCCACACCTTACTAAGCCACACATTATTTTTATTTACACATGATGTCACCAGCAGGGCTCTGTATGTGTTTGCTTATGTACTAGAAACGGTTGTAATTCAGTTGTATCTGACCTTTTTCCAAACTCTGTTTATCTCTTACAATTAAGCCGTGCCTTTAAGACTGGTATATGTAAATGAACTCTGTTCTGATTGGCTGTGCTGTGCTTCATTCACAAAACATCCCGGCTGACGTGCAGTGACAACAGTCCTTATCACTTCACCATGAATGGATGAGCTCAACTGCTGTAGACTTCTGTAGAGATTGTATATGAACGTGCTCATAGTTATGACATCACAACCATGATGATGTGGCAGTTTTTGCACTTTCCTTATATGGACTGAGGACTGAACGGTACATTTTGAAACAATCACAGCATGTATTACATGCTGCAACTCTTCTGTGCCAAAAAGACAAAAAACAAATTCTGTTACGTTGCAGTTAAAATTAAAAGTTAACTTATAATACTTTCCCTTACCATTAATCCAACTGCTTGTAAGCTTATCTGTAATAATAACAGTGCTGTAAACCTGCCTGTAGCTCTGATTAGACGGCTGCTTTGGCCTCTGAATGTCCCACTGATATCAATATCCACATCTCTTTTTATTCTTTTTCCATTGCATTCACTGCTGTATTCCATTAAGAAACACAGTAAACCCACTTTCATTCATTCTGTATGATAATCTGTTTCTTGTTCAGTAAGTAAACAAGCTTAATCAACACCACACACTCACAGGTTTCCTCAGCCACCGTGAAGCCAAGCTAAACGTTGAATTAGCTGGAATTGAACTTTTACCCCCATGTTTGTACTTTTGCTGATGGGGTTTGGCTGGAGTTCAGGAGACGCTGTTGGGGCATCCATGTGTGAAAGGCTTTTTGACTTTAGTTTAGAGTGAAGATGAATCACGACACTGACTGGAAGATTCCTGTTATGATTTAGAGGCTTACAGAGCCATCCTCAATGTAAGAAAGCACAAGCACAGACGGGAATACACTGATAGTCACACAGTGTACAGTAAACTGGGACAGCCAGCGTTGAGCTCTGCCAGCTTCAGGCTTCACATCAAGAGCTGATATGACCATCAGTGTTTAAACATCAAAACTTTTCCCGTAAAGAGGAGCCCTCACCGAACGAAATGTCTCCAAACTGGCCGCCAAAGGGCAGACCAGAGGTGGCTCAACAGATGCTTACAGAAATGTGCTGAATAAACCTGTCCAGTAAAGACAGAAAGACAGTGTGAATCTGCAGTGTGTGTAGTTTAACAGTCTGACGGTAATAATTGTGGAGTGATTTTAATCCAGTATGAATCTGCAGTGTGTGTAGTTTATACAGTCTGACGGTAATAATTGTGGAGCGATTTTAATCCAGTGTGAATCTGCAGTGTGTGTAGTTTTACAGTCTGACAGTAATAATTGTGGAGCGATTTTAATCCAGTATGAATCTGCAGTGTGTAGTTTTACAGTCTTCTGTTGTTGGCTGAACTTGAAACTGTCTCACTAACAGTAGCCCTGCTCCAGTACACCTCACACTAATGGAATGACAAAACCTATTAATAAACACAGCTGAGAGTCGTGTTCTTCATTTTATTGAGTGTGTCCTGCGGTGTAACGCTGACGTGAACATCCAGGATATGAGCTTTAATGTGGGAATTTGGGGAAGATACACAAATACTTTGTCCTGAACCAGTCGAGCAGTCAGATCCCACAAAACACATTACATAGGCTTTTCCTCTGGGAAAGCTAGTTCAGCTCCAGTAGTGCTTCAGTCCTCATTCGTGGTCATATCTTGCGTATCATGCATGTGAAAGTGTGCTAATCTAGGATCAGTTTTGAGTTTGTAAATTCAAGTATTTAACAGTAATTTTTGCTTAACTTGCCTGATCTGATCTTTCTACAGAGACGTGTGCGCACAAACGCAGCCATGCAGGCCGTAATGGAGTCTGACACAGCACTGCAGGAGGTACAAGAGCATACATCCTCTGTGTCTCTCTGTCTCTCTCTTTCTTACCGTCTCTTTATCTTACTGACACATTAAGGAAGCAGGAAAATATCACACGAGCCTTATATGGCGGCTTTTGTTATCTGAATGTATGGCTATAAACAGCTCATAGCATTTTTCACTTTTACGGAAACTGACTCCCAGAACGGGAAAAAGGTTTTATTTCTTTGAGAGAGAGATATAAAGTTAGCTGCATAGTTGTCTTCAGGCTAGCATATGTCACGCATTAAAACAGAACAGAGGAAACTATTACAAGCTTACGATATTTATAGAAAGAAGAATGCGCGCTTTGTTTTGTGCTCACTGAATAGTTTCCTCCACTGATGGGGCTCCATAGAAATGCTTGTGTGCAATACTGATACCGCAGAAGCCTGCAGTTTCCAAACGAGTCCTTAAATACACCATAACATTTTCATTGTAAGGTATGACCATCTTGACCAACATCAGATGTTCCAGATGAGTCTCTGTGAGTGTTTTGACCAATCAAGGCTCTCATTTAATCCAGTAAATGTAATTCATTTTGGTCAAAATGATGCAGAGCCATTTTATATTGTCAGGGTGTTCTAAATATATTATGGGTCAGTATACATCACAGCGTGCAGCAGTGTAATCACAACACGTCCAGCTCTGTGCTCTAACACTGTCCTCTCTCCTCCATCTCTCTCTCAGAGCTACCAGAACACTGAGGTTTCTCTGGAAGAGCAGAGCTCTGAGGTGTTTAGGACTCTGCGCTACCTCAGCAGCGTGATTGCTAACATAAGAACACCGATGGGCACTCGACAAAACCCCGCCCGCTTCTGCAAAGACCTGCTGGACTGCCAGCACAGCCTGGCTGATGGTGAGGGAAACGGTCATTCGTTTATTCATTCATTCGGTCTTTGGCATTAGTCCAAAATCTTTGAGTCAGAACCCTGATCTGTATCAGTTTTTATGTTTCACTGGAGTTATTGTTGTTTTTATATTAATGAAATATAATTACACAATTACATAATTTATTACATGGAGAGTTTCGCAATGACTTACATTTGCATTCGAATCAACAGGCTTGAGTTTATACGTCTGACGTCTTTCCATTTTCAAATGTAAGAAATGGCAAAAACTTGGCAAAATATCAAAGGATGATTTCGGCAAAACAAGACTGTAAACACAGAAACATTTAATCAAATTCAAATCCTAATATATCATCTCCTCTTCTACAGATTAAAAGCTTAGAATCTGCACTTTCTAAGCAATTTTTATGAATTAAACAAAACAGTTAAACAAAATGTAAAAACAGATTTCAATCATAATGATTGTATTCATTTGGGCAGTGGATAGTCTGTTTCAGGAGATCCACCCACAGAAGTATGGACCATCTGATAAGTGTCATAACAGCCCCTTCCTGTTAAAGTAGCCAGTTTTCCATCATGTTAAGTGACAAAATGTGGGTAGTCTGTTTCAGGAGCTCCACCTGCAGAAATATGGACTATCTAGATTCTCTTGAATGCTACCCTGGCCTAACTATCAGGACTTTGTTAGTTAAATTCTGATTAGGCATCCAGATATCTGTGCATACACACTTCCATCCACTGCTTTTAATCTGTCTAATGGACCTCCTCTGCACACCATGCTGAGTCATTTGGAGCAAGAAATAGTTACTGGATCGACCAAAGTTTATGAAGTTCATGGTCTCACAGCTTGCTTAACAGTTTTCTTTGAAGCACATTGTAGGCTGCCAGAGATCACTGAGCATTTTAGCAGCTCATAAAGTGAATTAGATTACACTCAGATTATTACAACAGGACTTACATTATATTATGTGCTGACATTATTACATTATTTTTTTTAATTTGCTTCTCATTTTATAAAGTATTAAACAGCATATAATGAAATACCTTCTTACATTATGAAAAAAGTTTTTGCATTATTAGATGAGGATATTATTACATTTTAACAGTTTTTACATTATGAGTTTGTATTGTAGCCCCATTTTAAAGGCCTTTGTACATCGAGTGTTTGATTTATTCAAACAACAGTAAATTAAATTGAGAAAAAGTATAACTGACAATGTCTTGCGCAACAATTGAGGTTTTTCATATGACAAAATGCATATTTTATTCACTTTTTGCGAACGTTCGCCGGCAAAATGAGCTGTCTAACCGATCCCTGTCAGAAAGCCGAGTCCCAGCAACTGGACCTTCAAACAAACAGTCAAAAGGATCAGAATCTCCAAAATCAGCTCAAGCCAAGCTCAGACTGGGCTACAGACATCCAAATTATATTTGGAAGCACACAGTGTTTGAGTTTTTGAATGAAGCGATGAAGCTCTGCTCACTGATTTCACTTTTCCAAAATGGACAGCAGCCTAGTGTCACCGCTTTCCCGTTCTGTGAGGAGCAAAGGAGATCTTACTTGAAATTGAAGCATTCTGCCTTGTTCTGTGCTCAGTTTCATGTGGAGCTGCTTCTCCAAAAGTTAAGGAGTTAAAGTTTTAGTCCTGTTCGCTTTTCCAAAGTGGAAAGCTGTTTGCGTGGTGTCTGAGTTTACACGCAGAGACTGAGGTGTTTATTCTCACTCTACTCAACAACCTGATAAAAAATCTCCGTTTACATGCTCACTACAAGTAATCTGATCCAAAATTACACGCATGCAAAGAGTACCACTTAGTGTAGACGTTACCATGCCAACAAGCATCACGAGCCCAGTCCGAGTGAGATGAGCAGCAGTGAGCAGTGCTTGTGTTTTTAATTGCTTTAAAATGATGTCAGACTCAGGAAAACGTCCTTCACATGTCCTTATTAAAGAAGGCCGAGAGGAAGACGTCGTGTTCTGAGACACATAAGCTGGACGTCCGTCCCACCGCCGCCTTTTAAAGACCAGAGCATAAACTTCGTCTCCTCTGACCAGTTTCTGCTCCGCCATGTTGAACAGTATAAACTTTCACTATGACGAGACGAACATGATCAGAACGGACTTAAACTTTCCGATAGGGAATGTAATCAGATACAGGCGTTTACACGGATATTATTCTTCTGTTTAACTGATTATTTACAGGATTACCCACCTCGTTCAATCAGATAGAAACTGTATTCTGTACTAGACTATTCCGACCGAGGTGTATACATGGACATATTCTATTCCGATTGGGCTATTAGCCAGATTATTAACGGATTATTAGGCTGCATGGAAACATGGCTAGTTTCACAGATTTCCTGAAGGACATTTTGAGAGATATTCTGTCTGTTTTGACACAAACAACATGGCATTTTTTTTTAAATCATGTCACGTCCAGTGCACTTAGTTTTGATGGGAAAAAGTCTTGTAAATGTTGTATTATCATGTAGTTTATTTGCATTGCTTTCAGTGTGTAGTGGCCTTTAAAATGGTTTGCTTTTATACATCACACATAAGCATTAAAGCTTTATGTGGTTGTTTATTTTGTGTATCCATCAGAGCGGCCCCTTCCTGTTGAAGTAGCCAGTTTTTCACCATGTTAAGTGACAAAGCATACCAGCCTCTGTGATGATAGACAGAAGTCTGTCTTACGAGGCTACACAGAGGAGAACTGATGCCAGACCCTTAACTGGTGTAGTCTGACTTTATATGGCTTTAAAGCGAACAGGAATGTCTGAGGTTGTTTCTCCGTGTCTCAATCAGGAATGTTCTGGATCGATCCGAACCTGGGCTGCACATCTGATGCCATCCAGGTGTTCTGTAACTTCACAGCTGGAGGCCAAACCTGCATCCATCCGCTCTCCACAAACAAGGTAGCAGCACAACACAGACCATCCTAGTGTTTGAGTTATAGTGGTGCTGACGCAGCCAACAGCAGGAGTGGCTCAGACACGGCCGAACAGAACCAGAACACTTCAGAGAAACTCCACAGGACAGACACACAGCAGCAGAACATCTTCTGTCGAGAACCCAATTACAGCAGACATGCAGCACTCACAGGCAGACACGCTAACTGTCTCTCTCCCCCAGGGCGGCTGCGTTACACAGACATTTTCAATTAGCAGAAAAATTTCAAGGAAATTTGGGACCGGATTTACGCACGACTGTTGCTGGAACATCAGCAGTTCTCTTGAATTGACTCACACTGCAGTTTAGAGGATTGTTTAATGGCATTTTTATTAATAGTGCCTTAAAATTGTTTTCCAGAAGGATTGTTACTGAACACATGGTGTGACACATCTGCACATTCTAATGCACAATTACTGTTTATTTTCTACATTTAACATACACAGACAGACACATCAAACAACAAAGCTGAACAATGGACTGACCACCCCAGAGTCCAGACCTCAACAGCACTGAATGAGTTTGGGATTATTTGAACTGTGAGCAGCAAAAAGAGCAAAAAGCAACTTCTAAGACTGAACTTTGGAGGTGTGGCTGCAGATTTCTTTAAGAGTTTCCTGAAAGGAAGAGAATCTGAAATAAAGGCACGACCAAAGAGTGGACGCACTAAATACTGGCAAATTAGATATAATATGTAATAATAATAATAATATAATAATAATAATAATAATAATGATGTTTATTTATATAGCACCTTTCATACATTAAAAATGCAGCTCAGGGCTCCCGAGTGGCGCAACCGTCTAAGCGTTGGCCCTATCATCAGGAGATCGTGAGTTCGATCCCTGGTGATGCTACAGCCATCCGTAGCCGGGAGTCCAAGAGAGCACAATTGGCCTCGCTCTCTCTGGGTGGGTAGGATGGCCCCTACTTCTCCCCCCATCACTCAACGCGATGCTAGTCAGCGCAGGTGTCTGTTAGCTGACGTAACAGATCTGGCGGTTGGCGCTTTCCTCCGAGCGCGTTCAGCTGTCCAGTGACGTTGCGTGAGCGGCAGTTCGAAAAGAAGCGGTGGTTGGTTTCACAGGTCTCGGAGGAAGCCTGTGTTAGCCTTCACCCTCCTAGCGTTGATAGCATCGTGTGATTGGGGGAGTCCTAACTAGCGGGTGGAATTGGAAACGACTAAATTGGGGAGATAATTGGGTAAAAATAATGCAGCTCAAAGTGCTTCATAATACAAAGTAAGAACAACAGAGGAAGAAGAGAAAAAGATTATCAAAAATAAAAACAAAATATAATAAACAAATAATAAATAGCAGAAAATGGATATATTAAAAAATACAATTAAAAAGCACAAGATAAAAGTGTAAATAAAAAGAAAAAATACAATAAAAATGCAACTAACAAGAACATAAAAGTAATAGTGATATTTCAGTAAAAATATAGGAAACAATAAAAAACCTAGTTAAACACTGAAGTAAAGAACTACGTTTTTAACTGACAGAAGGAGTCTGACGGACGTTTATTGATAATGTGTTCCATATCTTTGGTGTATAAAAACAAAACGTGGCTTCTCTGGTTTCATATGTGGGATATGGAGCAGGCAGAACTAGATGATCTTAAAGCTCGATTAGGAACATCATCTGTCAGAAATGTATGAAGCTGCTAAACTATTAAGAGATTTAAAAACTAGTAGTAAATTTTATAGTCAATTCTAAAAGAGACAGACAGCCAGTGCAGTGAAGCTAAAACTGGTCTAATATGATCCTGTTTTCTAGTCTGTGTTAATATTCTTTTTGGTTTGTTGGTTGTACTTGCAGGACGTCCTATAAACAAAGCGTTACAGTAGTCAAGTCTCGAAAACTTAAAAGCATGGATCAATTTCTCTGCATCTTGCAGACAGGGATAAGGTTGAACACATGCTGTTCCTTAAATGATGAGCCAGATTTCCAAGTCTTTTATTCACATTTTTCCTCTTTGTTTCACTACCAGTTATAATTATTTCTGTCTTTTCTTCATTAAGCTTGAAAAGAAATTGCTATTCATCCAGCTAACTATGGTGGACAGACATATAGGGAGCTTATCTACTGAACTAACATTGTCTGGAGCCGCAGATATATACAGCTGTGTTTCATCTGCATAACTATGAAAATTGATGCCATACTTCCTAATGATTTGACCCAGTGGCAGCATATACAAAGAAAACAGAAGTGGACCTAGTACAGAGCCTTGTGGTACACCACAGAGAATATCATGCTTATCTGACATGTCCACCTATGTTTACAAAATACTGTCTTCCAGTTAAATATGTAGAGAACCAGTTTAGCACAGTTCAGCTAAGACCAACCAAGTTCTCAAGCCGATTTAGAAGTATTCTGTGGTTCTTAGTATCAAATGCAGAAGTTAATAAGTACCGAAAACAGGACCTGCGTCAGCATTTATTCTCAGATCATTCACTGCCTTCACTAAAGCAGTTTCAGTGCTGTGATTTGCTCTGAAGCCAGACTGGAATTTTCTCATGAAGATTGTGTTCATTTAGGAATTCATGAAGCTGTGAGAAAACTTACTTTTACTTAAAAAAGGTTAGAGATTGGTCTGTAATTGCTAAGAACTGAGGGATTGTATTGATTATCACAGCATAGAGATGCTCGCGGATGAAGGGAGACAAGCAGCTTTATTGATGAAGTCAAAATCCAAAATCGTCGTCAAAAACAGGCAAAAAGGTCAAAACACCAAAAGCAGAGATCCAGGGCAAACAATCCAGTGGGCAAATCAAAAATCAGAGTCAGATAAACGAGAATGCAAGTCATACACGGTAATCAACCCAATAGAAAGAACGCTCAGTAGTTTGCAGATGAAACAATACCTCGCAACTAACTGCTGCTAAAGCTCGGGCTTAAAAGCTAAACTGATGGGGTCATGTGATCATAGATACAGGTGCTGCACATTAAAACTCAGGCGATCTTGAACGCTGATAGGAGCGTGTGTCAAGACCATCAACCAGCTAATCTCCCAGTGTATTCTGGGAGATGAAGTCCATGTGTGTATCAGGGTTTGTAGGAAGTGATAGGAGGATTCTGGGAGATCGAGTCCGTTGCCTCACTAGTGACATTCGTGACAGGGATCAAGGTTCTGTTTCTTCAATAGTGGCCTTACGACTGCTGTTTTGAGTGTGTCTGGAAAAAATGCTGGTTTCCAAAGAGCGATTTACAATGTTCAACACACCTGGACAAGTATGTCAAATACTTCTTTAGAAATGCTGTTGGAACAGGATCTAAAACACAGGTAGACATGTTAAATGCATAACAACTTTCTGAAGTTCTGTCTCAGTAATCGTTTTAAAACTATTCATAGAGTTTTGCTGTTGAATAAAACTCCACTATTGGTAGTTTTGGAGTTATAAAATGTGACTGAATATTAGTGATTTTTGTATTAAAAATAATGGGAAATCATTACATTTTGATGTAGAAGCCTCAGTGAGATAATCATTGGTTAATTTAGGATTTAACAGGCGATCAGTTATTGAAAATAAGACTCTTGGGTTGTGTCTGTTGTCATTACTGAGGTTTGAGTAGTATTTCTGTCTCTGTTCGTGCTGCATGGTTATAAATATTAACACAATTTTTAAGTGAATAGTTAGTTTAGTTTTCCTCCATTTCCGTTTTGCTTGGCGGTCCCTTTTCCATTGGTTTATCTGTTCATTTTTCCGTGGCATTTTTGTGGTCAGGATTTCTTTTTAGTTTTTTTTGGTGCAACACTATCTAGAACAGGTCTTAGCGTACGGTTAAAATTGTTGACCCTGTCGTCGTAACTAAAAGCCGCCGCTGTTGACGTGTTAAAATACTGCTTTTTCTTCATTTTGCCGACAGAACAGACATACTAAAAAATGATATGATAAAAACTAAAAACACCAGAAGTTACGCAAAAGATGCTTTTCTTAAAAACGTTGAAGGTTTTGAGCTTGTAGGTGTGAGTTGTTCTAGCTGTGAGCTGTAGTCTCGTCGTTCCACACCGACACTGCGCTAAAATTAGCAGGAGAGCAATACTTTTCTCTGTTCTGTGTTGTACTGTAGACTAGTTGCCACTTCCAAAAGTAATGCTGTCATTTGTCTGCAGATCTGACAATGTTCTCCCATCAAAAACACTGTCTACATACGAAAAACAGTGTCCAGACACACAGAAGTCCACTGCGTTCCCTATTCACAGCACCTAATTTATCACATCAGTACATCAGCATGGTTTCACATGCGGAGGGAAAGGGAAATGGTTCTTACCGCAAAGGAAGAAGCCGGTGTGAATGTGTTTGCGGGCGCTATTGAGTGGTTGTGTTTTTAACGGGAACAGCTCGTAATCTGAACCAGGATGGCACCTGTGGGGAAAGCAGAGGCAGCCTCTGAATGAAAAGCCTCTTTGTCCCAAAAAAGCCCAGGTATTTTCACCGAGGCTTTTGTTTTTGTTGGACACAGATATCCGTAGAGAGGCTGTGAGTCCTGTAATAGATAGAAAAACATTCCTGAGACCTTTCAGAGCCAGTTCTGGAGGTATGATGCACACTGTGTCCAAAAGTTTGTAGACACTTTCTCAGCGTTTCTCAGAGTTACTTCTGAAATGAAGGGTATTAATTAGGGAGTTTGTCCTTCTTTGCTGCAGTAACAGCCTCTACTCTTCTGGGAAGGCTTTTCACAAGATGTTAAAACATTGCGGATTTAACTGGATCAGTGCCTTGATTCCAATTAAACAAATGAGCTCAGAGATGTGACTAGGCAGGTTTTATTGCCTTCCTCCTTTGTGGTCTCTTATAACTCAGTTCCACAGTAAAATAAATCCCAGTCCAGATGTCTTTGGTTCGACTGGGTTTGTCATTGCTAATACCACAGTATACTGTGAGATTCTCTCAAATCAAATGCTCCTGGCCCAATGTCAAAAGCCTTTTGCGTCAAATTCAGGCACAAATCTGACACGTCCTGCCCGCATGTTATGTACGAAACTGCCGGACAAGTCTAAATGTGGGGTTTATAGGCTGTGTGTATAGATAAAAATGTCAAAAGTGTGCTTTTCTGAGACTTTCTTTAACAATGGCATCAGATACTGCGGATAGACAGAGGCACGAGCCTCAAATACATGCTGAAATAATATTTACCGTCAAAATAAATATTAACTTAATAATAACTATTTCAGCCGTGATTTGTTGTTCAGAGGAAATCCACTGATTTTTCAAAGTTCCTGCATAATTGAGTACTTGATTTAAACAACGTCATTCAGAGTGGTTTGGTGTAAAAGTTCATTGTAGAGAAACTTACAGACTCAGATGTCTTTACAGTGGTGGTGATAGGAACCAGGGGTCACCATGACTACAACACAAATATAGCCATTTTATTTACTATCCAAAACCACCAGTGAACCTACATGAGTCTTCTGAGTGTTTATATGAAATGCTGATGATGGTAAAATAGAAGTAGATCTGAAAAATATGTATATTTTCTTCTGGGTGCCCTTCATGTGTGTTTCCACCCTGTATATACTTTAAAAAATACAGTTTCAACCAAGAACCTTATTGCAAAACATTCATAAAACAGCGTTTCAGGTGTCAGGATATGTATTAGTAACTATTTCATGTAATAGCTTTATTTGAAAGAGCTATAAGAGGAATTACAAACTTTGGATGTCTGGTTCCCGTCACCACCCTGTGAATATTTCTGTCTGGATAAACTTCTCTAGAATGGTGCATTTCACGTGAATGTTTTTGTTTACATTATAACATTACAATTATGTGGAGATTTCCCTTTCAATAGTTTCTATCAATCTTTATTTAAACTCTGGAAGTACGTTGAGGGTGACCTCAGGGTTAAACAGGGGTTTACAAAACGTTTAAATAAAATTTACTAACTAAAACAAATCAAATTCAGTATATAAAGTATATCAATATAAAGAAAAACCTATCAACACTATAACTCCATTATTTATAAAGAATAACTGATCAACACTGTAACTCCATTATTCATAAAGAATAACTGATCAACACTATAACTCTATTATTGATGAAGAAAAACCTGTCAATCTGTCATTGAACTTTCAAGCTTTTTCCACTGTTTCATATGAAGCACTAAAGTTAGTGGTCAGTCCTGGGGGCTGTTTGTGTGATTAACTACAGCTTTAGTAAGTCTTACATTTATTTCAGACTCATTTTGTTGTCACAACAAGCCACATTTTGTTCTACATTTTGGATTTTTGTGTCATAACTGTCTTAAAAGCTAATTAATAAATATCATTATTGACACTGTGGTATAATAGCTGTGAGATTCACAGGTGTTGATGTGCAGTGAGATACAGGCCAGTGCAAAATGCTGCAGTGCCAGAATCCCTTTCTTATGTATCACTGCATAAAACTGTCAAGAATAGCGAATAACAGAAGCCCATTTAGCATGTGCTGTTCCTCTGTGTGCCTCTAGGTGGCGTTCAGTGTAAGTAAGGTCCAGATGAAGTTCCTGCACTTGCTGAGCATCAACGCCACTCAGACCATCACCTTCCACTGCTACAGTGACCCAGCAACCGTCGCCACGGAGACGCCCGGGGCTGTGCGTTTCCAGGGCTGGAACGGTCAGGTGTTCGAGAAGAACTCCCCACTGCAGCCCCACGTGCTTCAGGACGACTGTCAGGTACTCGAGAGAGAGACGTGATGAGGAATTTGTGAATTTGTTTGTGAATTTAAACAGAATTCAGTTTGAACATGAACATTAAAGTGAAAAATCAGTTTTACACAGTTTACCTCTCATCCTGAACGCAGTCAGTCAACCAAGACATGTTTGGTGTCTGAAGTTTGCTTCAGTTTTCCACGAGGCTCATGTTGCTAACAATCGCCATGTAAACAATTAGCATGACGCAATCTTTATGACCAAATCATCCCACTGATGGGGTTTCTGATGCTGTATGAGGTGCTGTTAAATAAAAATATCTCTAAAAATGGACAAAACAATGGCAGAATTCTACCTCTGTTAATAGCTATGTGACGTATTTTGTCCATTTTTTTTATAACTGTGTGTCACACAGTGTCAGAAACCACATAAGCGAGACTATAAGAGATTAGTTAACAGCTTGACCTGGTTTGTATTTAACCCTTCAAATGGCCAGGGCCCATCGGCGTGCCCAAAGTTTTATTATACACTTCTATTACCTAAGAATAGCTCAACCAGTTTGCATTGGAGTCCCTGTATTTACTGAATAATAAGCCTTAGTATGTAATAAGTGTGGTACTGTAATGGTTAATGATTTAGGTTTAGAGTTTGTACAAGGTTAATTGGTAGCTTCCATTAATTGTGAGCTACGTCAGCCTCGTAGCTCCAGTGCAACATTAACAGAACCGAACTTCAGACAGGAGATCGACTACATTTAGGATAAGGGGGTGAATAGATTTAGTTTTTTTAACCGTCGGTTATTAAAAACCTCATTACTGCTGTTAACATGAATCTGAATCTCACTGTGGCTCTGAAAGTGAATTCACTGTGAATGTGAACAGGTTCGTGATGGCCGCTGGCAGCAGTCTCGCTTCCTCCTCCTGGCTCAGGACTCGGCGCAGCTCCCTATCGTGAACATCCAGGACCTCCCGCCGGAGCAGGCGGGTGACCAGCGTCACCTGGAGGTCGGACCAGTCTGCTTCCTATGAGCCGTCTGTGAAATCACTGAAGGACTTGTTTCAGAACGGCCGGTGTTTGGCCACAAAGGAACGAGGTGCTCCTCCCATAATTCAGCGGGTTACCTGGGGTCACTGACGCCTGACCGGGTCAGGGAGAAACCCTGTTTTCAGTGACAGCTGGCTTGTCCAGAAGAACACGAGTGGTTAGTGGAGCGAGGCTCGCTCTGATAGAGTCTGAGACAGAGGCAGAATTGTGGCCCAGCGTTTATTGAGGAAAATGGTTTTGTCAGTTGTGGTGCTGCAGTCGGGCTGTGTTCACACTAGCATGTTCTCCTCAACCATCAGCACAAACTTTACTCACAAAACAAAGGAAATTTGCCAGTTTCTTCATAATGCTTTTAAAAAGTTGAACAAACAGCCGACCAATCAGGTTGCAGCACCCAGGCTGGTGCAAACACCCAAACTGGGGGGCCGACCGCTGAGTGCTGAGGCACTTCATGCCTCTACCGCTACACTGCTGAGGCTGAGGCAGGCAGACGGCTCCTATAAACGATGAGAAAAAAGTGTTATCTTTATTATTAATAATAAAAAATCTTTTCTAGTCAGCGGTACAATCAGATCTCGTTGAGCTCGTCACCATGGTTACAGAGTGCACGTTGCTTGAGCCTCTTTTGTTTACATATCAGCGCAGAAGGGCTTCTTGCATTTTTTTCTATTAAAAAAAAACACCTAGTGTGAACACAGCCTCAGGGCCAGGCTTTCAGAACTGTTCTAGATCATGTTATGTTCTGAATGTGGTGATTACAGAGACCAAATCCATCGGTCAGAGAGTTCTGAAAAACTGGCCCTGTTTGGGTAAAAGTGATCCCAACAAAACACCAGCAGGCCACTAAAGCACTGTTTCCCAGCCCAAATACTTATGGATAGTTTCGGGGTGAGACTGTTGGTTTGGTCGTGGTTCTGGTATCATCACCTCTGAGACGTTCAGTAAATGTGGTCCTGATCCTGGAGTGGTGCTGCACCGCAGGGGTCAGGTGAATCAGTTGGAGTACAGGGCTGTGCAAAAATCAGAGACCACCTTTCTCTTATTTAATTTCATGTCAGAAATGGCCATAAAGTACAAGCTGTTCATTTTTCAGGAAAATGTTTAAATGGTAAATAATCCACTTGCACAAGGAGTGAGATTAAAAGCTACAATGAAAATGACCTCCTAACAACCACCTGGAAGACCTGGTAGACCCCAAAACTGCCCCCATCAGATAAACAGCACTTAAAGCTTTCATCTTTGAGAGAGAGGAGAAGATCAAGCTGCTTCAGATCTGAAAACATCCACAGGTGTTTCTGTCCATCCTTCCACTGTGAGAAGACGACTCAGCGCTGTGGGTCTGAAAGGATGTGTAGCTGTCAAGAAGAACCTCACTGAGAAAAGGAGACGGACACATCAAACAAAGAAGCTGAACGATGGACTGACCACCCCAGAGTCCAGACCTCAACATCCCTGAATGTGTTTGGGATTAGTCTGATTGTGAGGTTGTGATTTCTTTGGAAAATTGAAAGCAAATCTCCTGAAATGCTGTAATATAAACATGTGTTAAGTGTTTGTTCTCTGCCTTTTTACTGAGTAGCTTCTGCCTAATGGCAGTTTTAACTGGAAATTAAATTCATGAAAGTTGGTCTCTGACTTTTGCACAGTACTGTTTATATTTTCTTTTGTTTGGAAAACTGTCGCTGTTTCTTTAGTAAGAGTTTTCTAAAGTAAAGAAGAAGTTAAATCATATGAGACCTGAATATCATTTCGAATATATATTAGTCAGTAGTTCCATCTCACACAGTCACTGTTGTTATAAGTAGCCACTGGTCAGCAGATACAGTGATACAGCTGTGGTGAAGAACTCAGACTGTGTGGTTGGAACCGTTTAATAATGACAGTAATGAGAAAGAACTGTAAGTGAGTTTACAGTGTTTTGGTGCTTCAGGCCTCAGACGTGTAAACGCCGCACTAAACCCATTCTAACAGAGTGCAATAGCTTGCAGATGGAGCGTTACACAATAACTGCATGTCACAGTAGCTTTTCCTGTTTGTAGTTGTTTGTACAAAGTGAAAAAGCCCAGTCTGGACTCGTCCATCTCTTCAGATGGTGCTCTACCTCCTACACGTATCGCCTTCGAGGACAGCCCTTCAAGGACGGCCCTTCGAGGACGGCCCTTCGAGGACGGCCCTTCGAGGACGGCCCTTCGAGGACAGCCCTTCGTGCCGAGCCATTTGTATGTACTGGCTACATCGAGGTCACTCGTGTTTTAAGGGTACTTTTAGTTTAAATCGGTCTTTTCATCCATTCAGAGCCTAATTTATATGAATATTGTGTTGATAAATTGTGTTATATTGGCTTTATTTACACTTTATGATAGAAGGTTTGTTCTGCTGCCCTTTCAGACGAGTCATACGCCAAAACCAGAACAGCTAAATGGAATTTCAGCATTAGATCACATGATATTTCATAGCTAAGGTCAAGTGTGTTGGGAGAAACGTGGACAGTCCTGCTTTGTGAAGGGTGTGTGACTCTCTGGGAGGATCAGGCTCCTTCTTTATGGTGCTGCGCTCGACAGCTAGTTATTCAGTACGTTTTTTTTTGCCTGTGTATATTTTGACAATATAATGTTTGTTTATTTATATTATCTTTTTTTTTGTTCTTTTCCAAATTACTGTACTCCAATAAATTATAATAATATCTCTGTCAGAGATCTATCTGGTCCCTTAAACATGTAGTACAAATGATTATTTATGTAAAATTTGTATTTGTATATAAACAAAGCGGTTTGTTTGTTGATGAACTGTTGTTCACTGGCAGCCGGAGGAGGCCAGACCACCACATCACTCACTCACCATTTACACGGTTTAACTTATACTGCAGTGAAGAGGCTGTAAGAGCGTCAGCCCGACAGAACAACACTAATGTAAATATTAGATACGTTTGACATCAAATAAATCTGTTTTAATCACTGTGTGTCGCTCCTGATCATTAACGCGTCTCTCTGATGCTCCAACTGTCCATTTCACCTTTTTTTAGTTTAAACAAAAGGAAATATAACCAAGAATAAGAAGCACACAAAGGAAACCTGCAGTGTGGGGGGGGGCGGGGGGTCATCTCCCCAATCAAAAATAAATAAACAAATAAATCATTCTTATTAAAGACCATCCACCTGTTTTCCAGCCCCTTTGGATTAATGTGATATCACTTAAGATTCACACAGTGTGGGAGTTCATGTCAAACGAGTGCAGGGCGTACACACCTGCAGAAGAGGTCAGTCGGGTGCAGTCGTGGGCAGTTGTGGGCTGGAGGTTAGGGAACCAGCCTTGTGACCTGAAGGTCACCGGTTCAATCCCCTTAGCTGACAGTACGTGACTGAAGTGCCCTTGAGCAAGACACTTAACCCCCAACTGCTCCCTGGGTGCTGTGGATGGGGCTGCCCACCGCCCTCGGCAAGTGTGCTCCCTGCCCCCTAGTGTGTGTGTTCACTAATGTGCTTGTGGTGTTTCACTGCACGGTTGGGTTAAATGCGGAGGTCTCAGTCCTCTGTGTTCAAACACAGTTGGCTAAAGGTTCATTTCACTTATGTAGAACTGTGGCGGGTTGGGTATGTTGGGTACCTGCCATCAGGGTTGTCAGGTTTGCGGTTCCCCCACCCAATTTGGGCTAATTTGAAAATGCAGTCGTTAAACTTTTTCAGCTTCTGGGCAACATTTGGGAGATTTTTGCTGGATTTGGCAACCATGCCTGATGTAGGGATCACTAAAAAAACTAAAAACAGGTATGACAGCCTGCGTTAACCTGTCAGAGATGTTTGAAGTTAATAGATCAATACAAACAATACACTGTAACAGACTGTATAGCCTAAAGGATGTGTGTCAGGCTCCAGTCCTCACAGGCCAAAGCACTGCAGACTTCAGCTCACTGCCTCATCTAACACACCAGATTCAGCTCATCTAGGCCTTCGTGAACTGAGTGTCAGATGAGGGTAAACGCTGATCTCCGCAGCAGTTTAGCCCAGAACCTCTCCAGTTTGACACGCCTGGACTAAACGATTATTATAAAAGTGAAAGAGGTTCTAGTGCGTCATACAGAACACACTCGGTTCTGTAGAACAGCAGCACAATCACAATACAGGATAACAGCCAGCCTCACTGGTGGTCGGTTGAACCAACTGTCCACTCTAAAAGTTATTTACAGCTGGAAAACTGGCTGTAGTGACTGAAAAAGCTCAGCGTGATTAACTGTCATTGTTAATGTTTGTAAACTGACTTACTACGTAGTAGAGTTTGGTACTTGCGCTCAGTAAGTAACACATATACAGCGCCTAAAACTGGCTTTTATTATGGTATTCGTGAGGTTATTGCAGTTTTCTGTAGTAAAGTGTTTGTAGAGGGTCATCACTTTGGCTGAATTCAGTTTTATGTCCTGTTTTGTGTTTTTTTTCTATCACTGTTCTTTCACTACAGAACTCATCATGTTCCTCTGCATCAGACAGACATTGGGATTTTTTCACTCAGGTGTCCCCTCTGAACGGCCCGTAGCTTAAAGCCTTTTCACAAGTTCAGTTTGGTGATGATCTTGAAGGTGGGGGGAACTTTTGGGAAAATAAAAACAGTATCTCCTCTCTAAACTAGGCCTGGGACCTCAGGTCAGAATGAATCATGGCTCTGCACAGTGTAGACTCTTTTATTTACCTTTAATCACTGTTAAATCAAAGAAGACCTTTTTTCTAAAGTAAAGCAGTTTCTAAATGTATAAGTAGGATTTAAAGTAAAAATCCAAATCAGTGCCAACAACTCAGAGCTGTTTCTCATTCTAACTTTAGCTTGTTCTGCATTCGTCCCACTCTGGTTTGTCCGGTGTGAGCTGGTCCAGCTCTGGGCTTTAATGAAAACAAGTGTGAACTTGTGAACTTCAACAACCCCATTTCCCAAAAAGTTGGGACGCTGTGCACAATGTAAATAAAAACAAAATGTAATGAGGTGCAAATCATTTAAACCCATATTTCATTGAAAATAGTACAAAGACAACATATCAGATGTTGAAACTGAGAAATGTTATTGTTTTTTTTTTAAATATTTGCCCATTTTGAATTTGATGCCAACAACACGTTCCAAAAAAGGGACGGGAGCAACAAAAGGCTGGTAAAGTTGTGTAATGCTAAAAAAAACACCTGGTGGTTGATTGACAACAGGTCAGTAACATGATTGGGTATAAAAGAGCATCTTAGAGAGTCTTTCAGAAGTAAAGATGAGGAGGGGTTCACCACTCTGTGAAAGACTGCACATCAAATAGAGCAACAACTCAACCATAACATTTATTAACATAAAATAGCAAAGAACTTTTGCTTTTCATCATCAACAGTACATAAAAACATTAGAAGATTCAGAGTAAAATATTCAAATCTCTTTATGTAAGGGACAGGGCTGAAAACCAGCACTGGCTGGCTGTGATCTTTGGGCCCTCAGGTGGCACTGCAGTAGAAACAGTTATGATTCTGTAGTGAAAATTACTGTATGGGTTCAGAAACACTTCTGAACACCACTTTCTATGAAAACAGTTCATTGCTGCATCCACAAATGCAAGTTAAAACTCTAAAATGCAAAGAAGAAACTATATTTAAACAGGATCCAGAAATGCTGCCACCTTCTCTGGGCCCGAGCTCATTTAAAATGGACTGAGGGGAAGTGGAAAAGTGTCCTGTGTTCTGACGAATCAACATTTGAAATTCATTTTGGAAATCATGGACACTGTGTCCTCCGGGCTAAAGACCACTCAGCTTGTTATCAGTGCACAGTTCAGAAGCCAGTATTCATGATGGTATAGGGGTCCATTAGTGCACATGGTATGGGTGACGTGCACATCTGTGAAGGCTCCATTAATGCTGAATGATATATACAAGTTTTGACAACATATGCTGCCATTCAGACGACGTCTTTTTCAGGGAAGGCCTTGATTATCTCAGCAAGACAATGTCAAACCACATTCTGCATGTGTTCCAACACCATGGCTCTGTATTAAAACAGTCCTGGTGCTAAAGTGACTTGCCTGCAGTCCAGACCTGTCACCACTGATAACATTTGGCACATCATGAAATGAAAAATATGACAAAGGAGACCCTGAACTGATAAGCAGCTGAAATGCTGTATCAAACAAGAACGAGAAAACATTTCACTTTTAAAACTACAGCAGTGTCTCCTCAGTTCCCAAACCCTTACAGAGCGTTGTTAAAAGAAGAGGTGATGAAACACAGCGGTAAACAGGCCCCCATACCAACTTTTTTTGGAACGTGTTGTTGGTATCAAATTCAAAATGGGCAAATATTTTTCAAAAAACAATAAAATTTCTCAGTTTCAACATTTGATATGTCGTCTTTGTAGTATTTTCCTTTAAAAATATGGTTTACATGATTTGCTCATCATTGAATCCTATTTTTATTACATTCTGCACAGAGCCCCAACTTTTTTGTGAATGCGGTTGTAGTTCATAAGACTACTCTGTTGACTGTGTCGCCACCACTGAACTGTCTGCAGGTCCGTTACTGTGTAAGTTTGTACAGTATCAAGCGTGTTTGTTATTTGTATTATTGTTATTGTGTAGACTTCCACAGTCAGCACAATAGAAGTAAATTATATAAAGAAAGATGTTTACATTTCTATAGAGTATCTTTAAATACATTATTATTATTATTATTATTATTATTATTATTATTATTATTATTATTATTATTGTTATTGTTATTATTAGTTGTTGTTGTTGTTGTTGTATTAGTATTAAGTTGGGAAACCCTGCATGACAGTTCAGTTCAGTGTGTGTGAATCCTGTTCAGAGGAAAGCTGGTTGGACCTTTTTGCCATAAGCACGACAGTTGTGATGTGAATACGGCAGCGGTCAACGTGCGGCGTAATAGAGCTGCGACTGCAGAGTGTGTGAGTCTCGTGGAGGGGCTACACGAGTGTGTGTGTGTTCTTAGTGTGTGTGAGAGAGTGTGTGTTCAGTGTGTGTTCACTCAGTGTGTGTGTTCAGTGTGAGAGTGTGTTGTAGTGTGAGTATGTTGTCTGTGTCGGAGATCAAACAGGAGGAGAAACCGGGAGAGTCAGCGGAGTCAGAGGAGGCTGCGGAGCCGCGTGGAGTGAAGCGGAAGATCTCCCTGACTCGGTAACGGCGCAGACACACACTCGGGGTTTTTCTTTTCACACCCGTATTCCGGCTGTCTGCGCTGCGATTGGTCAGTAGTTCCTGTCCGAATCGGTTTACAGCGCTGAGAGTCTGAACTAGTGACCAATCACAGCGCAGGGTGGGCGGGGCTTGTCTGAATGCGGGTGAGGAGACGGAGCTGTGGAGTCAACAGTCCCGCTCCGGGCTGCGACCTTAACGGAGCTGAGGTTTTATTATTCACCGGGCCCTTAGTCTGATTATCCGCTCCACCTTAAATACTGCAGCGCTTACATTCAGGCGGCTACTGCACCATTTAAGGTGGAACGGAAAATCCAAATAAGAAGCCAGTTTGAGCCTCGTTGGGACTTTTTAGTCTGATATTTACTCTGTTATTTTCTAAGAGGGCTGATCAGTCGATTTACACGCGTCTCCATTCAGAGTCTAAGCATGAGAGTCACTCTGAACTCTGAACCTGACTGACTCTAAACCTTACTTAATCTGACTAACCCTGACCCGTACTTTAAACAGACTGACTCTAATCCTTACTTAATCTGACTAACCCTGACCCGTACTTTAAACAGACTGACTCTAATCCTTACTTAATCTGACTAACCCTGACCCGTACTTTAAACAGACTGACTCTAATCCTTACTTAATCTGACTAACCCTGACCCGTACTTTAAACAGACTAACTCTAAACCTGAGTGTGCTTAACTTGACTAAAGGAGAACCTGAGCTAATTTAAGATAACTCTAAACATTAGTTTACTTAACCTGCCTGAATCTAAGCTTTAAACCTGAACCTGACTAAAGCTAAACTTTGACTAATTTAAACTGACTAACTCTGTTTTAGCTAATTCTAACCCTTGTTATCTTAACCTGACTAACCCTGACACCTACCTAACTTGACTAATCTTAAACTCTAAGTAAGGTACTCACTCTGACTGACCTTAACCCCTAGATAACTCACTCTGACTGACCTTAACCCCTAGATAACTCACTCTGACTGACCTTAACCTCTAGATAACTCACTCTGACTAACCTTAACCTCTAGATAACTCACTCTGACTAACCTTAACCTCTAGATAACTCACTCTGACTAACCTTAACCTCTAGATAACTCACTCTGACTGACCTTAACCCCTAGATAACTCACTCTGACTGACCTTAACCCCTAGATAACTCACTCTGACTAACCTTAACCTCTAGATAACTCACTCTGACTAACCTTAACCCCTAGATAACTCACTCTGACTGACCTTAACCCCTAGATAACTCACTCTGACTAACCTTAACCCCTAGATAACTCACTCTGACTAACCTTAACCCCTAGATAACTCACTCTGACTGACCTTAACCCCTAGGTAACTCACTCTGACTGACCTTAACCCCTAGATAACTCACTCTGACTGACCTTTACCCCTAGATAACTCACTCTGACTAACCTTAACCCCTAGATAACTCACTCTGACTAACATTAACCTCTAGATAACTCACTCTGACTGACCTTAACCTCTAGATAACTCACTCTGACTAACATTAACCTCTAGATAACTCACTCTGACTGACCTTAACCTCTAGATAACTCACTCTGACTAAGCTTAACCTCTAGATAACTCACTCTGACTGACCTTAACCTCTAGATAACTCACTCTGACTAAGCTTAACCTCTAGATAACTCACTCTGACTGACCTTAACCCCTAGATAACTCACTCTGACTAAGCTTAACCCCTAGATAACTCACTCTGACTGACCTTAACCCCTAGATAACTCACTCTGACTAACCTTAACCCCTAGATAACACACTTTGACTGACCTCAACCCCTAGATAACTCACTCTGACTGACCTTAACCCCTAGATAACTCACTCTGATTAACCTTAACCCCTAGGTAACTCACTCTGACTGACCTTAACCCCTAGGTAACTCACTCTGACTGACCTTAACCTCTAGATAACTCACTCCGACTGACCTTAACCCCTAGATAACTCACTCCGACTGACCTTAACCTCTAGATAACTCACTCTGACTGACCTTAACCCCTAGATAACACACTCTGACTGACCTTAACCCCTAGATAACTCACTCTGACTGACCTTAACCCCTAGATAACTCACTCTGATTAACCTTAACCCCTAGGTAACTCACTCTGACTGACCTGAACTCATAGAAAACACACTTTAACTGACCTTAATCCGTAGAAAACACACTCTGACTGACCTCAACCCTTACCTAACTTTATGTGACTCAGCATTAATTCTAGCCCTCAGCTAACTGTCTGTATGCCGTTGTGTTCTAAGGACCATGATATTGTTGCTATGCGTCATTTTGTTTCAGTGTATGCAGGTTATATTGAGGAGTAGCAATAAAGACTCGACTTTCTGTAAAATAAAGACAAACACAGTGTTTTCAGTGAGCTCTCCGTCTCCACAGCTGTGATGTGTGTGAAGCTGAGGATGCGAAGTACAGGTGTCCCAACTGCCTGAAGTTCTCCTGCAGGTGAGAGACTCCGTACGGCTGTGAGTCCATCTGTGCTGTGTGGTGATGTGAAACGGTGCTGACTGTACTGAAATGTCCCTCTGTGCTCTCCGTAGTCTGTCCTGTGTGAAGCAGCATAAGCATGAGTCGGGCTGCAGCGGCGTTCGGGATAAGACGGCCTTCGTTCGTCTCTCTCAGTTCAGCGAAATCAACCTGCTCAATGGTGACCGCTCACGTCTTACATACAGGAGGACCTTCCTCTGGTCATCAGAACATACAAGATAGGGCCAGTGTTTACTGGACCAACACAGACTGTACAATTAAACAAGACGGCGCCTCACAGCACACTAACTTACAGAGCACTGATAGGGACTCCACTAAGTTTTCAAAATCTCTGCATTATTCAGTCATTAAGATGTAAACAGACTCATTCAGAATGGTTTGGTCTGGAATGCTCTGTTTAGAGGAACTTACTGAGTCAGCCTTATTCACAGTGGTGGTGATGGGAACAAGACGTCCACCTCTAAAAGCTCCCTCCCTGAGTTATTACATGAATCGGTTTATAAATACACTGCCTGATGTCACAGACACTGTTTTATTTTTAAGAAGGTTTTTGGCATAAAACATCTTTTTAAAATCCATTAATGGTGGAGGGATACATGCAGGGTGTTGTAAGGCCAAATAGTCCCCAAAGAAAACTTATTTTTTCAGATTTATCACTATTTTACCATCATCAACATTCCATATAGAAACGTGCAGGTTCAGTGGTGGTTTTGCATAATAAATAAAATGGCTGTATTTCTGCTGCAGACATTGTGACTCCTGGGGTCTCATTTAAATTTGAACATGCAAACAAATAATAAACAATCTTCTAAATAATAAGTAAATAATCTAATAACGTCAATTCTAATGTGTTTACTTTTGATGGTTCAGTTACACTTAACTGTTTTTATATTTCAGATTTATTCCTACAAGTATTAATATTTTACTTATTTACATTGAATTTCTGAATAAAAATGTGGATTAAAAGCTAAAATAACCAACACATCGAAAATCTGTGCAAGCACGATGAGGTCAGCCACTGTCGAGGTCAGCCACTGTCTACATCATCACAATCAGTCTTTGAAACAGCGCTTGATTTGAAGTGTCTCTGAGATTTGGATTGGAAAATGATTCATCTAAAGTATTATTTTCTTTTGTTTCAGTCAAAGTATTTCTTTTACTACTTGCATTAAGTGTTTTTAGGTTGAAGCAGTGAATTTTTACAGTGTATGAGCACAACAGACGCCGGTCGTAGTGGAAATAGCTGATAATTAATAGGAGTTTATGCATCTTGTAATCAGGATACATGCAATTACACTTTTCTACCACCAGGTTTCTGGGTTTCTGCACACACACACACAGTCAGGAGTCATTTTGAATATATGTACTCTTAGGCACAAGGGAAAAAATGATTAATCAGGTTCTGTGTGTAAGAAATGTGCAGATGCACAGTTGATAAATAATAATAAGACCCCTGGTTCCTATCAGCGCCACTGTAAAGAAATCTGAGTGTGTATGTTTCTCTATAATGAACTACTTCATATCAAACCACTCTGAATGACTTTGTTTATATCTCAACCACTGTGCTGACGCTTTGAGTAGATAATTATGCAAAATTGGCCCCAATACCCTCCAATAAATGCCTAGAGTAAGACAGTACGAGGTGCTTTCAGCCTGTTGTTATGCATTTCGTATTTATTGCTCTGTCCTGAGTGAACTGACCATGTAACCTAAAGGAAATCTAAGACATGCTGATGTTGCCCTTCTCAGACTACAGGTTACTTGAGGAAACGGCTCGCGTGGCAGACAAACCCAACAGAGACTCGCTCCTGCATATTAATCCTCAACACAGCACCACTGTAAGTCTGTTCTCTGCACTGTGTCGCTCTTTATTTAATAGATCTAGTCAAATAATAGCAGCACATTGAGTGTATCTGTTCTTCCCTTCCCTTCTTCCAGGTGAAGCTGGTGAGGAGGAACGCAGCAGCAGCCAAAGTCAACCTGAAGATCCTCCCCAAATCCTTCACCAGACGCAAAGAGAACACCTCCATCTACATCAAAGTGTGAGTCTCTGGGTGTCCTACTCGGTTCCTGGTGAGCCGCAGCTCCGCAGAGATTAACGTTTTCCCTCTTCACTCTCGGTTAATCTCGCCAAAGCCGTTCTGATCAGCTGATGAGGTGATCAGGTGTGTTAAATGAGATCTCTGCAGTGCTTTGCCTCACCAGCCTTCACATGACAAACCTGCGTCAGAGGGTGGTCAACAACGTCCATTGGTCACTTTCATCACTGAGAAGTCTTGAAAGTTTTTTGTTTTTTAACTGGCGTCTCTCTGATGAACGAATCCAGTCCCGAACAGAGCTTTAGAGAGAGAGCAGGAGAAAGGCAGAGGTGCGCAGTTTGAGGGCTGGGTCACTGGGGGGCGCTCTTGCCTTATTGCGGTCATCAGCAGTGGAGCTGCAGACTGTACTGTGGTGCTGTACACGCTCCTGCAGCAGCTCCTGAAAGCGAGGCCCATGAGATGGTGCCCACACTCTGACCGCGTTTAACTCACTGCTGATTTCAGTGGCCTTCACATGTTACTGCCACATGACATCACCAGAGCAAAGTAGCCTCCAGATCTCTGCTGAGAGACGAGCGGCGTCGTGTAGATCTGCGTTCTGTGTGGTGAATAGAGGTGATGAACTGTAGAATCTTAATGTTGTTATCAGAAACGTCTCTGCTGTAGCTCCACTTTGCTGGTGTGCAGTTAGAGGCTGTAGATCATCTGTTTGTGTCAGTCATCCTCTATTCTTTCACCACGGGTCAGTTTCTGAGTCGCTCTTGGCTGGATATTTTCAGATGGTGGGCCACCCTTCAACTTTACATATCTAACATACATTTGCATGTATATATTTTACATATTAATAGTAGTTAAACAGCGCTTCACTGACTAATATGACTCAGTTATCAATGTTCACACTTAAAACCAGCAGAAACTCTCAGTCTTAAATCATATAAATATTGTAGCCCTGGAACATTTTTACAGTTTTGGTTTCTGTTAATTTATTATTAGTTTTACAATTCATTATTAGTCTTGTTATTTAGGAAGCACAAGGTGGGTGTTTCTGATAAAGTGGCCAGTGAGTGGAAGAACAAGGTGGGTGTTTCTGATAAAGTGGCCAGTGAGTGGAAGAACAAGGTGGGTGTTTCTGATAAAGTGGCCAGTGAGTGGAAGAACAAGGTGGGTGTTTCTAATAAAGTGGCCAGTGAGTGGAAGTACAAGGTGGGTGTTTCTGATAAAGTGGCCAGTGAGTGGAAGCACAAGGTGGGTGTTTCTGATAAAGTGGCCAGTGAGTGGAAGAACAAGGTGGGTGTTTCTGATAAAGTGGCCAGTGAGTGGAAGAACAAGGTGGGTGTTTCTGATAAAGTGGCCAGTGAGTGGAAGCACAAGGTGGGTGTTTCTGATAAAGTGGCCAGTGAGTGGAAGAACAAGGTGGGTGTTTCTGATAAAGTGGCCAGTGAGTGGAAGAACAAGGTGGGTGTTTCTAATAAAGTGGCCAGTGAGTGGAAGTACAAGGTGGGTGTTTCTGATAAAGTGGCCAGTGAGTGGAAGCACAAGGTGGGTGTTTCTGATAAAGTGGCCAATGAGTGGAAGCACAAGGTGGGTGTTTCTGATAAAGTGGCCAATGAGTGGAAGCACAAGGTGGGTGTTTCTGATAAAGTGGCCAGTGAGTGGAAGAACAAGGTGGGTGTTTCTAATAAAATGACCAGTGAGTGGACCCGCAAGGTGGGTGTTTCTAATAAAGTGGTCAGTGAGCGGACCTGCAAGGTGGGTGTTTCTAATAAAGTGGCCAGTGAGCGGACCCGCAAGGTGGGTGTTTCTAATAAAGTGGCCAGTGAGTGGACCCGCAAGGTGGGTGTTTCTAATAAAGTGGCCAGTGAGTGGAAGCACAAGGTGGGTGTTTCTAGTAAAGTGGCCAGTGAGTGGAAGTACAAGGAGGGTATTTCTAATAAAATGACCAGTGAGTGGAAGTACAAAGTATGTGTTTCTGATAAAGCGGCCAGTGAGTGAAAGCGCAAAGATGGGTGTTTCTAGTAAAGTGGCCAGTGAGTGGACCTGCAAGGTGGGTGTTTCTAATAAAACGGCCAGTGGAAGCGCACGGTAGGTGTTTCTGAGTGGCCTGAAATATTGTGGCCTGAAATATTGTGTTCTACAACATTAAAGTGCCAGGGTTCTAGAGTGTTCTGGATGACTCCGCCCCACCGTGTCCCGATCTCCTCTCAGAGTAGCTCCTCCGTCAGCGCGAGCTGAGAAAAGGAAAACAGTGCACACCTCATCAGACAAGTGCAGGGTGGGATGAAGCACAAAGACTGCATTCATATCCGAGAGCGAGGCTCGTCAGTGTTGTGGAACGATGCAGACAGACTCACAGACACTCAGCAGGGAGTGACACTCAGCTGGAGACACGCCGCTGATGTCACACGTACGCACACACGCTTGAATGGCAGCCTTCATATGTGCAAATCTCCCTCACTGGGAGTCGGAGCTTTAGCTGGATTTCATGTACAAACCTTGCGTCCAGAACAGTTGGGACGGTACGTGAAGTGCAGATGAAAACAGAAAGTACTGCTTTGTTCTATTTGACCTGTATAAAATTCAAAACAGTACAAAACCTCAGTATTTAATGTTTTACCTTATCAGATTTATTGTTTTTTTGTAAACGTGCTCATTTCTGAAATTGATAGCCACAGCAAGTTCCACGGTGTTGGAACAGGGGCGATTTAAGACGAGGAACATTGTGAAATCTTCAGAACAGGTGATGCAATCATGCTTCAGTAAAGGGGCATCCAGGAGTGACCAAGTTCTTTATCGACAAGGATGGGTCGAGCCTCGCCACTGTCCCAAAAAATACATCAGCAAATAATGACACAGTTTAAGAACAACGTTCCTCGACAGTCGAATGCAAGAATTTCCGTTAGTTCACCCTCTGCAGTGTATAATGTAACAAATTGTGCAGAACGTGGCTTGATGAATGGACCAAAAGAAACAGCCCAAAATGACGTGGAAAAAAGTCTGGTTGCATTGACTTGCCTTTTAAAGTATGTTTTTTCCTTCTCGTGTAAAGTTCTCATTTTGGAGATAAGAGGTTTTTTTTAGCATTTATTACCCCAAAATACATTAATGGTGGCTTCACAAATGTGCAAGATTCTCACCAATACCTGGCCTTTGGTCTCTTTCTTCTTTGGGCCCAAAGAACAAAGTGCATCATTTCCGTAAACAGTCTGAAAGGCTGACTCCTCACAGTACACTTCTCTGCTTTGCATCAGTCCATTTCAGATGAGCTCGGGCTCAGAGAAGTGGGCTGAGTTTGTGGCCGCTATTGATGTGTGGCTTCCGCTGTGCGTAGTGCCGTCTGAACTTGGCAAGGCGAGTTTATTTGTCCGGCGCCTTTCATGCACAGTGGCAATTCAAAGTGCTTTACACAAACAGAACAATAAAGCATTAGATAATACATTTCTGAGATCCAGCTCCTCAGAAAGGCTTTTGTACAGATGATTACAGAGACATAAGAAGTGCATGAGAATCAAGAAATGCAATTTCCATTATGCTCGAGTCAGTTTCAGCACCCAGAGTGAGGAAGAGCACCAGAAGTTAACGCTTTAACCTGCTGAATAGCTGCCAGAACCGAACGAAGTCTTGCTTCGAAGTATCACCAACCTCTAAGCTGTTAGTCATTCATTGGGATACTCATGCCAGCAAAAAAAGCTTGTGTTGATGTCTATCACAGAAGCGTGCTCATTTTTTAATGCAGTGCCATCTAATGGAACGAGGTTGTGGTTTTCAGCCTTTCCCTTTATGCGCAGATTCTCTCCTGATTCTCTGGACAGATTAATATGGTTTTACACACCATATTGCAGCCCCAGTTGGCACACTGGCAGCCCTCCAGGCCTCTTTTGCAATTGCCTGCAAGGACCGTGAGGCCGTACGGCATCACAGTCCTCATGTTTGCGTTCAAAGTGGTGCTTTTCAGCCCTGTCTATGAGCCCTTATTGAGGCCTTCATCAAGGGCCTCATTAGTAGCGGACTCTTACCTAACAGGTGAGATACAGATGAGGACCAATCAGCATGGTGGGGTTTGTTTACAGCTGTCTGACCAACATTTCAGGAAGTAAGGTGCTAGTTAAAGTCTATTTGTTCATTAATTTACTGTGTCACTGAGCTGCTTTATAGCTGTGAGCCACTCTAGGTAAGCAGATTAGCTAAAGTACTAAAACGAATATTTCCAGTATTGTAATTTCGCTGGGTACAGTTGCATGTAGAGTCTGTTAGATGCATGAATCTGTCCCAGATGCACACTTTCAAACCAGGTCTCTTGCTATGTCCTACTATACATCTGCATGTAGTTGATGTCAGCAAAGTACAGACTTTGAAGAGGACCTCAGGGCTTGGGGCACGTTTTGGGACAGGCCCATATTTTGTGTTTCTGAAAGCTAAAACTAACCTGTCATGTTGCATTTGCGGTGTTTTCACAGCAGGTAAGACCATTGAAGAGCTGTAGGGAGTAAATCAAGGAAAAGGCCGTCAGGACTACACGTGCAGAAGCGCTCGTGCTGTTGGCAAAAAACAACTCGCGAAACTCTAGAAGCCTCCGTTCATTTTCCGTCAATTTTCCCAGAATAGCACTGGCGTGAGCTACTGTGTCAGAGAGACTTTTCACAGGAGCTACGAGAAAAAAAACCCATCATCAGATGTTCTTGGGCGAAATTCCTCTTCAGGCCTAGAGCTGAAATGGATTTTTAAAAGAAGATCCACACTGACAATGTAATTTAGACTGAGATTAAGGCTTCTCGGTGCAGAAAACAGGGTAGAGAGAGAGAGAGCAAGCGCGAGAGAGAGAGGTGTAGGATGGCTCTCAGCAGCAGCAGTTTCAGAATGTACTCAGTACATAATATAAAAAGCAGATGTTAGGGCTGCAGTGGCTGCAGATGCTTCTCCACATAATCACACTGCCAGAGACACATCATCATTGGCGGCAGCGGGCTTTAAAGCCTGGCCCATCAGCCGAGGCATGTTACTGTGTG